TCCACCACCACCACCATCACCTCCAACAACCCCACCATCAGTTCAACCACCGTCACCTCCAACTCCACCACCGTCATCTTCAACTCAACCACCATCAACTTCCCAACCGACAACTCCACCACCACCAACTACAACAAGCGGAAACGTTACAACTACAACTAGAACTGCTCCTCCTGTAAGTATTATCATTGATTAATTTTAAATCTTACGAATTTTAACTGTTTAAATTTTAAATGATTTGATTTGTTATTTTATATTCAGCCTACAACAACAGAATCAGACGAGGATGAATTAGAACCTAAGGATGATTCGGATTCAAATACTTACTACATAATAGGAGCAATTGGTGCTCTTTTAGTCTTAACATTTATAATTGTTTGTTGTTGTCGAAGTTCATCCTCGAGCTCTGGAGACACAGAAAGAGGCGAAGACAATGATAAGGATGAGAGACCGACTCCTGAAAGTTCAGTCGATCAACGAGCAGATGCAATGAAATCAAATGTCCTAATCAAACGCAGCAAATCATCTGAAAGTAAGAGCAAAGAAAGCTTTGCATCGGGTAAACCGAAAAGTGACGAAAATATGAAGAGCCAGGAGAAGATTAAAAGTATGGAGAAGATTAAAAGCATGGAGAAGACTAAAAGTAGTGAACAAATGAAGGGCGGTGTATCCACTGCAAGTAAAGAAAGTATGGCTGGAAAAGGTGGACCGAGTCTTGAAAAAGTAAAAAGCAGTGGATCAATCAAAAGTGTCGAGAAGGTAATCAGCGCTGGAAAAATACCAAGCAAAGGAAAAATAAGAAGTGCGGAACTGATTGGCAAAAAAATGAGCAAAGAGAGCGTTGGTGCAGCCCGTAAAAAGAGTGCCACTAGAGCTGCAAGTGCAGGTAAAGTAACATTTGCAGGTAAATCTAAAGCTTTAAGCAAAGAAAGCGTTGGCAAAAGCTCATCAGGAATGAGTTCTACTTCAATCACAAGCATCGGTTCCAGACGGTCCAAATCAAATATAAAACAAAGTAGAGAAAGCATCAGAGGAACTCCAAGTAAAGATTCAAGTCTAGAATATAAGAGCTCGACTATAGATCGACTTGATTCGGGTTTATATCCTACTCAAAGTAAGGGCAGCAAGGAAAGCAAAGAAAGCAAAGAAGAGTAAACCCTTTAATTTTATGATACAATTTTATTATGTAATTTTCAAATTCTGATTAACTATTAGCTTATCGATATTGAATTAAAGTAATCGATTAATTGTTAGTGTTGTTTTCTCAAGTGAAATTGATATGCTTTAGTGTGTGAAAAAGGTTTTCAAATATGTTTATTATGGATCATCTCAGTAAAGTCTTAACTAATTTAAAAGATCACTACAATTCAATTACTCAAGTCTTCGCAAAAGATTTGATTGCTGATGCTTGTGCAAACAACCAGACGACACTTTCCTCATTCATGTAAAATTTGTTGAAATGAATGGAAGGAAGAAATTGTGAGATTGAATTTTAAAACAAACCAAATTAATTGTGGGTCATTTATGATGAGGAAGGTTTTGTATTTCTATATTAGATGTTTATATTAATACGATATTGATAAGTAATTAAGATGAATTATTAATGTAAATTGTAGATTGATTGATATCCGATTCATCGTTAACCACATCGATATTTCATCAGAAAGATCGATTCATTGTTAACAGCATCTCGCTAAGTGTTTTGTTTTTCTTCAGAAACTGTTTTTGTATTTTAATTTTCAGAGTCAAAGTCACATATACAAAAAGCCCACTAATAAGGCTCGTTTATTTAACTGTTTAATTTTGCCCACTATGAATTATATTGGAAAGTTTATATCCAATTTTAAAGATTTTTACAATGAGATTAACTCAGCGACTTTGACCGGTGCTATAGATGTAATTGTTGTTAAACAACCGGACGAGACTTATTCTTGTTCACCATTTCATGTAAGATTTGGTAAAATGGGTGTCCTACGGAGCAAGGAAAAAATTGTGAGTAATATTTGATTCCCTACTGTCCTTTAGTGAACAAAGGTTGTATAGATTTAGTGTTTCTTGCTTATGGATCTATATCTAACATTCACGTAACTGGTTTGGTTTTTCCTATTGGTTTTTTCCTTCATGTCATTGATGATTGTTATTTCAATGATCTATTTCTCATTATAACCACTTATGGTTATTTTTAATCTTACATTTTCCTTGGTTTTATTGAACTCTATCCATAGGTTGATATCGAGATTAATGGAGAACCTGTGGATATTCACATGAAACTTGGTGACACTGGAGAAGCTTTTTTTGTCGAAGAAGTAGAGAACGAAGATGAACAGCATTCTGTTCCTAGCTACCTTGCTACATCTCCTTTACTTGGGCATTTAAAAGGTGATGATTTCGAAAATCCATTTAATAGTGAAATATCCAATTTTGGTGCATCATCTTCAACAAATTCAACTTCGAAGAAACGTCGACGAAAAAAATCCGTTAAAAAATCTCCACCAAAACAACTTAACCAACAAGAGCAAGAACAAGTACTTTCATCAAATCTTTGTGATATCCATCCATTTAGTGATGGTGAAGTTGAACAATCAAGTTTAGAGTCTTCACTTAAATCCAAAAGACCATCTAGTCCTTTATCTGATACGGAGTATGAAAACTCGCGCCATGATTCTACCTGTCAAACAGGAGGTATTGGAAATGGAGGAGAACATATTGAATGGGGATGGGGTGAATTTCCTCGCTCTAATACTCCGAGTAGTCAAAGTCTCAGTCATCTAGCGGAAACACTTAATATTTCTGACCCATTGAAACCTGAAAGTAACTCTCAAGGTGCATCGAGCGCTGATCTTATGCCGTCTAATGCTACAATGAGTTCAAATGAGTCAAGCAAATTGCTGAATGTCCTTAAGTTCATTAAGAAAGAAGACACGACGAAAACTCGTGAAAATAGTGAGATGGAAGGTGTTTTTCTTGATGATCTCAACAGCATGGATCCTGAAAAGGCTGGACTTTACCTTTCACCGGGTGAAAGAACTCAGTTAAAGCAGGAACAGCAGCTTAAAAATGATCAAATAGCACAGCAAAATCTACAACAAACAATATCAGAGCCAGTACAAACTCAATCGCAACCACAACCACAACCTCAACTGCAACAACCACAACAGCCATCGCAACAGCCTCAACAATCAGAATATCGTAGCTCATGGTGGAGCTCTTGGACCAGATCAACTTCATCAACGTCAACAAAAGCTGAACAAAGTACTGATCAGGTAGAATTTGATTTCGAGAATGAATTATCTGAGCCCGAAATCGGAGAATCTGAACAATCATCATCTTCAGATTCTGAAGAGGAAGAAAATACTCTTGCTTCTAGTGAAGATGAAGAGCATCCTGAAGGGATTCCTATTAAGAAAAGTGATTTTCGTCGTGGTCATCGTCGTAAAAATAGTACAGTTCAGTACAAAAAAGTTCTTCGTATATCATCTCAGCAGATTGCTTCATTAAATCTACAAGAAGGTCGTAATGAGGTTGTTTTTAGTGTGACTACTGCTTATCAAGGAACCACTCGTTGTAAATGCTCAATCTATTTATGGAACCATGACGATAAAATAATTGTTTCTGATATTGACGGTACCATTACTAAATCTGATATTTTGGGTCATATTTTGCCAGTAATAGGAAAAGACTGGGCTCAATCCGGTGTTGCTAATTTGTTCAATAAAATACAAGACAATGGTTATAAACTGTTGTACCTTTCAGCTCGAGCTATCGGACAAGCTAAAATAACACGTGAATATTTAAAAAGCATTCGACAAGGTGATATTTGTCTTCCTGATGGACCTCTTTTACTTTCTCCAACTTCTTTGATCTCGGCATTTCGTAGGTTATTATCACCTTTATTATATTTATTTTTTAAACCTCATCATTTCCCGCTATCACCAAACCATCAGAATTGTTTGTGTTTATGGTTTCAAAATTGATGGTCATTCACTCAAGGTTACTCATTAATTTAAACTAGTTTATATTCTATTTTGTGCTTAATTGCAATCACAAGATGGATATTTTTAACTATTCAGTTTTATGCTGAATTTGCCGTTAGTCATGAGCTTTCTTCTTTCAAATCATCTGATGGATTAAAAGGCGCCTTGCAACTTAAAGCATTATCAATATTCTGAATCAATCACTTCGAGAATTAACTCTCTTCTCAGCAAGAATTATTGTTAATCTAATCAATCCCATTATTATCTGATTTGAATTTTTCACCCATCTAATGCTCTTTGTATTTATTTATGACAACAGAGAAGTGATCGAGAAAAAACCTGAAGAGTTCAAGATAAAATGTTTGAAAGACATTCAATGTCTGTTTCCAACTAATCCATTTTACGCTGGATTTGGCAATAAAATTAATGTAAGTGCATTTACTAACAGTTCCTTTAATTAACATACAATATTTGATCACCCGTAAATTAAAAACTATTCAATTTTTACTAAACAATTTTACACAGGATACTTGGGCTTATCGTGCAATAGACATTCCCCTTTCTCGGATATTTACAATCAACCATCGAGGTGAACTGAGATTAGTTCTTATACAAAGCTGGCATTCATCGTAAGTCTTTTTTTCATTTTAAATTTTTGTCAGGTCAATGAATTAAAATATTTGCTCTTTTTTGTTACAGATACAATCGCTTAAGTGACTTAGTGGATCAAATGTTCCCTCCTCTTCCTTCATCTCTAGATTCTAAAAATTCAGACTTTCTATCTGAATATACATCATTCAATTACTGGCGTGATCCTATTCCAGATATTTCGCAATTTGAGGCCTTGAAAAGCGAGTTAAACTCTGGATCAAATAGTTCTTCACAATTACTACCGATTACCTGATGCTGCAATGATCCGTTCTTTGTTTTTTTTATTACCATATTATCACCTTATATTTTTATTTCTACATTGTAGATAACAATTTATCGTTTGTCTTTTTCTTCTTATTTTCTTTGTTTGCCATAATCAATCGATAAACAAAATCTCTGAAACTTCTATTCAAAATCAACAACTCATTCCTTCGATCAATGCTTATCTGGACATTAAGCAAACTGTTCCCGGTGTTTATTTCTCAATTATTGATTGGAATTGATTGGACAATTTGGATGATGGTACAAATGACATTGCATTCAGCAAACACCTCAAACGCCTTTGAAACCACAATCACTGTTAATAGCAATTTATATTACGAACAAGATAATCAAAGTTGGATTCTCCGGCTGAATATCATCTTTAAATACGAAAAGTGTTCAAATGCATGATCATTTCCATCCCAACTGTCTTTAATACAAACTGCAATGATTTCTCGAGAAAACTCAATTGATGAAATATGGCAAAGCAACTTAATGGAAAACAATCAAGTCACGTGTTGATTCATAATTTTGAAATGAAAATGCAATATCTTATTCGATCGAAATGAAGTGCAACAATTTCCATCTTTAGTCTACTATTTAAAGTAAAAAACCTTTCACTTGTCATATTGATTCTTTATAACTCCAAGCTCCATTTAAATGTCTACGTGAATTACTATGGTCGATCAACTTGAACCATTGGAGGAGGAAAGAAACAAAATTAATTGAAAACTAAATTTTTCTCGCCACATGAGACAATTTACTTTTGAATTGTTCACCAGCTAATCATGTCTTAAAAATGAAATCCCTGATAAATTTCAAAAATACAACAATACCCAGGCAAAAAGGGCATTTCTATACACACAAGCAATAACTGTGATTGAATTAATGACTTCTGGTAATCAGGTATAACGAACGACTTTTCACACTGAAAACTGAAAACCATGTTAATCGAAAATAAAGAAATGAATTTTTGATCAAAGTACATTTTTACCGACAATTGATTGATATGGAGATTGAAAAGAGGGAAAAGTCTTAACCTGACAGAGGAATGATTCAAAAACACCAACAACAACTTATATCGATGTGAGATACGCAATTACAATTGAATGATAATTTAAATCCTGTCTTTCCATTCCTTTCCCAGATGAAATGAACCAGTTGAAACCTAAATTGTAACCCGAATCTTCCCAAATTGCTTGTCTGTTATGGTCAATCATCTGAACAAAAACAAAAACAAAAGATAGCAAACATCATAAATTGATGCTCAACAAAAATTTGTGATAACCAAAGTAATTAATATGCGATATTAACCTTATTTATTTTTATTAAATGAAAGGTTACCTTCTAATGTCAACCCTCTCTAACCATCCTGATTGTAACAAATCCTAGTTAAATCAACTTTGTATTCACATATTGAAAGATTGATTAAACAAATGAGACCAAAAAACGGTGCAAAATGACACTGAAAGTAAAATCTTTTTCCAATTTGACCAACAATCTATTTTGAAATCTATTAATTATATTAACAATATAAGTAAATTTAATTCAATTGACAATACAGATTAAGTAAAGCGTAAACGTTGATCAAGCAATAAAAGTAGATGGTTGAATATATTAAAGGTAAACTGATTCCTAATCTAAAACCCTTGAGACATCTGTGAATGATTTCAATTGAATTCAACCTGACAACATGAAATGAAAGCCACAGAAACAATACAACTTCATGTTGAACAGCTTCTGGTTTTACCTTGAGGTTGCTTTGATACAACCAATGTAAATCAAGTAGTCTGACTAGTAAGGCTCTTAATTTACTGATATTGTAAACCTTATTTAACCAGCAGCTTAAGGAAAAGGTAGAAAGCCTTCGGAAATTGTTTCAAATTAATTAGATTAACACAATCCTCGCGATCTATTCATATAATTTTGTGATCCTTTTTTTAAATACACTTCATTATCTAATAGATCAACCTGATTTTACTTTCGATCTGTTTTCTTCTTTCTCCACAATTTCCATTGATTTGATTACCTACCGAATCTACATTCACCATCCATTTATTATCCAAATCAAATTACTCATTTTGAAGTCTATTTTTTACAATATTGAATCAAAATAAATTTACTTATTGAAGAACGTCATTCGAAGATTAAAATTTAAAATCCAATAGGAAGACAGAAATCGATTTACAATCAAGAACAGTGATTAATGGTGATTCTGAGTCTGTCGCTCTTTATTATAACAAACTGTTCAAAGACAAAACCAACAAAGGTGCTTGAACAGAGCATAAATATTGACATTTTGATAGATTCGTAATAAGCTAATATGATAGCAATCGATTAAAATCTCTGACAATCCATAAATTGCGAATTTTAAACAAAAATCTATCATTTTGATAAGGATTGGTTTCAGACAATTCAGCTGTTAGGTTGAAAAGTACTTTAGATTGTTTCATTGATGTATACTCAGATTGTGCTTCATTTTCATCTTATCAATGAACTCACTGTGAGTTTTTCCCTGAAAACTAGTATTTTTGAATTGGTTGAGCTTCTGGCGATTTAGATGGTCTGAGTGACAAAGTATGCGATTATATTGGGGCTTATCAGCCAATACATCGACTTCTTTGACTAATATAAATATACAAATTTATTTGGGTTACGGGTTAACCGACAGCCAATAGACGTTTAGCAACTCGAGAAATACCATCAGATGTATTATCAGATGAACACATCATTGCCGATTCTTATAAAATGATTATCTTAATACGGTCAATCAACAAACAAGGTCAATTTGCACCTGACTTGAATTCCCGATAATTTTATGAATTATTATCGAGTTTCTTATTATGATAGATAGTTTATCCATGGATTTAAACCATTTCAATTTCTTTGATCATTCGTTTTGAAGTTGCTGATGTTACCAAAATCACCAAAAAAACTGACTTTTGGATTCCATTCTCTTCACTTTGTAGTAATATTTTAAACTCGACCTTCCAACAGATCTTATTCCAGTTTTGAATCCCAAATAATTACTGTTGAAATACTATTGGGCGAAGTATTCAGTTTTAAAATCCTTTGAACTACAATATAATTGCACTGAAAGACAACAATGATTGAACTAAGAATCTAAAATTGATCAGAGCTTGAAATATGTTTGACTGGAGCTCAAACATAAATCAATAGATTCCTATGATTTATTAAATAGCTTTCATCTAACAACTTGTAAGTGCCGATTTAAGTAAAAAATAATTGCTGTTTGGCTTTCTTTCAATATTTTATTAGTTAACTTGCAGACCAAATATTTCCCTAAAAATTAATTCAATTCAACCATTGAAATGAGTATAAAATTCTGTATCTTATGACACTTTTGAAAATCTAATTTTCATCCAATTTCACTTTCATCCTTATTCAATTAAATGTAATGATAATGAAACAGTTAGGGAAATCATTGGAGCCAAAATTTACATTATAAAACTAAATAATGTTTTGCCTATTAAATTTGGATTATTTAGATGATTGGAAATGTATTTATAAATTGTTCACTTACTAATAATAACTTTAAACTTTTCAAGATTCAATCAATAAAAAAATACCGAAGACTTAACCAGTTATTATTAGAAATGAGTTTAATTCACCTTATTTGTTGTGGCTTACAATTTAAATTGGATTAATTATTTGAAGCAAAATAGTGAATCTCAATTTTCAATTATAATTATAATTGAACAATAAAATGACAAAAGAAAGGTAAATTGTTGAAACAAAAAGCCAGAGGCAATTGAAAATGATTACTTTTCCTGGTTAAATGAAAAGCTAAAAACAAGTGAACCCAAAAAAAGGCAAAAACCAGGAAAACAAAAGGCAAGTTAATCATTGTTAGTGTCACCAGCAAAACATCACTTTAGTAACCATTATAATTTACCCATTAACAAACTAATTAACTTACAAATTAACTAACTATTTAATCAAGTATAAATGTTAATTTGTTGATTTTTAATTGTATATTAAAACAATATTGAAAGGACAGAGACAAAAAGCTCACAGTGAGAGTAGGGAAAGTCCATGGTGAAACAATGTTGAACAGTGGTTAGGCCTAACAGTGGTCGATCAATTTGAACAATGAAAAATATAAGATTTGCAAATTTGTTTCTGATTAAACAACCTTCAAAGCAAATCGTATGACAATTTGAAATCATTTAAAATCATTTAAAATTCAGTTTAAACAATTTAACAATGAAATAAATTACAATCAATGCTCATCTTCATCTCATTGTTATCACTAAGCAACCAAAAATATCGACCAATGTCTTTATACTTACTGCTCATGAATCAGCTCATGAAATTTACCCATAAATGTGCTCATGGATTTGCTCATGAAAATTTGAAATGATGAATCTAAACTTAACAATTTGAGATTCATTTAGGTTGAGATAACATGAGAGGAAAACATTGAACACAGAAAACAAGTAAAAACTTGCAAATTTAAATATTGTGCAAAGTTGACATCGATACAAGTTGAATTGTAATTATGAGTTCAAGTTCAATTTAACAAAAGAGTTAACCACAAAATCAACTAAACAATTAAACGATAAACAAATCAACAAGAATCAGTTAAACATCAACATTTAGTAAGTAACATTTTTCTTATTCATCAACAATTTGTTCAACCTAAAAGATTGTCTTATTTCTGGTTACCCGATCTTCTGGTAATTTGTCAAGTTTTATATTATATTTTGTGACCAAATTGCCTGATATTACAATTAACTGTTGAATAACTTTTGTTTTCCCTTTACAATTGATTATTGTTTTCCATCACTAAATTAACTATTGTTATTACCTGTTGATTGCTTTCAAGGTTCAAATATTGATTATTAAACTTGAATTGATCATCAGTAAATTGTGATTAACAACAGAGTAACCATTTCATATCCTTGAATGTGTATTAAACTGAAAATAATTGATATTTTTTTTGGACAAAATACAAAAACAAAAGACCAGAAAGTAGACTCTTCAATGGCTTTCAATGATTAACATTGATTTTGCTTTTTATTACAGTTTTCTGATGGAAAGTCATTTGGTTAACTTTAAACTGGTTCAATTGAGCGACAGTTAATTGAGATTGAACAATATTTTTGAAACATTTCATTGCAAATCATGAATATTTGGTAAAATTTCAATAGTTACAGTTTCATCTTCTTCATCCTTGATTGACTTTTGCATCTGTTGATTTGTTAATGTCTATGCCTGACTCTGAAAGGAAAACTCGACGATTTTCGAGTTTACGATTTGCCAACGGAAAGGTAACCAATCGTCCAGTTTCTCTTAATGAAAATAATCTCAATGAGAAGACATTCATTGTCATTGATGGACCATCGATAACATTAAGTGACCAACCAACGGAACAATTGGATGGGCAAGTGTTTCTGTCCTCAACATCTGCAGACAAAAAGAACCAGAAAGAAATGAATTACATGAAAGAATCAAGTTCCCACCCTGGATCACCGCCTGTGATCACAGTCAGGGAAAGTTCATCAACAACTGTTAACGAAAAGGATGACATAAGCCTTTACGGGACTCCTAAGGAGGAAATGGCTCCTGGATTTGGTGAAGCGAAAGCTTCCTTCATGAGACATCAGATTGAAGCTCTGTTTCAACCTTCGGACAATAAATTAGCAATGAAATTGTTTGGATCCAAAAAATTGATGAAAGAGCGACTTCGCCAAAAAGAGTCTGGCCATTGGATTATTCATCCTTGCAGTAATTTCAGGTATGTTAACCTAAGTCTATCTAATGGATCTGATTGTCAAATGTTATTCAAATGTTAGATTGAAATCAACTTTTTTAAAGGAAAACTCAGCTCTTAGCTTTTTTCATTTCTAGAAAATTTAAAACAGAAATTGCTAAATTTGATTGGAACAAATTGCAAATGTGAAATTTTCATTTCAATAGATGAAAATTATTTGAATATTAAAGGTTATAAAATTATTCTTTGAATTGGTTTCTTTTTGAATCATCATGGGTTAAGGCTTACCAACTAGCAATTTCAATCATCAACTCTAATCCAACTGCTAACATTGACTTTTCAACCATTGATGGCAAATAGAGTCAAATAACATTTACTTCAGGATTCACGATAATCTCTTATTGGTTAGCATTTAAACAGTCAAGATTATTAGACTCGTTACATTGGTATTCTTGTGGAATATGAAATTTGAAGAGTTTTCAGTTCAATCTACAGATATTCCAATTGAAAAGGATTAGTAATTTGAGTGCAAAACTACTTTTCCTCAATTCCAAATCTGATGCGTTGACAACATTATTAGCGTTTTATAATCCATAGACTTTTGCCAGTAAATGCTAGTAGATGGGACCAACTTCAACCTCAAAATGAACCCAATGGTCAAATATGATGAATAAAATGATCTCAAGTTTTATTAATGTGGCCAATTGGTTGCAATATTAATGTAAAATAAGCCAATGGTTCCAATTTACCTAATAGTCGAGTTTATCAAGAAAATTGTCACTTAAATCTTTTGAGCAACTGTAGTTTGAACTGCATTAGGTATTGAATCAAATTGACTTTTGCCATCAAAAAGATCACTTGTTAAGCTAAACAGTCGTTTAATCAATTTATGATGATAATAATTCAAAATATAATGTAATGTAAGCCCATGAAGTCAGTTGAACTTTGATGTTAGTGAAACTCGCTTTTGTTAAACCTGTGAAAATGAACATCAAACCTTCCTTCAACAATCAAATATATTTTTAAACTATTAAAAAGCAAAGCTATAAGAAAATTTATCCAACAATATTAAACTGATTTAAATAAATTTGTAATTCAACTGTCTGAGTATTATGATTCAAAAACTGTCATAGCCTTTGGTTTAAATTGAATTACATCTCATTTTAATAATCTTTACAGAAGTGTTTTTAAGTCAAGTTTTGATTGATTCATGACTCCTTTCATGATTTAGATGAAAATTATTGAACTGGTAAAATTTAAATATTGCCATTGCAATAGATGTAAGTGTTGAAATGAAATCAATTGGTATTAATATATTTTCACATAGTGAACAATGAACAAATGAATAACATTATTGTACTGTTTGTTCAATTGTTGCCATCAAAAAAACCATTATCCTTTCAACAATAATATTTGATTGAAAAAGCTTGGAAGACTTTTCATATCCAATTCAGAAGAAAATGTTTCATTCTTGAATTTCTATTTCCTCCTTCCTTTGGCCTGATGAATTGTACAAATGTAATTACTATTAATTATCAACTCTCAATTGTCTTGTAATAAGTCAACCTTTGACAAAACATTTGGCAAAACATTTCATATAACATTTGATATAACATTTGATGAAACATTTGATGTAATATTTGTTGTAACAAATTGTCTGATTGTTACAATCTGTTTGCTGATGTTTAGTTATAGTTAAGTTTTTCTTGAGCTGTTGGTATTATATTTCAATGATATTGCCTATTTAAAATTGTTCAGATCTTTGTTAATAACAATAATATATTGTTATATGTAGTTCAATGTCAATTGGCTCAGTCATTTTTTACCTTCACAATGAAAATAGCAATCAATTAATCGATTTAAACATGGCTATAACTGTAAAGGTAAACAGGAATACTATAAGTTAATATTGATAATGATTATATTTGCACAAGATGTTACCATTAGTTGCTTCATCGCAATCAAATCACATTGAATTGTAAAGATTGAATCAATTTTGTTTCATTTTTTTCTCCTATTTTTCATCTACAGTTTAACCTGTTTCATGAGGAAGGGTGAACGTGGTTGTACAACAATATTAATAAGCCTTATAATTATTATAATCATTCTTGTATCACTATTATCATATTGTAAGTAATCAATTCTAATACTAATCAATTTTAATACTAAACAGTAAATTCACGTTACGATTAAAGGCTTAGAGTGGGATCAATAGATGGCATTGTGTGTTATAAGAAACGCGCTAATTCAATGGGTTAAATGTTCATTCATTAGATGGGGCTAATTGAAAATTAAGCGCGGGTTTACTGTTTTGTTTTGTTATTGTAAATTGTTCAAACTAATTGAGTTTTTTTACTTGTTTTAATTTTATGTTTAATAGTGCTTATTGTATCCCACAAGCAATCTAATTATGTAACTCAAATGAAAAACCTTTGCCTAACTCCGGGTTGTGTTAAAGCAGCATCCTCCATTTTATCACGGTTAGACGTTACAGTTGATCCTTGCCATGATTTTTATTCATTTGCCTGTGGTTCCTTTGTTAAAATGAGAACAGTTCCTGATCATTTGTCAACTTACGACATGTTGCAACAAATGGAGGAAGTGTCAACCATTGAGATGAGAAAATTTTTTGAATCAAATATCAGCTCATCAGACGGTATTGCCATTGGGAAGGCGAAGATTTTTTATGCTTCTTGTATCGATGATAAATCCTCCAACAATGATACTGAAATTGTTTCAGCCCTCATTGAAACTATTGTACATTCAACTGGACCCTGGCCATTGTTGGATAGTTTAATTTACAACCGTAGTCCAAGTGAAATTAAACCTCCGCCATTAGAAGAACGCATTTTGGACACTTTTATATATCAAGTTCAATCTCTATTTCGAATAACCATTTTGCCTGAGATTTTACCTAATGCCACTAGAAATGATCTTTGCGTAAGTTTAAACCTTCAATACAACTTTTTTGTTTCAAATCAAGCAATCAAATATTTTTTTTATCAACACAAAACAAGAGTACTCAAGCAACCTATAGTTTAATAATGCTAATGTCTTTCAGCTATCTATTGGACGAACTGTGATTGAAGATGAATATCTTGTTAATCCCAACAAGACAGCAAAATACGATGAATACAAGGCTCTCTACAAAGAGTATCATATCAAAATGATGGAAAAATTGGCTTCCCTATTAGTTGGAGATGAGATTAAACTATCAGCTGAACACATCAGTGAAATCGATGCTGTAATTGATTTTGAAATGGAGTTTGGAAAGGTAAATCTCAATCAGCCTATTGCTTTGCTTCCAAATTAAGCCTACTATAAATTAATTGTTTTTTTTTTGTTTTTTTCCTGTAACTTTACCTTACCCTAGTTAACAGCGCAGGATTTTGCTGAATCAAATAACAATGATACCTCCAATATTAATAATAATGTTAATAGTCCTGTTAATAATAATGTAAATAATTCTGAGTCTCGTCCACCACGACCATTGATATCAATTAACGACTTTGCAAATAATTTTACTTCAATTCAATGGCAACTTATATTTGGTAAACTTTCCTCAATCTCAGGTGTAAATATTTCAGATCTGTGTATGGAGAAAGAAGAATACTTGGTTAAAATGAATGAACTGATTCCCAAATATTCTCTTCGAACGATTGACAATTACATCTGTTGGTCTATATTAGCCCAATTCATTGACTACCTTGGTCCCTCATTTCGCCGACTTCAGGTTGAATTTCGACGTCGAGTGCCCGAGATTCGTGTAACAGAGCAAAATCGTATCTTCTTTTCCCGGTGGAAGGAATGTGTTTACATCACAACTCGAATCTTGCCTATTCCTTCATCTCACCTTTACCTGGCTCATAAACCTGACCATGTAACTTCTGCAGCAATAAGAGTTAACCTGATGTTAAAAGAAATCAAAGACGCAATGTATCATATAATTGATTCACAAGAATGGTTGGATGAATCTAATTCCGAACCAAACAGTAACAATGTCAGGACCATTTTAAAAAAAAGAATTGCCGATTCATCTTTATTAGTTGGTTTACCCGATTACCTGTTGGATCGGCAAACGCTGGATGAACAATATAAAGATTTACACCTCTCTATGGATCAAGTTTTCATCAACAATTGGCTTAATTTAACGCGACATGAGAAAATATTGGAACTGTCTCGTATTGGATTAACAGCGGAGAAAAATCCATTCTACAATTCACCAACTGAGGCCAATGCTTTCTATGATTGGAACATCAAAATGATTAGTTAGTGGAAATTTTTTGCAAACCCAATCTTTACAATTTACTTTCTGTCATCTTCATGTTTAACATAATAATACAACACTAATTCAATGCAAACATTGAATTAACAAGAGAAACCCAGTTTATGCATTTATTAACAATATATTTACATAATCTAGTTTATTATAGTCCAATAGCCTCTTTATTAATGAACTAATTGTTTGCTTTTCTTTCTTTCTCTTTTTACTTCGATAACAATTATCACCATCACAATCAGCCTTTCCTCTTGGTATTTTGCATGAACCAATAATTAGCGAAGGTCGACCAAAGTAAGTTACAAATCTAATTTAATATTCAAATAAAATCAAAACAATCAACTGTTGTCAGCTAGTTTTCAAATTTTCATTCACCTTCTAAGTATATGTTAGATCACTACATTGAAAGATATTCATGCATAAGACGCGAGGCCCCTTGGGGCCGAGAGTCTTATGCATGAATATCTTCCCGTGTAGTGATCTAACATATACTTATAAACCCTGGATATGCTTAATAAGAGTGTTTAATTTTAATGCTCGACTTGGTCAACATCATTGGGCAGAAAGTATGTTTGCAATTTTGGAATCATTGATTAGTTAATCTTTTCTAGTGTCAATTTGATTTCATTGTAATAAATGTTAGCACACCCAATTACAATAACTGTACAATAATTTGATTACCTTACTTGGTGTAGGGATAACATTAGCCTTTGTTAGATTTTTGGGTTTCTGGTTCTTCAAATCTGATGCCTTTTATTTACTTACAACTAATTAAGACACTAATACAGATCGTTAATCTCACCACGTTTTGATCGTTACCCTAGTTTTTATTATCTAAACGTGATATATAAGGTTTAAGGTGATCATGTTTGAGAAATTACTTCTTCAGAAGCCAGAATTAATCAGATTAACGAAAAGAAAGAGGAAAAGAGCAGCAAAAAAGACAATTTAGATTGAATTAGCTTTTACAATTAAAAGTAGATCCCAATGTGAACATTATTTAAGGTTCAACTCATTTGATTCACATTGTCAAATCTTTTGAGATGATCATGATTGCCATTGTAGTTATGTTAATTACGATGAAGATAAGGATCAGTCAACTTGGATTCGCATTGATATATCAATCTACAATTTATTTATTGCCACTTTCTTAAGCCTTTTTAGGATAATCTTTGCTAACAATTAGACAATCAGCTATTAACAACTAATGGTAAATTAATACCAGTTAAATATTCAAATTAACGATCAGTCAGCAATTCTTATGTATCAATACTAATTACATGAATTAAAATTGCATGAGAAAGTTACTTCATTGTCTCTCCACATATTCAGGAATAGTGATAGTGTTTTAACAAAGCCAGGTTTCAACGTTTTTTCATGATTTGTTTCAAGATTCTGATTTAATTCACCATTTAACCTTCTATAGATTAAACACACTCATTAAAGTCAAATTTGTTTGGCCGTAAATAAGTTCAACAGTTAATTACTCGGGTATTGAAAATTGTTGATTTGGTTCTGATTAATTCCTTTTTTATTTTTTTAGATTCTTGGACTACTCAACATTAGGACATATTCTTGGTCATGAAATTGGTCATTCACTGGATAGAGAGCCAGACACCGACAATACAACAGGAATTAATTGGTGGCCATACGAGTTGAAAACTGAATATGAAAGAAGAGCTCGATGTTTTGCTGATCAATATTCAACTTACAAGATTGACTTGATCAATGAATTTGTGAGTCTAATAATGTACATTTCTTTCCAGAATATGCATTATTGAATCATCATTTAAAGTCAGACAGCAATTATTGATGTAAATATCGATCATCTAATCACTTGCATTAATATTGTACTTGCAACAATTGTTACTATTTATTGCTAACAATATAATACATTTTGGTCTAGCAATACCAGAAAAGGGAGAAACGAGAATCAAATTTAACCAAAAAATCTAACAATATTAATATGTTGAGTAAATTATCGGTTGATAGGAAGCACATTTACAGCAATTTAGATGTCTATTTTGACTTACTGTGATTATGTTGAAAACAGTTATTAAATCAATTGTTTGTTTCCATATCTCATAGAAACGCATTATTTTGTCTATGTCTTTATCCAACAGTGTTAATATCTGCAAATAATGTATCAACTTTTTACACAATAATCCAATTTTGTTTAATCAATTATTCATTCAATTGTTTGTTTCAGGTTAATGGTAACAATACTTTGACTGAAAATATTTGCGACTTTGTCGGACTTCAACAAGCATACCTGGCCTGGTCTAGGAGCACAATTGATCAGAAAACCCAATTACCTGGTTTAACTAATTATTCAAGTGATCAATTATTTTTCCTTCAATATGGTCAAGTAAGCTAATTAAATTAAGGAAAAAAGGACAAGAAAAACAAATAACAATTAAGAGGAATAAAGTAAGCAGTGAGGAAGAAACAGAAACAGAGCAAAGGACAATATCCAGAGAAACATTGAACAAAACATTGTCAAACAAAGTTTATCACCATGATAATCATTAATTCATTGTAATCATTTCTTATTAAATTATCTAAAACAAGAACAGCAATTATTACGACGACAGTTTAATCTTGGATGAAAGAAAAATTTTCACAGCAAATATTTTTCAAAAACACCAAATCCTAGCAGATTTAAGATGATATTTGAATAATCTTTTGACACTTTCCCTATTTCTTGTCCCATTTTTCATCGTTGAACCTTTTTAATCGATTTTATAATTATCTTTTTGATTAATCACTTTTTTCTCGACTAAACCAACAATCAATTTGTATCGCAGGTCTTCTGCGAAGTGGCGACACCTGATGGTTATTTGAAGAACCTATTGACTGATCCTCATTCTCCAGGAAAATTCAGAGCTAATGGAGTGTTGGTTAATACACCGCAATTTGCCAAAGCATTTAATTGTCCACTTGGAACACCAATGAATCCAGTTGGTAAATGTAAATTATGGTCACTCGAGTAGTTTACTGTTAATCATTTGGCTGGGCCAAATTAATTGTAATCATAGTCAACAAGTAGCTTGATACTCATCTATCATTAGTTGAAGGACGAAACATTTTATCCGTAATTTTTCCTCTCTTCACTCGTTCATTACCATCTTTTAATTGTTATTACATATAATTGTTATTGCTATTGATATTGTTTTTACTGTAATCTAAGTTATTCCTCGTTGGGAAAATTGATTTTACCCTTTTGGGTCTACAATGGTTTGGAATGCAATACATTTTTGATTCTTTTCTTGTCTTGTTTCTACGGTTATTGGTTATTGATTGTTAATGTTGACTGTTTCCAATGAACTGATTGATAATCATTTTAACTTTAATAACTGCCAAATATTCATCAACATTCAAATAGGAATCAATTGCCCGAAAAAAGTTATTAAAAGCTTATTGTACGTTTCATTTGACTTTTCAGTTAAAATAAATTTACCTTTCTAATTATTATTGGTTTAACCCAGTGATTTGCTTTTAGCCCTTTAACCTTTCCTGTCCAGTTCGATCATCAATTGATTTAAATTGAATAAATATGAATTGTCCTATTATGAGTTGATTTGTGAGTTATGCTTACACAATTGGTGTAATCAATAGGTTTATTTCAAGTCTTTAGTAGTAATACAAGTTTTATACTACAAATATAAATGTAATATTATTTGAAAGAAAATTAAAGAGCAGAGAAACATCACAATCAACAATCCAGTCATTACCAGGTTTAGGTAACCTTAATTGTTTTGTTAGTTTACTTCAAGTTTCTCAATTCATTAATCAAACAGTGTTTTACTATTAAACTCTTGTGTGTTGAATCCTTAAAGTATATCAATTTTAAACACCAAAAAAACATTGAAATTAATGACTGGCAGTTGATCACAACTTAAAGTTTCACTTTAATAACACAATTAGGACAAAAAATTGTTTGATTAAAAAGAGGATCCAAATGAAAACAGAGAAAAATTGAAGACAATTTGCCATCTTCATTGGGATTAAATTGTGTTTCTGGAAACAAACCTTAATTCGATAATCAAATGCTTGTTCATCATCAAGAAGGTTAATAATTTAAGTTTACAGATGAATTGATTACAATAAATTTTGTGTATAACATTTTTTGTCAATATAATATTTACATGTACAAGTAACACAACCCATAGTATAATATATTTTCATTTGCAGCAATCGAACACAATAACCAACAATAATCAACTTGATTTACCCAAATTGTTCCTTAGTAATTAACAGAAAATTGAAAAGGTTTAACAATCAAAATGTAAAGGATTAAACAGATTGGGGATAAAAAACAAAAAACAAATGAACATTTACATTGGAATAAAAGTATTTGTTGAACAATGATAATCATTGGCACAAATCAATAAGGAATTACATTCATTAGGGAATTTGACTTAATAAGGGAAAAATTAAGTTCAATTGGTTCATTAAGGAACACATTAGACATGGTAATTCGGTATTCAAGGTTCACTAAGAAACGAGAAAAACCAAGTTTGCAGATTTACATCAAGTTGAAGTTGGTGTCTGATCGTGCAGAAAACCTGACAATGAAAATGTTGTCAATTTCTTAATTTATCTTCGTATTGTTGATGGAAAGACGAAGAAGGTGAAAGTAGCAAAGGATAGGAATAAAGGATGAGAATCAGGGTAAAGAACAAATAGAAAGAATAATATGTTTTGTTCGTTGATCTGTTTATGAAATTTCTTCTTCTTCTTCTTCTTCCTCTTCTGCTTCTTTGACCACCATCATCATGTACGGATTCACAAAATATCGGGAATATTCAAGCAACCATGAGAAGAAAGATGAATAAGAATCAAAAATAGGAATGTAAATGATGGTAAAGGAATGAAGATGAACTTTTGAAAGAAAAAAAATGATACAATCGGTTACATGGGAAAGGATGATGAAAAGTGAAGATAAATATCAATGGCGAAAACATTATTTTTTTGTTTCATCAAACCACAAACTCATTAGTTGAATAATACATTTCTTTAGGTCTACTAATAATAATGATAATACGCATTTTTGTTTACTCATGATGATGATCTTTCAAATGATATGAACAATTGAGATTATGAGAATGATGATGATAATGTTAAAGACAAAATAGGGATCAAGAAATAAACAAGAGTTTACGGTTATTAGAGAAGATAAAATCGATTGCATTCAAATTAAGTCAGTGATCATGATCATCATGTTGATAATGTTGATGAGTAAATCTTTCATTTCATCATTAACCACGCAGCTATTAATCTATTTATATATTTAGGTTTATATATTTGATCCGTATCATCATTCAGTGTCATTTCGTCATTTATCATCACCATCATCACTATCAACATTTGTTTCAAAAAGATGCATTTAAAAATATGATGAGAGGCAGGCAATCACGCACATTGTTTAAGTGTCATCGGTTTGTTTCACTTTTGTTGTTGATATTATTACACAAAGAGGAAGGAGGTGAGTGAAAAAAGATAATTTCAATCAAACAAACAATCAAATTAATGTATATTAAAAGAAAACAAACACAAATTTATCACACAGTTAAAATATGGCTTTGATCAGTTTGTCCCGATGGATTTAAATAATTTGTTGATTCTTTCGACTTCATCATCACCATTATTGTCGTCGATGTTATTATGATTATTAATTGTTTATCATTAATATTATTATTTGCCGAGTTGGTCGCCTGGTTCCTAAAAAAGAATGACATTTGCTTTATCCAGTTCATTGGTTTATTTTATATTTCAATTTGTATTATTTCTCCTTCTTTTCTTTACGACAATATATTTCACGTTTCTTCGATTTTTTCCAATCCTTTGGTTCAGTCAAGGGAGTCATTTCACCACATTTCATATTATCGTTTTAGGTTCTTTATAGTTCTTTGAAATGATACTTTTCTTTGATTTGATATTTTCTGGGCTCACAATCGGCTTCTTGTTTGTTTCACTTTTTTTTTATTCACTTTGATTTCTTTTTGGTTAGGTTTCTTTTTCATTAGCAGTAGAATAGAGTATTTTTAACAAAGTTAATTGTGAAGACAATGATGGTTACGATGATTTTGAAAAATCGTATTACAAGGTTCGTATGAAGGTCTATAATGCCACAATCTTGTTTGAGCTTTCTTCGTAATTCAGATCTGCTTAATCTTGGTAATAAGTTCTTCATTGTGCTTATCTTTAGTACATTCAACATCAATTAGTCGAATGTTTGCCATTTTGACCTCGGTATTTCAGTTCCTCCATTCAATTTAGTTTTAACTCTATTGTTATTGTTATTACCAGAGTTACCAGATTTGCTTAAATTTTCAGGTTTATAGCTTTGCTTCAGCCTATCCTTTGGTATAGTTAACTCTATCTGTTGATCTGGATTAACATCATTAGGATTCAAACCACTCGTCGATCGTAAATTATCATCTTGAGCGTAAGGTTGTTCCAGTGAGCTGTTCTTGATACCATATCCAAAATACATAATGAAACCTGTTAAAGAACGGACAATATAATATGTTAATTAGATTCCATAAACATTTTCAACAGAAAAAGATTTGAAAATACTTTGGAAATACAATTCTCATTGAGTAACCAAAGAAATTGTTGATAGTTGGTAATCATTTTTGGGACACTGAATTTGAATGGAAACTCAGAAATCAACTAAAATGAATTAAAAGATAATTATTCTTACCTAGAGTCATCCAAATTGCAAATCTAACTAATGTCAATATTGAAAGCCTAAAGATCAGGTAAATGTTAATTACGATGGCTAAAGCAGGCACAAAAGGGACTCCAGGAGCTTTGAATTTCAAATCGCATCTATAAACAAAAGATAATCAGACAATCATAGAATCAGAAAGAAAAAGTTAATATAAAATGAACAAATAATTAGTTAAATGAAAAAACACAATCATACACACTTGTCGGGTAAAAGATTGAATCAGCAGAAAACAATGAAAAATTTTAATATTGTAATACCTGAGCAAATGAATTTTCACAATTTGATTACAAAGAAATAACTAATTAACAGGCCAATTAGCAGTCTACTGTTCCAAGAGTAATTAATTTCACACAATAAAACAATAATTAAATTATAATTAAAACAAGATGTAAAAATTTACCATAAACAATCAAATAAAGTGAGAAATAATCAAAGCTACAGAGAAGCGCCAAATTGTATACAAGCAAATGTAACGACATCTATTAATGATTAACTTGATTGATATTTAAGATTGAAATTTGAAATGAAATGTTAATTTTATGAGTTGATTAAAATAATCAAATGATGCTTGACATTAAACATTAATGATTACTGTAAAATCAGCATTAATCAATAAAAATAAAGCATCTTCAACTTCATTTCCCATGTTTTAACCATTAAGTGATAAAAGTGTAAATAAGAAGCTTCAAGGCATTTAGATGATGTTTTTTTCGTATTACACTATCCATTATTAAATTACTTTACAGTTATTAACCTGTTCGTATGAAAAAAATGTAGTTTTAAGGTTATCTTTGCTTTTATTTATTTACTTTTTTGCTTCATTATCAAGTTTCAAAGGGACTTTGATAACCCTCAAGGTATGAATAGCATGGTCTGAAAAACTGTTTCAACTCTGAATACATTTCCATGAGTCTGAAAGGTTTAACTTTTAAGGTGAAGATCAAACTAACCCTTGAATAGTTCACTAAATGAATATAAAAATGTAGCATGAATTTATTTAATCAACACTCTTTAAACTAATTAAGTCAACAAAGCTCATAACCCAAAAGACAGGAAAAATGATTGAGAAAAGAAGAAAAATTGAAATTGAAAATTTTCTGTAATAAAAGCATAAAAGAAATAGCATTTCATTTGATTGTTCAAGTAGTCAATCTGTTGAATATCCATTTACTTTCAAGTAATGATATCATGAGAATCTCAATGGATTTTACCTTTTCCTTGTTTCTCACCTTTTCAAGATCATTTTCATTGTTTTCCTCAATCATTGAAACAAATGCATTCCCAATGTATTCATCTCATTGATTCATGTACTTCTCGTTGTTCCCTTGTTATCATGAAAATGGTGAAACATGTAACAGTTAGAGTAACAGTTAAGGCAACAGTTAAGGTGAAAAATGCAGCTAACAACAAAACAACTCAAGTCAAGTGGAGATAAAACCTTTTCTTTCCCTGAAAATCCCAATTTCTGAAGCTACTTTCAAAATCAACTTTTCAATAACCATTTACTTCATGATAATTTTGTCAAGTTTCATGTTTCATTTTTAAGCATCTTCTCACTATTCAACCTTTTTCATCATTACACTTGAAGATGATTAAAAGGGAATCAATTTCAGGATTAAATGGTTACATTATTGTAAATTACAAAAGGTAATGACGAGTCTGATGAGGAAGGCGGTAGGAGGAAATGTTACCTGGGAAAATGTTATTTGCAAATAACATATTTGCTCAATATCATTGTTGATTTCAATTCATTATGATCATCATTCATTTCAATCCTTTTTCCTCCCAGAATGATTCATCTTATTTACTTTCCTGTTTCACATTAAATGTACTTTTGTTTTCCAATTTTTATTATTTGCTCTTTTTTTTTGGTGAATAAAAGCAAGTTTCACTATTATTTGAGGATAAAATTGCGATAAATTGGCAAATAAAAAGGGTAACAATCAATCTGATTTTATTCATTTTCAAATTCAATCTCAATGTGTTAAACTATTGTAACAACAATTTAGCGATTTACGATCGTTTATTTACTTCAAATCATCTTTTTAATCAACTTTCCCTTTATCACATTAATTCAATGAAAGTTCACCTTTCACTGTTTATTGTAATATTTACAGAATCAATTAATATTTTAATCAACATTTCATTGTGAATATTGACAATCAACTTCAATGGTTCGTTTAAATGGGTTTAATGTTGCCAAGAGTAACATTATTTCGGAATTGATATTGTGTTTGAAATCTAATTTTGAGTTGAAGTGATGATTATGAACAGATTATCATGTAATGTTGACTGAATTTCAGAATAAATTTAATAACATTTTACGAGAAGAAAAAGGTTTGACTGAAAATTTTTCTTCTTTTTTTTGATTAAACAATTTGACTCTTCATCTTAACTGAGTAAACAATTTTTATCATTACATTCATGAGATTGCATGGATGAATCTGTAAGGTAAAATCTGATAAACAAGGTAAATGAAACATGTAGATATTAGCGTGATGTTACCATAAGAATTTATAATTTGATTCTAAATAATGTTAACATAAAAATGATTACCTAAGAAAAAGGATTCTAAGGACGAACCAAGAAATGAAAATGAGATTGAAACTGAAGATTCATTTTAAGCAAACTGCTGGAGATTCACGATAAACCCATAAGTCCACTTTTGGCTATCAAATGAGAGTAACAGTGAAAATAATGAAACATTATATTGAAAAAGATTTTCCATGAAAGAAAAATATTCTTTCTGGTGAACAACCGATGTTAACCGACTTACCAACTCATCATAACCAGACAAGCAAGGTGTCAGTTTGATGATGAATATCTTCATGTTATAATCAGATTGAATATCAATTCTTAAGGTTTTGAGTATAGATCTTGTCTGGTGTTAACTTGATTAGAGTTTTATTTTGTTGGTTTATGAGTAGCTAAACGTTTAGTGAAATGTTTATTGCATATTCTGACCCAGAATTCAATAGCTAAACAACAGTAATAAGGCTTGAACATGATTAAATGGAACATCTTTAAATGGACATTGGAATATTACTGAAGTTTATAATCTCTTGGTTTGCTTGCATGATAAAGATTCAGTCATAAATACAGGTTACAAAGATTGTAGAGTCACGCTTGTCTTAAACCAGAATCAGAGTCTGGGTGATGAGTAAATGATTTCATTGAATTGTCTCTTAGATTCAAATGTTTCGATGATCTTCAGTTAACTATTCATCTCACGATTCATTATTAGTATAGTTGAAGAAGGAATCTATCAACAGACGAAACTCTGAATTTTTAATTTCCACCGACTTGAAGCAAATTGGCAATATCAGCTAATCTAATACGAGACTTTTTCAAGCGGAAATATTGATCAACAGGATTAGATAAAAAATTGATTGAAAAACTCAATCAGTTTGTCTTAACAAGACTAAAGACGATCTAAAAAAAGCAGAACTTCAGTTGGAATAATGAATAAATGCTTCAAATGATTTAGGTTTGATCGAGATAAGATGATGGATTTGAATTGGATGAAGGAAAGAATGATTTGTTAATTATAAATCAAAGTGAAGGTTGATACTGAAATTGACTGAAATAAGAAATGGTCTTTAAAGAGTTGAATCTGAAGGTTGAGAGGAGATGAAGATTCAATCAGAAGGAAGGAAAGACTGGGAATGAATTTTTTTTGTTCAACCAGAATCCAGAATAGCAAGTTGAAAAGTAAATTGCCAGTGAAAGCTAAATAAAGGTTAAGGAAGATGAAGATGGCTCAATCCTGGTTCATTTCATCTATTTTTCAACTCTATCTGTTATAATTATTTTTTATTAGTGGGTTGTGATGGTTACTGTAAGAGCTGTTGGTTGCATGTGAGTGTCAGTGATTCATCTGATTTCACTGAGACTCATGGTGAGAGACAAGTAAAACAATTAACTTTTCAATCATTTCATTCCTTCCACTTTTACCATCAACTTTTCCCTTTTTAAATTGTTAATCACTTAACCAACTCAATCAAAATTAATACACCACTTTACTGTCTTAAAGCCTCGTTTAATATTCAACAAGTTAAGATCAATTTGCAAGTTAACCAGAAAAGTGGCTTGAATCTGGTCAATGTGGGTAATCTGGTTACACATTATCATATTAACCAATCACTCCAGACTAATCATCAAATCAAATCACTAAATTGACAGAAAATAATCAAGATAATTGATTTAAATTTCAATCGAAACACTGATTGATTGAATTGATGGTTAGGACAAAATTTCAAACAATCACAAACCAAATAATAAATGTAAATCAAATTGTTGGATCCATTAATTTGCTATAGATTTTTGTAAACATTATTATTGTTCATCATCGTTAGCCACTGGATTCAATTTAAATTGAAAATAATGAACATTGTTATTGTAAAAGGTGAAACAAAAGACTGGTTTTATGGTGAAAAACCAGTTTAATAACAAAAAGAGATAATTCAAGGATTTGATTAATGATGGCTTAATGAATTGAGTGACCAGAAAAGCCATGACAAGGAAAACTCAAGAGTAAGATTAGCGAAGGAAAAAATAGGATGAAAAGGGTAAAAGGGATAAAATGATAATCACCAGATTAAAGTTAACAATGTTAGATGTATTAAGTGTAAGATTGTCTACCTGTTCAAATCAATCAATGATATACTTTATGGTACAATGTTTAAAGCTTTTCCAGTCTTTTACCTTTAGCTTGTAATATTAATAATTGAAAGCTTAAAAATAGCACCAAATGGAGCAGAAATGTTAAGGTAAAAGCAATTGTAATTATTTTGAAAGGTAAACGTTGCTTTTTTGTATGATAATTGTGATATTATTTATGATCTTTAATAAACTATGAGTTGATTTAGTTAAAGTGAGAATTGTTTCAACGATTTAGAGTTTAATTATCTAATTGTAAACCTTGATTTCAGAGTATTTTTACTCTTTTACATTAAATTCAGAGACATTTTGGCTTCTTTTTTGCTTTTTTTCCTGTTCCATGATTTTCAAAAGCTTGGTAAAAGGCAACTCACATGAAGAAAAAGGTTAAGCTTTTCAACTTTACCTGTTTTCATTATTCTGGGCCTTATTCAGTTTCCTTCATTTTTCATCTCTTCATGTTGATTTTGTTATTTTCATAGACAATTTTCAACAGATTATTCAAAGTAAAGTGCAAGTAAACATGTAAAAAATGGCTGACTTGAGACTCGAATGGAAAAGATGAAGATGTAAATTGGAAGAGAAAAATTACTTAAAAATGTCTCATTAACGGTTAATTAGGTAATCAATTTGAAGAGGAAAGGTTGATGAAATTGGAATCATTTTAAAGAAACAATTCAACCTGGAATAGGAAAGGTAATTAAGAAGCCAGTCTGAAGAGTAATCAATCCTCATATTGAACAAGTTGAATCATCATTTTCACTTGTAATTTCAGGATAACATAACAGTCAATTTTGTAACTCAACTCATCTTGTCTTGATGTTTATCAGTTTAAAGATGATAGATGAGTTTCAAGAGTTTCAACATGAAAAGATGATGGTCATGGATTGAAAGGTCAAAGTTAAAGATAACAAAACTGGTTACCAGGTTCAAGTGAAAGTTGCCTTTGAAAGTGTTTTGATTTCGATTTTGATGATCATGTCAAAAGCATTCATTAAACTAACAATTAATGAACAATTTGAATAATTATTGTGAGCACAAAAAGGCGTTCATCAAATCAGCTTGAAATTATTGGTTACACCATTTGACATTCAATTTACAGTTTTTAATGAATGGTTAACCCAAAGAATGTATTCAATTAAGAGAAATTGTAATTTTCCAGAATTTTACTTGAATTAATTCATTTTGGAATTTCATGAAACATTATTGATTTGAAATTTATCTGATATTTTTAACCAGAAAATATGACATTTCTTGTGCTGTTTGGGAATTCAAATTGAATAATAAATCTGTATGAATAAATGGATCATTGCATGTTAAAAGAGAAAAGAAGATTCAGAATTTTCAATGTTTCCATCGACTGAAAGGTCTGCTTCTGATGGTCAAGATGACATGAGATTAAATTCACTGAAACAAAATAGCTAAACGTATTAGAGCAATTTGTTGCTAAACTAATAACAATTGTTGGATATTTTTGTGAATTTGAAATGAGAGAAACTCATTTGAATTTGAAAACTGAGAAGGAATTTAAATATTTAATTTATTCAGTTAAACATTTCCAGTGATTGCTGGGAATGATAATAATCAATATTTCTTGGCTAAATGTTGAAGTTGCCTGAAAAGGCTAATTGATTTACAGTAAATTAAACTGTTATAACACTGAAATTCCAATAGCTATTTTCAAATGATTAATGATGAAGGTAAACTATTGACTTCAATTAGGATAATTGGTTTGAATGGAAATATTCATTAAAATTAATTGATCATTTTCATAGGCATATTAACCATTGAATAAGTCAATTCACTTTGAAAGGATAGTTGCTTTCAACACTTTTGTATCAAATTGTTAAAATATGTTCAATTATCTGATTGATAAATTGTTGTTAGATTGTTGTCATTAAATCTTGTAAAAAGGTGAATCGATTTTTCAATTTACCATTGAAAGATGGAAATAATTTAGTCGATTGAAATGGAAATGTTTTTCCAACAGTTGACATGCAATTGTTGGATACTTAATGTGTGTATGTTGTGTTAAATTGTTGCAACAAAAAAAAAGGATAATTTAGTAACAATTGAACCAACCTGATCTGAGGTTGTCTGGCAATGGCAAAAATACAGGCAACAATTGCCACAAGACTGGATATAAAGAGGCCAAGAGCAATGTGATTACCAGAATCTAGTGAATCACTGAACCAAGCCAGAATAATATCAAATACAATCGTTACTATGTACAACAAACCGACCAATTTGATAACCAAAAGTCCAGTTTCATCGGTTGCAGGTCCATTAACCTTCCAACCATACGGAAAAAGGTAGACACAAATTTTCTCGTAATACTCCAATATACTTGACCTGAGAAGGAAAAGACAAAAAACTGGTTAATTTTGGGTAAATTGAGATTTACATTGAAAAACAATCTTTTTTGTTAGGCTTTATCTTTTGAAGAGCAAAGCTTTGGTTTCTGGTTATTGGGTGTGAAATGGGTTAAATGGTGAAAGGTTGACAAATCAAGATAATTGTGATTGAAATAAATTTTAATTCATTTTTTAACCAACATTAATGATGAAACAATGGCTAGACTGATTTGAATGGATGAAAGTTAAATATGAAAGATTGGGTTACGTTGTTGATGAAAGCATAAATTCATTCGGATAACCATGAAATTGATTAAATGTTAGCAGAGTGGGAAGATTGGTGGACATTAGAGGGAAAGAAGGAGAAGAAGATAATGGATGATAACAAAAGTGATACAAAATGAGAGACAATTCATAGAGTTGCCACTTTTTTTCCACTTTTCATCTATTTTTAGTTCTGTTTCATTTACCTCCTCCATTGTTCACATTTTCATGTGTATCTATCGTGAAGATGAAGAGCTGAAAAGAGTTTATGATGATGATGATGGGAAGAAGAGTGAAAAGTAAATCAAATTGAAACAAACTGGCGAAAGGCAAAGAATCGATTCTCAACATTGACACAACAATATTCAAAAGGTAAAAGGGATTTCATTGCTTCCAGCTTCACAGGGTTTTACAATAATAAATGTTCAACTCAATTTATCAATATCTGAGCTTTCCATGATGCTTTTAAAAAAGCGATGGAATAAAGGGAAAAAATTTCAACAAAAAATTGATTGATTGTTTCAACTGTAAACCTGATTTAATCACAGTTACCAGTTTAACATTCAACTCAGGGTTAGTTGCGCTTTGCAATCTTAATTGTACTGAATAAGTTTACAATCAGTCAATTTTTGCTATTAACCATTGAAAGTGTATTAACATAAAGATAACTTGACCCAGCAATGATAAATATTATCACAAGAGTTGAATATTGAATTTTATCAAAAGCTTATCTTGCGCACAAGTCATAAGTTATAAGGTGAAAGGTAAGGTTTCAGGGAATAAAGAAATGGAGAAATGGCGAAAAATGAAAATGTTTCAATTTTATATTAGCTGAATTTATAGACAGAAGCTGATGATTATCTTGATAATTTTGAATGCAACGAAAAAAATTGGGTTAAAGATTGACTTTTGTCAGATGGGAAATACAATTTTAACCTGTCTTCATATGTTCATTTTACCAGGAAATAAAAGAGATAACCGATAAGTCTGAATTGTTGATCCACTTTCAGAGTTTATCTAATGCTATCTATTTTATGTATTTTATCTTCTGTCAAAATGTCAAATGTATGGACAAGAAAAGGATGAGGAAGGAAAGGCAAAATGCGATTCCCCAAAATCAAACAACAGCATCAGTAAACATATGTTTCAACTCTAATTATTTATAAGGTAAACAAGGCAATTGTGATACAATTATATGAATTCAACTCATCTCATGAAACTTTTATTCACCCATTTTACATGCATTCATTATTCCTGAGTTAATGGTTTAATCCGTGTCTTTTCGTTTAAATTCAAATTGTCACATTCATCATTCATTTAGAGATTAAATGATTTTCAGTTTCGTTTCAACTTTAGATATAACTTCTGTTGCTTCATGAGAAACTTTAATGTCACCTAACCCATAATGATGTTTTGATACTCCATTCACATTTGGCTCATCTTCCTCATGAAATCGTTGGCGTATTGGTCGTTGTGGAGGTCGTTATCAGTAGGTTTACTCAAATTAATTTCCAAATGTCCAATACCTTCTACCCTTGGATACCATGTTGTGTGCAGAGACAATTGAATAGATTAGATAGAGTGGAATAAAGATCATTATTGTTCGTCCCATCAGTTTTCTGAGATTGATTTCTTTTATCATTTATCATGAGTTCAGTTTGAGTTCCATTATTTTTCTTTAATGACTGTCTAACTCGATCAAATCTGCTATAAGAAGTGAAGATCTAATAGGGCGATCCTCAGAGTCAGATGAATCACTCATCAATCCTTGCCGTCTGTCTTTGCCTTCAAAACTTAGCTTACGATTTAATGGTTCTCTAGGTCTCTTTGGTGAAGGTGAAGCTTGTTTATCAGATGGTCTGGTTGCAATGTGAATTCATTCAAAATTGAAACAGGGAACGGACTGAGCTCTCTTTCCTTACCAGAGCCAGATAGAGTTGATGTTTTGGGCATAACAAAAGGCCTGTTAACAGTTTCAACAGGATCATTTAGATTTTCAATGTACCGTTTAGTTCCTTTATTGACTACATATCGAGTCTTCTCTCGTGCCTCAGCTTCTTCAATCAACTTGTCAAGATCAATATCCTCGCTGCCTTTACCAAGAGGAGAAGTATCTTTATCGTTTTGGTTTGTCGTACAAATCACTTCCTTTAATAGAATCAATTAGTTGATTGACTTTGTCAACTACTTTACCAAAACACATCTTGAACAAGACGATTACGGTTGACAGCAGCATTACATTTGGGACAGTTACAGATGTCTTCTGCCGGGTCCAGTTGACAATACAATAATAACAGAATCGATTTCCACCCGAATTTCTCATCGGCTTAGTCATGAGATTGTGCCAAATAGCACAAGAGACACTTTTCTGGATCCTTTTGAGGATTATAAGCGCAGTTTCATCAGCATATTTAACCATGATTAAATTAAATAACTTCAAAACTGAGCTTAAAATTTAATGGTTCTCTGGGTCTCTTTGGTGAGGGTGAACCTAGTTTTGTTTTTAACCAGATTTGGGTTCACTTTGAATTGGTTAAAAGTTGAGATTGTGTTAATCAAATTACCTGGTTGGTTGATACAATTATTATTAATGTCATTATTTAATGAATAAGCTTAATATGATTATTAAATTAATCTTGAATTTTATCTTACATTATTTACAATTCACTTTTTTTCTGGTTCTGCACTAGTTATTCATTTCTCAGGTTCATTCAGAAGGATATGTTTGTTAGTAAATTATTTCTTGTATTTGACTAGTTATTACTTTTATCATTATTGTTATTGCTATCAATTCATATGTTATTGTGATCAAAGAATCGTAAAATTCAATTATTTTATTTGGATAATAAAAGCTGTAAGACTAACAGAGGTTAACAAAAGGTTGATTAACCGTTATAACCTACAAGCATCCAAATAACAGACAATTTAATCATCGTCTTTAATTTCATCGTAATAATCCCAACAATAGTCAAGATTATGAACATGCTTATGATTATAATCTCATGACTACAGGCTAAATGGAAACATCTTTTCCCAAGAAAATAGCTCAACATGAATTGGATTGAACATATTTACTTGAACATGAAGAGGTATTATACATGTAACTCCAATCATATTGCATTTTAATGGCGATCAAATTAAGCAAGGATATTAAATTTGATCATTAAAGCTGACCAATTTAATAACTTAAGTAGATTTGATTTTATGTTTTCGCAATTAGCACTAATTGCGAACGAGAAATGGTTTCTTATAATGTCAATAGCTACTTAATTATCTCATCTCAATTCAATTGTTTTGAAGATCATTTCCAATCATTTTACATTATTTGAAAAACATATGATTATGCGTTTTATGGATTCTTATAATTATCATGTCTAAATTTAAGATTAATTATTGTTGATTTGTGATGAGAAGGAAATGTTGCTTCAATGATTTGATTATTTGTCAAATAATCATGACTGAGTCAATAAATAAAACAATAAAGCCTCGAAGGGAATGATAGGGAAAAACAAGAATAAGAATTGATAAGAAATGAGATATTTTCATGTAATAGGATACAAGTTAGTAGATGAAAAAATTATGAAAGTTGTGAGTAAAGGAAGAATTGAAGACTTTATCTAATTCTTGTTCGCTCTCTCCCAATAGGATTTTATTTTTATATCAAAAAAAGATGATGTTGATGATGACGAGGATAAAGTAAATGGAAAAAGGTTAAAAAGGGAAAATAATGGTTTCCTATCTTCTTACCTTTTACCACTACTTCCACCATGTTGATAAGGAACTGATCCATAATGATAACCCGCTGTTCCTGGAACCAAAAATTCATCATCTTTACTTTCTTGTCGGAAGCAATTTGGATCTGTATCATCGGATTCACTTGAATCATAACGATTGGTTCGCTTTGTGTGAACTCGCTGCTCTTCTCGGGTTACAAAGGGTGTAAATGTTGGTGTGGTAGACATTATTGGGCCCATTGTTGGTGGACCTGGAGGAAAGGAGGCTTCACGAGATGGAGTATGACATGCTGATCTGATGGATTCGGGTAACAGGTCAACAAGGTTAGCTCGATTAGGTTGGTAACGAAGAAGCAAAACACAAGTGGAGACAAGAGTGTAAGCCATGAGAGTACCAATGGACATCATTTCAACGAGAACTTCAAGGGAAATTAGAAGCGATGCAAATGCTGTACAGATGCCGAAAAAAACAGTGGCAATCATTGGGGTTCCAGTGGGCTGCCAAACAGAGGAAAACCTACGAAATATTAGGCCATCTTTGGCCATAGCATAGACTACTCTAGGCATTGGAAACATGGAGCCCAACATGGAGACAGTGAGTCCTGCTAGAGCACCAATTGCCACCAAATCTTTCCAATGGTAAGCTCCAACCGAGTTAAACATTTCAACTAGCGCTGAGTCAACATTAATCTGTTCCCAAGGAACCATAAGGGTTAACACAAGGCTGGAGGTGGTATAGGCTGTAAGGGCAATCAGAAGACTTGATATTATGGCGGTGGGAATGGACCATTTAGGATTTTCTGCTTCTTCTCCGGTGGTGGCTATTATATCGAAGCCAATGAAAGCATAGAAACAGGTTGCTGCTCCTGACAAAACACCGGACCAACCATTGGGTAGGAAACCTCCGTGTTGCGACCAATTGCTAAATGATATATAGTACAATGAGACAACCATTATGATGGCCCATGAAGTGAAATTAATGACATTGAGAACGTTGTTGAAGAGAAGTGACTTTTTAACACCGGCAACCAGTATACCAGTCATACATAGGGTTATCAGGGCGGATAACAGGTCAGGTGAATGACCACCGATACGGCCAAATAGTGAGGCTGTTGCAGTGGAGACCGATTTATCGGCTAAGGCATTGAGGCAAGCTGAGATGGCACAAGCACCGGCAGCTGTGCCAATTAAATATTCAAGTATCATGTTCCAACCGATGATGAATGCAATGAATTCACCCACCGTAACATATGAATACATGTATGCTGATCCAGTGGTATGAGGCACTCGGACACCAAATTCAGCATAACAAACACCCGATAAAAGGGAAGCTATTGCTGCTATTAAGAATGATATCGCCACTCCAGGTCCTGCATATTTATGAGCCACCATACCGGTTACCAGATACATTCCAGTTCCAACACAACTTCCAACTAAAGGAATCAACAAAACAGTAAATGATTAGTTTGCTAAATATCTATTCAACAATTGGATTAATGAGCAAAAAAAGGGAATACTATTTGAACAGTAACATTCAATGAAAAGCAGAGGATTAATGAAACAATTAATAGCAATGGACAAGAAATTGAGGTTGAACAAGCAATTTAATATCATATTAATATTAGAACTGATTGCTTTCATGAATGTGTACACAATAAATGCTATTTCCCTTTATGTGTACACTTCATGGTTATCCTTAATTTTCACCATTGAGAAATGCCATTAATAACTTTTGAGCTGATCAATGAAATGATTGTAATAATAAATAATTTAAGAGAAGCTGGTTAATATTTTCTGTTGCAAATGAATACTCCATTAAATTTTGATTTTATTTAGCTTTGCTCATGATTTAATAGACAAAAAAAGGTGAATATTTTTTTCCACTTTTATCCTATTAAATGATGGTACATGTAACATTGAATTTTTGTTGCCTCAATCATTTGACAAAATTGATCTAAATCAGATTTCATCTTGAAAAAAAGTAACTCTAAAAAAATAACAACCAGGCTAACATGAGAATAAAATTTGGTATGAGAAATCACATTACATTTACGATATTAGACAATGGAATCAACATCAACATGTAATGTTGAAAAACAAATTGTGATTGAAGAAGAGGGAAAAAAAGAATCAATTGTTCAGATTAAAGAGGAATGGACAATCTCCAAAGGAAACAAATATTCAATGTTATCTACTTGAGAATGATGATGACCAGGATTGGGTTAGTTGCATTATTGAACTCACAAGGTTCAAATGTATTGCACATGGTAAAGGTAGAACAAAGGTTAACAGAACAAGGAATAAGAAAAGAAGGGAAAAGAATGATGATGATGATGATAAGTTGAGATAAAGATGAATATAACATCTTAAATCAAACCTCTTTGGTACAATTTCAAGGGAAACAAATTCATCTTGAGATTGTGTCCTACAGAAAACTAAAGGTAAGGCAAAAGTGAAGTGAAAAGGTAAAGACTGGATAAAGGGAAGACTTTTTGTTCATCCTCAGGGAAGGTAAAGATGAAGAAGAGATGAAAGATTGAATGATGGCGAATAAGGAAATGAAGTAAAACAAGATGAACAAGAACGTGGTAAATGTGATGAAAGTTTATCAATTTGAATGATTTCTCCATGAATAGCTGTAAATAGTGGAGGGACTTGGAGTGGAAATGATCATCATGCTGATATCCTAAACTTACCACCAAGTGAAGTAAGATCCAAAGTGGTTAAACATTTCTGTGAGGCAAAGACAAGAAATAAAAAGGTAAATATTAATGAAATGTTGTAAACATTGATCAATGTTGCAAGTTTAAAAGTGGCAGCAAAAAACACTTCACTCAGCTCAGTTTAAATGTTTTAATATTGGCGAATGGACTGTAAAGGGAATGGAAAAAACGAAGGCAGCAAATGGAGTAAAAACATTGAAAATGCCTGGAAGCTTCATTGGTCTTTATGTGTTCACCTATTTTTTTGCTTACCTTTTACCTTTTTTCACATTTCATCAATTTTCAACCAATTTCTCACTCAATACAAAACTACATTTTTTTGTCAGTCATTTTGATGTTTCTTTTTTCACCTTTTGTTCAACTTGTAACTATTGCTTGAAGACAACAATTGATAGTGAATTTTTTTTATTGATAATGTTCATAACCTTTCCACTTTCCTTTATTACGATTGGTATCAATTGTTTCTGTGTCTTGTGTACCTTTCAACCTTTTTCCTCCTCCTCGTCAGTTCAATAATCTGTGTTCACTCAGAAAATAGCAAAATTTCACATTTCCATTGCAATGTAACAAAAAACAATCAGTAAATACACTTTACTTGTCCACAATTTACCATTGTTTTGTTTGTGTCTCTCCATGTTTCACTATTCATTTAACACTCAACTTTTCCTGCTTTTTTTTCTTACTCCCACTGAACTATTATTTTGTCCAAGATTGAAGAAAAGGAATGAAACTTATGAATATGTGAAGCAACACAGTTTCATTGTACAATTTATGGATCAACTTGAGTCTGAGTTTCCATCGATTTTTGCTTTCAGTCTCTCCTTTCATATTTACCTTTAACTTTCGAGTTTCGATTTCTATCTCCGGTTCTGGGCTTTTTGTCCGAATCAGTTTACCTATCAGTATTATACACTGTCTTTTCAGATTCCTCACTGAATAATTTGAATCGTAGGATGATTTATCGGCTTCCATTATTACCAGATATTTTGTTATGCTTTTAGGTTCTTTTTTGTGTTCCTCTTTGCTTGATATTTTTTCCCTTGTTTTTCCTATTCCTTGCTGGTTGGTTGGCTGTTGCTACTGTTTTTCAGTCAAACTTTGCAAACTTGTTTTGCTATTGTTAGTTTTTTTGTGATGATAATTATTATTATTAGACTTATAATAACTGTAATAATAATAATAATTATAATGATGATAATAACAGTAATAATGTCAGTCTTTGGTGATGCTGCTTTGAGGAAAACAAGAAAAAAAGGGAAAAGAAGAAAAAAATTACTGTTAGATTGAGTATAACAAGAAAAATTGCTCAAAGAATAGGCTGGGAAGGAGAAGATGATTATGATGACGATTATTATTATTATTATGGAAATAAAAAAAAAGAAAAGGTGAGAAAAAAACTCTTGAGAAAACTGAGTAAACCTGTAGACTATTGAATCTACTTGATGATAAGAGGTTAGATGAAGAGTTTGTATTAATATAAAGTGAAGATACTCATTTGTTTAGTGAAATATGAGTCTGAGGTGGTCAGCATTTCCAGTGGATTTTATGGTCAATAAGGTGGAAATAATAGAGGAATGGTGAAGGAAAAGTTAAGCTAATGAAATCGATTGGATAGGTAAAGTGGAATTGAATGGAGAAAATGTTTCTTGGAATGATGATTATGATGCTGATGAATGTCTCTTGTTAATTAGCTGTAGGGAATAAGTTTAAGGGTTTTGGCAATTAAAAGCAATGGAAAAGGTTGAGTTAAAGATGTTGATAAAAACTCTTGAAAAACATGAGGATATTGAACATCTTATTGCATCGATAGGGAAAAAATTGAATGGATTGAAGAGGAAAGGAAAAATTCTTTCAACTCCATCTCAACACTTGACTTGGAATTGAAATTCTTGCGAGCTTTTTTATTTCCCTTTTTATTGGTATCACCATCATCAGAATCATCACTTTTTTATCATTATGATCATCAGTCTGATTATCATGAAATAGACTTGAGTTGATGTGGAGTAATCGCTTTGTGTGACAAGGTAAAAAGTAAAAAATAAGGATAAGGAAATGGAAGGCAGGAAAGAGTTTCAATATGTAATGTCAATTAATGTTATTATATTTTGGGATGTTGGTAATGATGATGGAAATGATGGTGAGGGTGAAGATGGTGATGATAATTGTTGAGATGGCATTACATGCTAGGGATTGCTGAGATGGAATGAACAGTGAAAAGGAAGCGGTGAGAGAATAGGAAATGAGAATAGATACCTGTTGTGATATTACAACAGTTGATGATCAAAGTGAATATGTTGTTTAGTTTATTGTGATGTTTATGGTGATGATAATGATGCTGGTGATGGTTAAAGTGGTGATGAGTTTGCGATTTAATTTGACTTCTTCTGGTGAAAATCAGCAAATTGGCGATCCAAATATCATGTATGAATCTCCATGTCTTTTTGGCTACTTGTACTTTCACATGTTTGCTTAGGTGATGATTTGGTTGCAAAAAATATGATTAAAACTTTTTTCAGAGAAAAGGTAAACCTTGAAGTGTTGAAATTGATTCAAATTGTCAACAATTTGTCATCTGTTGTCTTTGTTACACTATCAATATGGTACCTTATGTTGAATAGGTTTCGTTGCTTTCAGCTGTGTATTGGGTTGGATAAGATGAGATGAACACACAAACTTGATCTAATATGCTATGAGAATCCAGAAGAAGAAAAATTTTCACGAAAAAAGAATTGTTGATGATAAATTGTTGAGGAAATCACAATAAAAATGGATTAAAACACTGTTTTGTTTATTTCTTGGTGACTTTGCTCTTTGGACACGAATAAATTTGTTGTTACAAGTGAAGCTTTGGGTAAGAACAGAATTTGGTGATTTATAAAAGCGAAAAGAATTACTCCATTTTTTCTGGTTCCTGGTTCAGGTTTTACCATTCAAACGAACTATGGTTGGGTTCACCTTTGCATCATCCTTTAACATATTTAATTTGAAATTTGATTACAAACACATTTATAGTTGATAATTGGTTGAAATATCAAAAGATAGAAGACATTGAAACACATTAAGAAGAAAGAATCGTTCCTGGTTTTCATGTATCACAAATATATTGAAGCAGCAGGTTAATAATATTAGCCTAAAATGAACACCTTGATAGAAAAAAATGAACAGATGAACATTGGCTGTTGAGTATTATATTGTTAGTACTATTTTTAGGTCGTCAAAGGCCAGTTATTTTTAAACTGATCAAGATGAGGTAAATCCCAAGAAAAGGTGTAATTAATGGTGAAATGGATTAAGTTTGCCTGTGAATACGGTTGAATGCAAACAATACGGCGATTAATCTTGATACAGAGTTGAAAATTAAACTGCTAATAGGATATAACAATATTTACATGGACTTTACCATGGAGTCCATGGTTTTGTAACATTTTTGGACTCCACTATGAGAAGAGTCCATCCAAGACACAAAAATTCAATAGACAAAAAATAGCAATACACCTTGACATGCTCATATCCATAAACAATCCTTACAATCTTGTTGAAATTGAACTTACCAGGAATGACTCAAAATACGGCTCCATCTTTTGACTCCAGATTTTAATTCTTACCATCGGTTACAAGATTGTAAAATTGAAATTAAAATGAAATCAGACGATAAAGGGTAAAATAAACAATTATTTCACATTGAAATGTTAGTCATTGTCAGTTAAGATAAAAACAGATGGTAAGTGATAAGAAGTGACTATTATTCAACTTTATGGATTAACCATTTTCCAGGTTAACTCACAGTTCATTTTGAAAAATTAATCTTTTCAACCGTTTTAACAGTGACATAGCGAGTTGAACCCAAAGAGTAATACTCTTTGGTTGAACCTTTTATTTCTATGATGTTTGGGTTAACCAGGGAACTCTATAATGATGGTTTAGCCACCTTTAAATTACCTAAAGGCTATAATGAATCGGTTCGTCAAGTGTTGGAAGCTGATGCCAATGTTGTTGACCTCCACCGACTTGGACCCAACTGTTGGACAATTTTTAGCTGCTCTAAATTCACCAGTAAATACTGCAATAGTCAAATGTTTGGTTATGGACTTTTCATCTGATTTGGCGACTCCACTTACACCAGGTTAGATTCAATCTACTCTTTCAAATCTGTTGCGTTTAAAACATGAATTGTGCCTTTCTCTGCACATTACACACCCAAGATGGCATTATCCAATCTGAGAAGTTTACTGGCCGATTGTTGACCTTTAGATGTAAAACTTTTAAAATGACTAAACCATCAAGAAATAACAACCTTAGTGTTTCCGGAATCGGAAGCTTCATCATATTTGTGCTGCAATTCAATCGAACTTTCCGTTTTATCCTTTCATCGATATTAATACAATGTAATTCACTTTATACCTGAAAGGAAATCCGTTTTCTCAGGTAAAATGTTAAACAATTTTCTCACTCTCACACAAATCATGGTTCAATGTGAAAATTTCACCAATTGTAAAATGTATTCCTGTCAATGTACATCTTTAGTTCCTCGAGGTGCGGCAGATTTAGCCACAGTGTCTTCAATAATCATAATCTTTCTCGGTGTTCCTGGCAACTCAATCGTCGTCCTTTCCTTATTTTCAAGCAGTAAACTTCTAGCCAATCCAACCACCAAATTCATCATAAACCTTGCCATTGCGGATTTAATTTTTTGTTCAATCAACTTGCCACTTACATCGATTCGGTATTTCACCTGTTCTTGGCCTTTCGGTGATTTAATCTGCCATCTCTATCCATTCCTATTTTATAGCAATGTTGCTGTCTCTCTTATGTCTATTACAGCCATAACTATCAACAGATTAATATCGATAACATGCTATCGTCATTACGACCAAATTTACCAAAAGCGTTACATTCTGTGCATGATTGCTTTCTGTTGGTTATTCCCATTCATACTTCTCTCATTACCAATGTTCAAAATTTGGGGACAATTTGGTTTGGAGCCTAAAACATTTTCTTGTACAATACTTCGCTATCAGGGTAAATCACCGAAAAGTTTCTTGTTCCTATTCGCATTTTTTGTGCCCAGCATCACGATACTCATTTCATATTCAATTATCTGGTACAAAGTAATGTTTCACCCATCAAGAAGCAAAGATATGAAAAGGAAAACATGGAAAAGAGATTTGAAGATGACAAAGATGATTGTCATCCTATTCGTTACATTCATTAGCTGCTTTGCTCCACTAATGATTGCCAATGTTTTATTGCCACCAGATCGGTATCCATATATTCATATAATAGCTTCAATCATGTCTTGGACTAATTGTTGTATCAATCCAATCCTTTATTTTGCGATGGATGGACGTTATCGATCGGCTTTCAAACAATTCATTTCATCATCTGTTGCTGTAGTAAATAGCAATAGAGGCGAAACAACTTCTAATTTATAAATCTCAATTATTGCCTCTCAATCTCTCAATCAAATTATAAACAAAGACATTGACGAATAAACTTAATTTCAATTATTTAATATAATCACACAATTTTGTATCTAATCCCTGTCTTTAATTCACCAAAAATTGATACATTACAGGTAAAATCTTTCGTAAAGTGATGAGAAGTGAAAAATGACCAACTTTGAAGTGAAATGAATACCTAAAGTGACTTAGTTTAACCTAATAAAAGTTGAATCATCAATTGGTAAATAAAAGAATGGGTTTGTTAATTTAATCCAGTTTAACTCACAGTTCAATTTTGAGAAGTAACCTGTTTTTTCAACCGTTTTTAACAGATGAACCTTTTAGTTCCATGATGTTTAAGTTCAAGTTTTAGCAAAGAAAATTTTTCAACAAAAGAATGGCTAGTTTTCATTATAATGATAGTTTTCAACGATAATTTTTTGTTTCATTCAATCAAATTACGTCTTCTGATTGCACCGACAATTCCTTCAATTTTGCTCTCAACTGTGCCAATATTTCTTTCAAAATTTTGTTTATCTTGAGTAAATTATCCCACTTTTTAATGAACAGAAAAAATTAGTCAAGTTTTCAATTTCAATTTTAATTTCTTTTCAATGTAAAAACCAATTGACTATCTTGATTGTAACCTGAATAAACCATAACCAGGATTTTAAATATTTTGGGTAACACTAGATGGCAATCCTGTTCTTTTCAAATTTGCACTCTTTGTTCAGTTAAAGCGGTAAAATAAGTGTATGTTTTTTTCAATGTGTAGTGTTTTGTTTTGTCTGATTGTATTTTGATTTTGATTTTAGTTAATTAATGCATTTCCCGCATCATGGATTCATCTGCACTAACTATTAGTCATGATTATCTTGACATCGATTCTATTATTGCTGTTAATACCAAGGTTACTACTAAAATGGAGTCAACAGTTTGCAAATTGGGTTTCATTGATCCAGCCTGTGATTCAGAAAACATTGTTAAAAACACAAAATTGGAATTACCCATTTGGTTAACCAGGGAACTCTATAATGATGGTTTAGCCACCTTTGAATTGCCTAAAGGTTATAATGAATCTTTTCGTCAAGTGTTGGAAGCTGATGCCAATGTTGTTGACCTCCACCGACTTGGACCCAACTATTACCGTCTTGGACAATTTTTAGCTGCTCTAAATTTACCAGAAAGCACTGCAATAGCTAACTGTTTGGTTGATACTTTCTATCAAAGATTACGTCGAATTATGGACTTTTCATCCAATTCACCGACTTCACTTACACCAGGTTAGATTAAATTTACTCTTTCAAATTTGGTTACTTTCTTAGAAAATGTGTTCTAAATCTTTATTTCTTTCTTTTTTAAATATATCAGAAATTGGTCAGTTTGTTGGAAAGTTGGATAACGAGGAGGTCAAATTGTTTGAAGAAAGTCGCAAAGCCATGGAAAAGTTCAAAGCCTGGGAAGACAGAAGGATAGAGAAAATTCTCTCCAACGAGCTAGTAACTAAACTTAGAAAACGAAAAAGAGCTGCTATGGAACTCGACTAATATTATAATTCCTAGTTTAATTAATTTTTTATGCACATTGATTGTAAAGCTCTAATCATTCTGTTCAACTTGCGTTTCTCAGTTAACATATCTCTCTTTCTCTCCTGAAATTGATATAGTTATCAACCGTAAGTGATTAATTTTATTTTTCTTTTACATGATCATTGTTTTATTATCAGATAATCAAATTATCAACTTTTACATAAATAATTGTTAATTGTTTGTTTTCAAAAAATATTGTTTTGAAAATAGGATATCGGGTTGATTATTTTGATAGATATGATCATATTGTTTACTCCAAGTTTCCAAGTTGCACACTATCCACATTAGTGTTGACCGATGAAATCGAAATAAGGTTAATTTTTTAAGTCATCAAGCAAACAGTGTTGACTCAAACTGATTACAAATAATGGATAAATGTCGATAAACATCTCTTGATTGTTTTAAAAGTTACCGACACAGAAGCTGATGATACAAACGATGCAATGAGTCTTACTTTGTCATAAATGAAAAAATATGACGAAAAAAGTGAAGCATTAAATTAAATAATCAGTTGATTGAAAAATCGATAAAACCAGTACAACAAGTAATATTTTGATTTCCATGATTCATCTTCCATTAGTCAACTTGTCTAAATCCAATTGTTCAGTATAGTGACTAGATTAAAGTTTTCAAGATTTTACGAGATTGTGCGAAATGAGCCAATGATTTTAATCATAATGTAAATTTTATTAAATAATTAATTATTTAAGGAAAATCACCAAAGTTTCAGTTTGGGTTTTGTTGAACAATTTAAAGGGCTTCACTTTACCCTCGTATTTTTGGTCATTTTAATAGGTCGTAAAAGAATGAAATCATTATTACATGATTTACGACTACGACAACCTCGAACTGGTCCCAATGAGTTATATGGTATATCACTTAATGCTTCACATGAAGATGGGAAATCTGATTTGGTGAGTCCTTCTTTGAGAGATAAATTAGATGGTCGTGGAGGTGGCAATAAAAAGAATGGTTTTTTTAGAGTGTCACTTATCTTGAGATAACTTCGGCTAGTTGGGATTGTTGGAATTGGCAACGTAGTTACAATGGGAGTTGTTGGCATTGATGGCGTTAATGGCTTTGGTGATGTTGGAGTAGTTGGTGCTGATATGCTTGTAGTAATTGTCGTAGTTGTCTTAGAAGATAATGATGATGATGAGATTGAGGTTGATGATGTTGTTGAAATCAATGGTGAGTTATTAAAAGCGGTTAAACATTTGGAAGTTGTGGTCATTGAGTTTGAAGACGATGTAGTTAATTCAGGAATTTGTTTCGTTAATGAAATTGTGGGTGTAGATGAAGATAAATTTGAGGTCGGTGAAGGAAGAGAAGTTGGCAGAGTAGTTTTCAATTTGTCGATTAAATTCCCATATTCATAAAGTTGACCCAAGAAAGAGAAATTGGGGTTGATTTTACTTCTCTTGCTTTGGACAAATAACAATGCCTTATCTAAAGACATCTTTTGACTATACATCAGGTAGGCAATAACAATTGTGGGTGATCGGGAAATACCAGCGTGACAATGTATTAAAACTGCTCGTCCGGCCTTACGTGCTTCCTCTGCAAGACAAGCGAAAATAATGGGAAAGCAAAAATTAGGAAAAGTTAAACGATAATGAAAGGTTAAAGAAAGTTTTCAAAAGAAAAGAAAACTTACCGATAAATTGAAATGACTCCTCAAAATATTGAACCAAGTTTTGTTCAAAAGCGTCTATGGCAGGTATCCTTTTATAACGAATTGAATCACTTTCACCATCTCCTGGTAAATCAGTAGTTACATTAAGCACATAATAAATATTCAAAGATTTCAATTTCTCTGGATCTGAAGCATCTGACCCACCACCGAGATACAAATAAGGTAAAACTGGTGTACCACAAGGAACCATGTTTGTTCCGTTATTTTCAGTTAATTCAGTAAAGTTTTGTTTTTCGCAATACAAAAAAATGTGTTTCTCAAACAGGACTAAAACTTATTCGTGTTAAGTGTCAAACAAAAGTGACAACATTTCTTTTCCTCTTCTATTTGTAACTGTTGTGATGTATTGTATGAATCACAAGATGAGTAACATAGCAGATGATCAAGAAGAAAAAGTGAGACATCGAGAGATAGAGAGAGATGGAGAGAGAAAAGGAGAGAAAAACAAGTCAACATTAGTCTCCCAAAAAACCATGGAAACTATTCTCACTCATTTATTCATCCAAAAATATACTTACACTTTAATATAGACTTACTTTAAACAGTTATGTTGATTTTGCTCGAATCGTCTGCTATTTTTGGGCCAACATTTGTCTTACACTTGTAACCAATCATCTTCAATATTTTTACTTTCATCATCATATCTCATATTTTCCTTGTCAATACAAATGTTTGTCATCTTTTTAAATCAAATTAAACCAATTAGTGTTAACCATTTGTCGTTTGTTTCATATCAGAACCTTCATCACTGTCATTATTATTAAAAACATGGTAAATCTGACAAGACACTTAACAGTGTACAGATTTTCTGAGAATCTTTCACAGCATCCATCAAGTCGACTTTAGAATCCATGTTTTTCCAATTTAATCTTTAAAACGGAGAAACAATCAAATACTAGATAATTGAATCGACTAGATTATCATTCCTAATGGGAAATAAAAACAATTAAAAATACACAATAAAAATAAAACATTGAAAGATCAGTTTAAACAGCTTGTTAAGCCTCACTTATTAGTCAACACCAGTTGACTCAAAGTTGACAAACTATTATAATTTATAGCGCCATCTAATTTTTCTTAAACTAATTGCATCTTCTTCGCCTTTCTTCAAATTCAATTTGTCAAAATGTTTATTTACAATCAAAACCCAAAGGTGTGTCAGTAAAAAGTAGATGTATTTTTCAAAAATTCAAATTATCTTTAAATTTGTTCACTTCACACTGAAGCAATATTTGATTAGCAACTATAAATAGTGCAAGAAAATTAATCAACTCAACATGTTAAACCTAAAAGTAAAGGTTAAAAATGGTAAGTAAAATGTGATGGAAAGCGAAAGATGTAATATTTTCCCCTGAAAATGGAAATTAAATTCTCTCAAATCAACCATGATACTGAAACATGTCTTCATCCCTATTATCGTCATCATCATCTTCAAAGATCCTCTGGCCTTTTACAGTCCTACAGCATGAGCAAAAAAGCAAAGCCTTGAGGGAAACAAATTGAATTGAAATTCTGATTTCTTTACCTTCCTCTCATTTCATTTACAGAGTCAGGTTGACTGTAATCATCTACCATCAACTATTAAATCAGATTGAATGTTGAAATGAAATGAAAGGAAAAAAATGGCTGAAAATGTTTACTTCAAGTGTATAATAATATACCAAAGACTGAGAGTGAACACTTTACTGTCAACCTTAAAAAGCAAATCACATCTATTTTTTTCATCCATCATCAAATCATTCTCTCTTCTTCCTCCTCATCATCATCTTATGTAACCATAGAGACTCTTGTTAAATGGTAAATATGACTGAAAGATGATGATCAACTGTAAAGCAACTATTTAAGTGAATACAAAAGGATGAGAAATGAAAAGATGATGAATACGGTGAATACAAAGAAATCCTCTTTTCTCTTATTAAACTCATCTATTCATAAGGCTATCACATTTTACTCATCTTAACCATCATCTTCATCATCATCTTCATCATCTTCCCATCCATTTGAAATAGGAAAACCATTTTTAGGTGCTAAAAAAGGTCTCTTGGTTAGGCTTGTTCAATAGCAATTAGATTATTTGCTTTCAAGCATCAACACAAAAGGTTGCTGGAAATTGAATTTGACAGTTTGATTGAAATGTCATCTTATATATATTGAATAAAATATTTTCCCAATTTTTATCTTATTATATCAGTTAATCAGATAAAATGAACAAATCCAGCAAATCAAATACTTGGACATTTTCCTCTATTTTTCCTGGTTTAGCCAAGGCTTACCCAACAGCTTTACCCAAGTCTTTTGTTTAATCATTTGTTTCCATTTTACTAATTACAATCTATTTTTAGTTGTCAAGTCTTTCATTGTTTCAATTTGATTTGCCATTAATCAACTTCATTTCATCTGTTCTCGCAATTTTCATATTTCAATTGATCTTACCAGTCTTTATTGGGTTGTCCTGTCAAGATGCTTGAAGCAGCAAACATAATTAATTATTTTCATTGTTACTTCTCATTATTATGCACATTAGTTTAGACCGATGATTAAAGAAACTGTTAAGGTTACCAGTTAATTTATTTATTTTATGCTAATTTCACCAAATTAACGTTAACTTTACAGTTTGGCCATTTTTTTACCCAAAAACTTGACTCTGTTATGATTAATCTGATGGCAACACTTTCCGGGCAACAACCAGTTGGAAATGGTTTTACATTTTATTCAATCTAAGAGGCTAAGTTTTCACTTTCAGGGAAAATTGTTATTAATTATTCAATCCTCTCTTTGGTGTAAACATTAATTGGTTGGAAGGAAACAAAAGGGTAAAGAGTTAATGGAGATGAACATATCCAGAAGGGAAAAACCAGGCAACAGGAAAGACTAAGGATGAACAATGGATCATCAGAATTGGATGGAGATTCAAGTTGATAATTTGTTTGGTCCTCTTTGGTCTAAAATAAATTTGCATAAAAAAACTAACAAAGAAACATAAATCAGTTGAAACACACACAAATTAAGTTAACCATGCAACCATCATTACTTCAATTAGCCACTAAGGCTACTTGAAACATCCAACAAATTTGAGAAACTCGTTAATTGAACACAAAATTTTACTGTAAACCAGATCAAGTAAACATAATCAATACTTTAACTCACAATTAGACCAATAAAGGCTGCACCAGAAGTAAAAAGGCAAAATCGAAACCTAAATATTAGTTCAATTCCAGGTTAGATTGAAACCTGAGAAATAACAAATTTCATTATTGATGAAAAACTCTTGAGAAATCGTTTCTTTTTTACTCATTGCTTAGCCTGAGTTTTGGGATTTTTATTGATCATTTTTTGAGTTCATACAAAATCTTAGCTCTATTTGATCTTTCATCGTATTCATGCTTTCATAAAACCCAGAACTATTCATCAAACCTTAGGCAAGTTCCTGAAAATGTCTCACTGATGAACTATCTTTTCCTCTTCAGTAAAAATTGGGAAAAACATTTGCGTAGAAAAAAAATTTCGACTGATTTTTCACTCATTTCTAACTCAGAATGCTAATCAATATCAGTATCAATCGAATGTGAATTTCTTGTTCCATCTAAAAAGCTCAAGAAATTTTAAGCAGCTTTGGTTAAAGGTTTTATCGATTCATTCATTTGTCTCTTTACTTTTGGAACAGCCTTTAATTTCAATTTCAAGACTTGTATGGATAAACATGGATTTACAATGAAAGAAGTAAAAAAAAGGTTAAAATTAATTTAACTTTGAAAAGTGAATGCGAAAAAATTGTTATATTCATTGTTAAATGTTAATCTATTTTAGACTAACACTGAACCTGTCCAAAGTAAACTGCTTAAGCATTATTTTTATTTTTACAGTTATTATTATTTTCTCGTTGGTTGATTAAATTTTGAAGTGTAACCCATCATCAGAGGCCTCACCGTCAACTACTAGGCAAGCTAGTCGTGAACAACAGCAGCAGTTGATGTTAAGCTGGCACAAGACGAAACCCAATTTCATGGACTATCAGACTATTAAATATAATCCATCTTTAAGACTGGGTTAACAGGAGGATCAGGGATTCAGGCATCAGTTCACCAGTCTCAGCATCCCTTGGCATCCCTCATCATCCTCTCTCATCCTTCATCGTCATCATTTCCATCATCATTCCCATTCCCTCTCTAATCTACCAAAGTGTATTTGTTCATATTACTCTGCTCATTAGTTATTTGAGAGTCTGGATTAGTCTGTTGTTACTTGTCAAAAAAATAATGATACATTGAAATCATTTCGAGCTTCTTCTCATCTTATTTGCTTACTTTTTTATTTTCACTCCAAGTCTCAACTATTATGATTAATAACATTATAATAATAATCAAAATAACTGGAAAAGTGAATAACATGTAATTGGCTCTGTAATTCATTTTGTCCTTTATTGATTATCATTTGTTTTCCTGCAACTTTATTCATCTCTCTCTCTTCCTCATCAAATAGCCATTTTCAAGCATCTTTAATCTTTTACTTTTTGCTTCTTCTCGCCATCATTTTCAATGATACTTTATTGTTATATGAAATTGAATCTGTTACAGTTTCTAGTTTTACTCATATTTTTATCCTCATCATCTTAAGATCATTACCAGTTATTGATGGAAAGAGTCTGTTGATGAAGAGCAAAACCTTATAAATCTTTTCTTCCTGTCATTACAATTTGTTTCCCATTCTTTACTTTATAAACCTCATAAGATGCTTTACTTGTCAGTTATAATCATAATGTTACAGCAAACTGGGAAAATCATGAACCAGAATTGAGAGTCAGAGAAGAGCAGAAAAACAAAAAATGGTTAAAAAGGTAAAGATGATTCTTGAAGGTTAGAAGTGCTTTTTTCATTTGATTTGTGCCTTTTATCATATTATAATTTATTTTTAGAACCATCTGAATGTCTAAAGGCAATTTCCTCTAACTGTTATTAAATGATGATCAAACTGAACATCTTGAAGTAAACATCCTTCAGGGTTTCATATAAAGATGAGGAAATGGATGCATATTACTCTAGACTTTATTATATCAGTAAGCCGAGAAGATGGAAATGATGATCAATATTTGATATCATATTCAATGTCAATGAAGCCATATTCATCTAAAAATATCGCCGAATTTTCATGTTTATAAATAACAGGAAAACTCTTTCCTTTTAGGTGAATTGCAATTTACAAAATTTAATTTTGAGAAGAAAATAATTGAACAAGAAAACTCTTTTTTCAATTTTTTAATCTAATGCTAGGTAAGGTAAGGTTAGACTTAATTGAATTACATCGATTGAGTTAACTAAATTTGAACCATTTGATGGTTGAAGCAGCGTCTTGGAAAGAGACTTGAAGAGTCTCTGGCCAACAATTGTTTATTGTGGTTAAACATGATCATTACTGACCATTGAAAATGTTTATAGTTAATCAAAGGCCAGGGAAGGACAGACAAGGAAAGGCTAAAGTGACTAAGACTCTGATTGTTGTATATTCACACAAGAAGACGGAAAAAAGAGGGAAATGTTGATGAGTATAAATGTTGATGATAATGTTGATGATAATGGTGAAGATGAAAAGGGAAGAGCGAGAGTTAAAATGGGTGGGAAAGCAACATCTCTTCATCCCAATGGGCATTTTAACTGATTCCGGAAACCTCGGGAAAGCCTAAGTTACAAGGATAGTTAAAGGCTATTGATGTTGATCTACACGCGACAAACCATTCAACAGCGTGTTTCAGGATAACGCTAATTGAATGAGTGAAGATGAAGTTTTGTTTGCATGTGAACAAGGCTTAGTCATTGTGTGAAAGAGGATGAAAGATGAAATGACGGTTAAGATGAAGGCCAGCTGAATTGCATATTAGAATGGACTGAGTAATAATCAAACAATTGGAGGACACTGAAGATGATGAGGATATATTGGCTGTTAAATGGATCATCTTCTTATCATCTTGACATCATCTTTGTTATTTACAGTTACAGTGAAGATGAAAATATCACAAGGAAAGTTATCCATTTATTCAACTGTTTATTGTAAACCTTATAATGGTAATACATTTACACATTGGATATTTATTTATCAATATATCTAATTTATTATATTATTTACTTTATTATTATTGCTTGATAGGGTTAACAGTTTGCTGTTCATCAAGTGTCAGTCTTAACAAATTGTTTCACCCTTTTGATTACTTTTGATTCCAGCAAAGGCCAACTTGTTTGGATAAGGTCACATTCGGTCAAAACTGTCTATTTACTTTACCATTTAACCGGAATCCATTTCAAATCTATCCAAACATGTTCATCAATTTTGGTGAAAATGGTTTCATAAAAATGGCCAGTAAAGGGTCAGTAAAGGGTAAATGGTAAAAATTAATTGTAAAGGTAATTGTGATTTATTTGGTTTCATACGGTGAACAGCAATTAAATGACAATTTACATTGAGCTTTAATCGCTTGTTTTAATCTTGTTTTTGGCTTTTCATTTTGTCCAATTGCTGTTGCTTCGGTTGTTGATTAGTTTGGGTTTTAATAACAAGGAATTAGGTTTGGGTCGACATTGATTGATCAGGTTTTTTCATCCTTTATTTGTTCAAGCTGATCAACTTGAATCAACTTGAATTTTGCCTTCTTTATCATGCTAATGTTGATACTCACTGGGATTGAGATTATTCATTGAGTTGACCTGAAGAAAGGTTCAATATTTTCAATGAAAACATTTTCACCTTTCAACATTGAAAATGGTTTGTGCCTTTAATCAGCTAAATCAAGTGTTCAAGTTGAAGATGATGAATTGCTTTATAAATATTAATTCATGTAAATTGCTTCAAATTGATTCAAATTTAACCATTCAAATGTGTCCAAATATTGAAACAAAACAGATCCAAAAGGATTTTTTTAGGTTGAAGGTTGGATTTTGTTGAGCTTTACATTTCTTTCAGTTTACAATTAAAATGTTGATCATTTTGATCATTAATTATTCACGTTAACATTTATTGACTGAATATAACAATTAATAATTTAAGGTTGAAAAATTTGAAAGCGTTCAATGTTGACGTTAACAAGCTTATAACAATTTAACCATTATTAATAGATAGGTTTGATCAGCATTTTAACCAGTAAAAGCAGTTTATTAAAAATGCATCACTTGAATCCCAATGAAATGGCTGAATATTATATTAACGTTTTGATAAAAAAGGATGAAAAGGTTAATCCAATTTGATCCTCTTTTAAGTCTACATCAATTAACCATGAAGAGACGATAATTTTGTTGACCAAATTGAGTCAATCAAAAGACAATTAACGTGAAGGTTATGGATTGAGACTAGGAATGAGTCATGTTCAGTTCTGTAATATTATCAGGGAAACATTTTTTATCTGATTCAGAAAATGGAAAGGAAAGATTCTCTTGATTTTATCTTGCAACATTTGAATGAAGAATAGAAGAGAAAAAAAAGATTTCCCAGTTTTTGTAACATTAGATGACAATGAAATGATGACAAGAGTAACCAGTAATGAAGATGATCAATACGATGGCGATGATGATAATGATGAGGGTTATGATGTCATTGAAGGAGGAAGATAACTTGGTATGATTGATGCACTGCCAAACCCATGAACATGGTCTGATTCATCATTGAGTTTGGATGAAACAAAAGGTTGTAACTGAACATTTTATAGATGCAAGATCACCCTGTAAATATAGATGAAAGGTGGGAGGATAAAGATGAGAAGAGGATAAAGGTTGAAGGAGGTGGAAGAGGAGGAGATTTTAGTATAAAAGAGTGAAAAGGAAGAGCCAAAGAATGGATTGAGTTAAGGTTAACAAATGAAGGTTAAGATATAAATAGATGGTCTTGAGTCATTCCCAGCTTTTAGCGTTATATTTAGCAATCCTTTGATGATCAAAGGTTACCAGGGAAAAGGAATGGAAACACGCAATTCAACCTCACCATTGAACAAATTTGATCAACTCGAATAGTTGATTTTTGCCTGATCTCTGGAATCACGAGAAACATTCCCAAACACAAAACAAGCGAAGGAAAAAAAAGATGAAACAAAAGATATTCCATTAATCGGATGAATCGAATACTTTTCTTTGCGTGTTCCATGATTATCAATGGTTTAAGGAATGGCAATAGTTGATTAAATGGCGTGAGAAATAATCATCAAAATGATATTCTCTATTCTTATGGCTGGATAAATTCAATTAAAAGATGAATCAATTGTTGCCAACCCTTTGCATTCCAATGAGAGTCTACTGAGTTGAGATGAAAAAATGTGTAAAATTATCAAATCCTTTTTTTTCATTGTTCAACATTTTTCGCTTTTCTCATTCATTTTTTAAGCTTTATTTGAAATGTAAATATTTTTCAATGAAAGGGTTTCAAGTATCCAATAATGTTGAATAACAATGAAGAACCATTTGAAACGGCTTTTTACGCTTCTCAACATTTTCCTGTTCAGTGATAATCTTGGAAAATTATTGAACAAAATTGCTCATCCATCTGAACTTGTTGATTAAATTTTGTCTTCAAGTCATCACAATGGAAGCAAACAAAAGTGGATTAACAATTTAACTTGATTCACATTCGAGTGTTTATTTTGTTTGCAAATCTTTTCAACTTTTTTAATCAACAGACAATTGACTCCCAATGAATCATTTTGTGAACACTTTTTTATCATTCTGTGTAAATACTCAATCCAATCAATTTCTGAGTTTTTCCATCAAACTTTGAAGTTAAATTTTCTGATAAATTTATATCATCTTCTAAATTTGATATTTATGAATTATATTTTAAGATTTTTATGGGATTCTATCTGTAAATTCAATAGTTTGACGATCTGAATGTAAATTTGAATTTTCGGTGAACTCGACTTTACAATCTGAAAGTTTGGAGCTAAATCAAAAAATCATTTTTCCGATTTGACTTTGTTGTGATTGATTTGTTGAGCAAATTGTGACTGTGAATTTTTTGTCTCCAATGAAATAATTTTGTCTCCATTAATCTGATTGGTAATATCAATGAGATTCAATGTCAAGTTTATTCACTCCCAGCATTCGGTTGATATTTCTTTATTTGCTCGTTTTCCTTTTAATCATATCAGAATCTTTTAATTCTGTTTGAGTTGAGATTAAAGCAGTTGAGCTGAAGATGAATTTATCTATAAAATGTTTCATTACTTAAACAATTGGTTGACAAAAGATGGGCCAAATTAAACTGTTAAATTATCACATTTAACTATCAAGAGCATAATTGAATCAAGAATGGTAAAAAACTGAGATTCTGACTTTTTTGAAAATCATTTTTATATCAAATTGATCACAAACAGACAATTTTATTCTGAAACAATAATTTCTAATCGACTTTAAATTGCACTTTAACAATCAAGAGATGAACAAAAATGACTTCGAACTGACCAATAACTTCTTTAACACCAAATGACTCAAATAATTGAATTCAGAAAAAGCTCACTAAACTGAAACTCAGCAAACCAAAAGTAACCCTCACTTTTCAAGAACTTTCAATTTCTTTTCAAAATGAATTTCAAAACTTGATTTTTTGATGCAACAATTTCACCTCAAAACCAAATATTCTGATATTCATCTTTTTCTCCACAGAATTCACAGAATAATCTGACAACTAATTTTTTCAAATTAAGAATTAAGATCAAAATAATTATTTGATTTTTCCCTTTCCATTGAAAAAGTGATCAGAAAACTTGTGAATGAATCGAATGAATGATTTTATCATGTATCAATAACTCAGGAAAGGTTAACCATTAACAGGAAATTGCATAAAATGATTAACTGATTGGCTTGTAATTGAATTTAATTAGACAATTTGGATGATAATTTCATTTGGTTTAATCTTTTCTCCATTGAGTTACCACAAAAAAGGAACCTTCAATCAATAGCAATCTTGCATTACTCATACATCAGTCAAGGTCCATTGAAGAGTTTACATGATAAAAGAAGAAGAAGATGAAGATAAAAAAGAGAACATCCTTTGTCATCTTCTCTTCTTTGGACCAAAATTTGATTCAACATTGATCCATGTCAACATGATAAGGTTGGTTGGCAAAAGGGAATCAACCTTTTAATTTAATTCAATATTTAAATTTCCATTCTTTTTTATCTTCATTTTCTCACACTTTATCATTTCCTTTTCCTTCTCATCATCACTCATCTTCTTTCACCATCAAAGGCTCTTCTTCATCCGTTAATAGACACAATTGGTTTTACTTTTTTGTCTCCTTCCTCATCCTCCTCTTTCCGTCTTTTACTTCATTCACCCAATCATCTTCCTCCTCATCTTGCCATTTTTACTCCTCTTTTCATTTCTCATTTTTCCCTGAATTTCATTCAGTTTCTCAATAATCCGGATAAAAGGTAAACCAAATGATAACCTGTTTGGTTTCCGTAAATGCAAATCTTTAATATTTAATCAAATGTCAAATGTAAAGGTAAAGATTAACATTAAAGTTGAATCCATTTTTTTGTAAATTTAAATTCATTTGTTGGTTAAATCATTGGTCTGGCTAATTTGGGTAAAGAGAAATGTTGATTTAATGAAGGAAAAGATTTAAGCAAATATTTGATTTTGTTCATTCAATCTGATTTCATTTGGTTTTGTTAATGTTGATAACATCAATACTGATGATTGTATTGATGATGAGCAAGATGATGATGATGATGATGCCGATGACTAATAGGAAACAATGTGTACTTCATTGTGATCAACATTATACGGTTAAATGCAATGTTTTACAAAACCATTTTTACTTTCATTTCCATCTATACATTTTATTACAATTTGTCAGCAAATTGAACAATTAAATTTAACGTTTCCATTAAAATTAATTGGATAAAGTGAATTAGGAAAATGGTTAACTTTGATTTAAGATATTTTGGATAATCAAATGAATCTGATTTACCTGATTTGCTTCAACATCATTGTTGGAAACCCAAAAACCCAAAATTGAAATCCAAACATTTAGACTTTTGTTTCATTTTGAATGTTTTAATAGTCAAATCTAATGAAATGTAGTTCTGTTAATCAACAATTTAATAAGCAATGGATTTAGTTAACAGTAAAAGAGCAATATTTATGGCTAATAAAGTGATGATTGTTGTTGTTGATACAAATTATGTTTAGTCTTGGCTTTAAAAATGATTTAATTTGTAGCTTTGATTGAACATGGATGGTCAATTGCAATGATTTAATGGTGATAATGATGAGGATAAAAGTAGCAAACTAATAGCAACACCGAATTATTAATAACCACAAAACTGGTCACATAAAGCAATTTATTCATGATTCATCTAATTGAAGACTTTACTTCATTTCACTCTTCCTTTTCTCATCCTCTTCCACTCTCTTCCTCTCTTATCATCATTCCTCCTCTTTAACATCATCAATGATAAATGTCTCAATAAAAAGCGTCCAACACTTCATTTTTACTTGCATCCAGTGACCAAATTAAACTGAATCACTAACAATTTCATTGAATTATACAAACATTCAAAGTAAGCAACATTTGTTCAACAGTGGACGTTAAAAGGTAAAGAAATGATAAAATTTTTCATTATTTTTTTGCTCATTTTTTGGATTGTTTTATGGGTAAAGAGAAACCATTTGTCAGTGTTGTTAGTGTTCAATGGTTTTCATTGATTATTGTTGTAAACAAGGTGAAACACCCTTGGAAAGGATATAAAAACAGAGTTTGTTCATTTCCCATGTTTTTATGTACAAATGATAAATAAACTGAGTCAACTGTAAATCCATGTTATGTAAAAAGGCTGAGTTATCAGGCAGTCAAAGGAGGATGAAAAGAGTAACCGGAAAAACTGATGTTGACAGTCAATTAAATTGACAATTTGCTGACAAAACCAGATGAAGGAAAATACAAGAAAAAAGTAAACTTGATCATCAGCTTTGTTACCTTAACAATAGTTAATCTATTTTGGTTCAAGACTTGGATAATCAGTTGAACAATGTAGATGATTCAATCAGGGAATGTTCATTCCTTTGATAAACTAAACTCCTGATAAACATGATAAAGTCATTGATAAAAATTTGACCATCCATTAGTGGCTATAATATCCTTACTTTCAATGCATAATTCATTGAACCCAAATCCATTGAGAGTCAAAATGGTCAAACCTTTTGTTGATATTTTTAACCAAATTCATTGAATCACTTTTCTCATTTTACTTTAGGTTTTCAACAAAGAAATGGCTTCTTTTCAATTGCATCCAGGACGTTCAGTCGGAGCCGATAATCCTTGTTATGTAATAGCTGAGATTGGGCAGAACCACCAGGGCGAAATGTCCATTGCTATGGAGTTGATTTCAGGCGCTGCAAAAGCAGCCGTTGATTGTGTTAAATTTCAAAAGTCAAAGTTAACCCGAAAATTTACTCGCTCAGCTTTGGATCGACCTTATGTAAGTAAACACTCGTTCGGTGCAAATTATGGTGAACACAAGAGATCACTGGAATTTACAGAGGAACAGTTTCACCAACTGCAAAGGTATGCTCTTAATGAAGGAGTCCAGTTTACCGCTTCTCCAATGGACATTGAATCGGTCGATTTTTTACTCTCTCTCAACGTTCCATTTCTTAAAATTGGATCAGGCGATGTAAACAACTATCCAATGCTGCAATGGGCAACTCGGAAGGATCACACTCAGCCAATCGTCTTGTCAACTGGAATGCACGACATTAAGGTTATACAAAAGTCAATGTCAATCATTGCCGATTCAACTCGATCTTGTTGCATCCTTCAATGTACAAGCTGCTATCCTTGTCCAGCTGAACATGTAAACCTGAATGTGATGAAAAGCTATCAGAAAATGTTTCCATTTGCTGTTGTTGGCTATTCGGGTCACGAGTTGTCTGATGAAGTTTCCTTGGCTGCTGTAGCAATGGGTGCCAAAGTGCTGGAGAGACATGTAACTCTGGACCATTCGATGAAAGGCAGTGACCATGCATGTTCCCTAAATATGGACCAATTGACGGCTCTTGTCGGCAAAATTCGTACAATTGAAAAGGCTTTTGGTTCGTTTGAAAAGAAACGTTGTTCGGTTGAAGAGCCGTGCTACCGAAAACTTGGCAAGTCAATTGTCACCTCAAAGGCCATTGCTAAAGGTGAGGTTATCGATGAATCAATGTTGGACATTAAAGTGGCTGAACCGCAAGGAATTGAAGCTCATTTTTATTACCAAATAATTGGTCAAAAAGTAGCTCAAGATTTGGAAGTTGATGTTGCCATTCAATTGAATCATCTGGTTGATTCTGGTTTTGCTTTCCAATGAACAAATGTTTACATTCTTGTATCATTTCATAAACTATTCATTAAATGAACATTTTTCATCTTGAATAACTTTCATTGATCAAATTATGGCGTAAAATTGTCAAATGTTGAGATGTTAATGACAATGTCAAGAGGAGATGATTAATGGTAATGGATGACATTTGATGAAGATAAAAGCAGAATAATTGATATGAACTTGGTCCATAAAATGGGCTTCACTGGAAGATGAAAAAGATGATCTTTTTTACAGGTTCAATGATCATATTGATGATGAGTAAAAGATGATCACTGAAAGTATCGTTAAAATTATTGCTTTATTATGTTAATCAAACAGTTTTAAAGCTTTTGTTTACATTTTGTCAGCATTTGTTGAACCCAAAAAACAAGCGAATCAATGGAAACTTTCATTTCAATATTTTGCCCATTTGATGATATAAATATGATAATTTTAAAACCACCAAAAAAGCTGTGATTTATCATTTTAAAAACAATATACAAACGCTTGGAATGGTTTGAATTTTCAAACAGTTTTCCTTAAAAAATATTATAAAGGTTTGATTAGTTTTAATGGCATTTTCAATGGGAAACAATTCAATAGGATTTGCTGTTGGAAGGCAAAATGCTGGTTTAAATAATGGTTATGAAGAAGCAAAAAAGTGACTTTTTTTGAAATTCAAATCCCAGTCAAACATCCGTTTTTTAATGCCTTTTTTCAAGTTTAAATATGAAATGACAAAAAATTGTTGCTTAGTTTAGTTTAAATCTTGGATCAACTGTTTTATGATTAAACTTGATTATATGTTGAATCCTTTTGTTGAATCTTTTAAGGTTACTTAATCTTGAGATGACATTTTGAATGAAAAATTGAAATTGAAATGTTGGAGGAAAAATGAAACAAAATTTTGGTCAAATTTAATTGAGATAAACATTGAAGGTTTGATTGTATTTGATTGGGTTTGATTGGGTTTACTTATGATACTGGGAGTGAAACTGTTAGTGATATTTGTTAGCCAAATGAGATTGTTTAACTGTAAACAAGATAAATAGGGAATCCAAATGGGAATCCAAATGGTAATGCAATCAAATATGTTAATTGTGATTGACAATATGTATTCATTTTGAGTACATTTTGTGCTTCTTCTTTGTGTACAAATAAACAGATGATGATGAACGTGATTACTCATGTTTCCACATCTTTTCATGGCTATTCCTTGAGGCTGCAAAATTGAACATTCCAAATGAACCTTAGGCTAAACTAAAATGAGCTTACAGGATTGTTAGCGTGTTTTTTTTGTTAACACACGCACTTCAATGTACATTAAAAGATAGTCAGGTGACTAATGATGATATTGATATTGTACAAGAATGAAAAGTGAAAAGGCTCAAGGCAGATGATTGGATGATGATAAAGATGGCAGAGAAAAGTAGAGATGAAATAAGAGAAGAGAAAAAAGATGAGGATGGAAATGATGAGAAAGTTTCAAGTTTTGTAGGTTTACCATTGGGAGTTTGTTTCTTTGATGAAACAAAAAAAAAGACGTTCAATGTTGAACATGGATTGTGCATCAAGAGATGAAAATGGATGATTAGTAGGATGATAGTGATGATGATTTGTTGAGAATGAAGATGGAAAGATGTAAAGTGATGAATGCGCAAAATGCATCTGTGAATCACATGAAGGCAAGAGTCTTTGCTGGGTTAAAAGTTGACAGTAAGACTTGTTTAGACGGTGAAGATGAAAATACTTGGCTATCACATATGAAGAGTTATCTTTTCATATCTAACTAGACTCATGATGACATTAGAGATATTGATCTGAATGAAAATTGAAATGAAAAATTGAAAATATCAACGGTCAAAATGACTACTCTACACGTCTGGTTTGATGCTGGAAGAAGGACTTTGTTAGGTTGAGACTTTTTTATCTCTTGGCTTTCAGGTTTCACTCACATGAAGATGAAAATAATAATGAAAAGCTTGATTATTACATATAAAGAGACTTGTATTTCATGTCTTATAACCTAACTAGACTTGCTCAAGATGATAATGAAGATAATGGATGAAAAATTGAAATGAAAAGTTGAAAATATCAACGGTCAAAATGACTACTCTTCATGTTTGGTTTGATGCTGGATGAAGGACTTTGTTAGGTTGAGATTTTTTCATCTCTTGGCTCTAACTTGATTGCTAACTAATCTGTAACAAAATTTTCCCTCACATCAGGCTTTCAGACTTTGCTAAGACGGTTAAATTGGGGAAATATAATTACAATTTGCTAATTAATTTATTCGGAAGGAGTGAGTTGTTTTGGGTTGAAAAACTTCCTCCTTTCATTTTCATCTCTTTTTTGAATCGACATCAATACCGAGGTTAGTCATTGTATAACAATGAAATTTTGACTGAAAGCTTCTCTTTCATATCTAATAACAATTTGTGTACAATTGAACTGACAGTCTGTTTCTGTGTTAGCAATCAGCTTAGGTGACATTGATTGTTTACTAGGGAGTGAAAGATAATCATTGAATGTGTAAGCAAAAAGCTAATGCCAATATGTGTTATGTTATCAAGAGATTGTCTTGTTTTTTTTGCTGCTTTTCACTTTCCCTTCCCTTTGTTATATTAAAAGTTATAAGTATACGTTACTATATATATATATTGATTATTATTACTGTTATTATTAATGCTATTATTATTGTTATCAATACATATTGTTATTACAAATGGTGAAGAGTCAGTGAATGACTAACAACTGTCACTGTGTTTGCATTTGAACAGTTTGCTGCTCAGTAATACTCGAGTTTGATTGACAGCCTTTCCTTGTTGTTCCCATTCAATTACTCATCAGAACTTTACATTTTCATGTTCACCCATTTTCATAATGAAATGGGTTAGATTATTGTTGACAATTTGAGATGAAATTATCCATTTTCAGGTGAATACTGAGCATTCAGTCGTGAGTATTTGGAGTTTTTGAGGCTTTAGTTTGTCATCAAAAGGATGATTAGGTTGAATTGTATACCTTGAAGGAAATGTAATTTAAATAGTTGATCAAAATATTTATCAACAATTTGTATCGATTTTGCTTTTCCTTTGTAATAGGTAAGTTGATATTACTGTTTAATCGTATGTTTAAAGGTTGTTATGGATGAAAATGAAGGTTAAGGAATGATGTGGATGTTGCTTTTGTTTGTTTCTTGTTAGTATAATGATGATGGATGTGGGTGGATGGACGGGGAGTAAAAGTATAAAAATATTTATCAAGAATAAAGTTGATATTTTGATGTTATTAAGAGACTAGAAGGTTGAGCTTTGTGAGGGTTTGAAAAGGTCATCAAAATAAAAGCATAAAGGTTGTATTTTTATCAACTCAACTACAGACTGTTAGAAGGTTTTTAGGTTATTAGTATCAGTTGATATCAGTTGATAACAATTTCATGTGAATTAATGTATTATGATGAGAGATGTAATGAAGATGATCAAGGAAGATGTGACTGGATCAACAAGAATCAATGAAACTGGTAAGACTGAACATACAAGTGAAGGGACAGAAAATGTAAAGCTTTGAATATAACAAATGTGTAGATAATGAGTGTTTAGAGGACTTTAATGATGAGTTTATTGGAAGGCAAAGACGATGGATTCAGATGATAATAATGATGATGGTAACAGTCTCATCATTAAAGTCCATTTAATGGATCATCCTAAGAAGTTAAATCAGGGAAGACAAAAATTGTCTAGAGACTGTTTCTACTCTTTTTGCTTGCTTACTTTTTGCATTCAAACAAAATATGAGTCTATAGAGATAAGGATGAAAATGATGAGGATAATGTTGATGAGAGTGAGGATGATAATGATAAAAAGGGAGAGTAAGTAAGTGAAAATGGGTGATGGGCTTGAGAAACCATAAGGTGATAGGAAGAGGGTAAAGTGTAGGCCTGAAATGAATTAGCAAAGCAAAGCTACAAATGTTTTGATAAACATCTTCAGTCTCTTTCTTTGTTTATGTTTTTCTTCTTCTTCTTCTTTCTCTTCTTCTACTTCATTCTCATCTTCCTTTTTCATGTTGATTTGTAACCGAACTGACGAGTGATTTGTGCCTTTTGTGTTTCCTCTTGTGAATACATTTACAGTGTTGGTTGAGATAAGTTGGAGGAGTGAAATGTTAACGGATTCAACAAAATGGCTTCGCTAATCTTTTGAAACAATCATGGATTTACAATTTGATTTTAGTTATGTCGAAGAGTCAATGGTTCTTGAGATTAATTAGATTTCCGATCATCTTAGATGACTTGGGAATAATGTGATAAAATTTGTTCAAATCATTTACTATAATGTTTCACATGCAGTCAGGCAGTTAAAGGTTTGAACTTGTTTTGTTTAGATTAACTTGATCAGCTTTTTATATTAAAATACATGGAAATTTGGAAAAACAATGAAACGAAGAAACTTTGTACATTAGATTTTACTTTAAAAATATTAAATTATACAAAAAATGGCGATGATGATGATGATATATCCAATTGATGGCAAGAATCAAGCCCATTGTATGAATATCTTGAGTATTCATGATGATTAATTGACGTATTGGTACCCAAAACAGTAAAGTGAAAGTAGATATAATTGAAACATTTTGAATAATTAATTTAACTTGTTGAACAGAGTAAAAATGGTTAAAGGGTAAAATTGGAAACTGTAATCAACTGACAGACTTGATAGGAACAACGGAAAATATGATAAGACCTGAACCAGCAGGTTATCAATCACAACAGATTATAAGAGAGACATAAGAAGTTATCGAAGAGGATAAGCAGGGAACATAAACGGTCCTAAAAGGAGTGATGAACAAAATCATAACAAAGGTTAACAATTAAATGATACAGAGCCAATGGGTGAAGTCGATGTCTTTCAAGTTTACAAAGCTAAATTCCCGAGGATTTAAGCTGCTTTTTTCAACAGTTTTACATGGGATGCATGTGATTTTGATGACAATGATGATGAGAGTGGTGGTGATGATTAATGGATGATCATTGATTTGACAAAAAAGGTTATCACGACGTTTGAAGCATTATATGCCATCGAGCACAAACCGACTCCTTTGGTCCACTTTCAATGGTTGCATTAACAGGCTTAAGATCAACATAATGTGGCGTTTCAGGTGTGTATTCTGGCCAATCAACGTCCATTTGATTACCAGGAACTCTGCAACACAAAAATAAAATAAAAACAAAATTAGATTAGTAAAAAAAATTAGAGTAATAAATGTTAACAGTGAACATAAGATCCTAAACTTATTAACCATAAGACTTAAGACAATCCAACGGTTTTTGTTTTAAAATTAGGGCGGTCTATTTAAATTATGAGAAAAGAGTAATTTATCAAGTTTAATTGTATATAAATTGTTATTATTTTTGTTGTGCCTGTTGAAGCGAATACAACCTGTTGAACTGATTCACAGTTAACTAAATAGTGAAACAACTTGTATTTTTCATTCACTTTCTCAAGTGGATTAATTAATCTACCAAATCAAGCTAATCTTCTTTACTTGCGTTAAATTGCTTCCTCTTTTCAATTCATAAGCAATCAAAATACAGGTCAATTGATACAATCTGAAGAAGATTCAATTAGTCAGACCTTGCCAGTAGCGCGATAAAATTATTATTTATTGCTGCTAATAGGACGAATAAAGTAAAAAGATATTAAATACAAATTTTTGTCTTCAATTGACCCTGTACTTTTCGAGGTTTCGAGTTCATGGTGAACTGATAACATGGTAAGTTGATTTGTTATTTTGATTGAAATTATAATCTCTCTTTTACCACATCATAAAGCAATTACTAATTACATTAACATATCCAATCAGAAGATATTGTAATAATCGTTGCAATACAATGAAATTATCTTTCTTTTCCAGATGATTCCAGAGTTATCTTTTCATCTACTTCTCCATAACAATTTAATATCAAATTGTACCTGAGCTTCTCACCTCCAGCTAGATCAAACCCTAGATTATGATTAATACAAATCATTTTAAACTCTGGTTTCTCCTTTCAATTGAAATGCGAGTTTCCCTGGAAGCTTGAAGTATTGGTAAATACAAAAGAAACCAGTTTGTAATAAATCCTTCTTACAAGTCTTTGTTAGACTCTGTATTGGATTAGTCATAATGGTTAGTCTAAGGTTGATTAATATGAGAATAACTGGAATGAGTAATTAGTGTACGAAACTTCATGTAAAAACAAATCAATTAAAAGCTTTAACTTCATCTTGTAATAATAGATGTCGCTGGCTATTTATTTTGAAACCCAAAGTTTATTTGCTGAAAAGTTTCATTCTGTTAATGTAAAAATTAAACTTTGATTGCAACTATTGAAGTTCAACAGCAAGTTTAAAATCAAAAGATGAAGTCAACATGGGATCTATTATAAGGGAACAACGCAAAATTAGACGAGATGCATAACTTCACTTAAATCTCTAATTTTTAGTTTTCGCTAAATGAGTGTCCATCTTTTAAAGTTCATTTTATCAAAATTTTAAACTGCTCAACCTTAAATGGCGATTTGAATTTTAATGGTCATGATCGTTATCAATTCGTAAATTTGTGAATTGATCTTAGGAAACAATTAGGTAATCTTGAGTGAATAGTAGTTAATTTGGAAGTTTTATGGACTCACTAATTATATGCTTGATTAGATTGTTTTAGGAAAAGTTTGATATCTTACCCATTTTTGGCAAAGGAAACCCAAGTTTTCATGAGTCTTTTACTGAATTCAACCTCTTCTGATTGGTAAAGGTGGGGTTGTCTCAAAGGTACACCAAAAATGAACTGAACTTCATCAAAGTGAAGAACTCCCATCCAGTTAGGCCATGGAGAATTGGATGGTTTATGGTCGAAAACGTAGAAATAGGCAGATCCTTCGTTTTTGACAAATAATTGTGAAAATAATGTCAATGGACAGGTGAATGTCGAGTCTCCTATGAAATCTGAAAGTATTTGCCTAACATCAGCTGGACTCGTGTCTTCGCTGATAGGAAGGAAAGATGAGTAAACTAAAGAGGCAACTCGAGGTGTTAAAAATGGAAAAGATTGTCGAACAAATTGCATTATTCGGGAATGTGAGACATTGTTAAGAGTTGCACCAAACAACTTGGGATCCAAGTAATGGAGGAAGAAAGTTCCCTCATCTTGTGTTGATCCTAACATAACCTCTCGTTGATCACCAATCTCTCCTAAATCCATAAGAGATATTGGGTTAGCTGGTAAAAAGTCATCGCCTAAGGATGGACCAAATGAGAGACTCATTTCATCTATGAGATTGTTTTGAGCTTCGGTCAATTGTTTCAAATCTACCGATCTCAAACAATCAGCTATAACTTCTGGTGTTTTAGGGAAACTTTGATGATGATGTTGCTCCTTGGAGGGAGTTGAAGATGATGAAAATATTGGCGATGTAGTATTAGTGGTATTGGCTCCTGCATCATCAGGTAAGCAACCAACCATTGAGGCAAGAGTTAATCCTCTCCTTCCATAAGCTCCTTCGCGTTCATAGAAAAGTCTTGTTACTGTTGGAGCACCTGATTGCATAATTCCTCTACGGAAGAGATCACTTGAAAGGGGAGATATGTAGTGTAAACCAACAGATATAGCACCAGCTGATTGACCAAACAATGTCACTTGATTAGGATCCCCGCCAAAATGAGCAATATTGTCTTGAACCCATTTCAAAGCTGCAACCTGATCGTGAAGTCCCTGGTTACCTGGTGCAGATGCTGTTCCTAGATTAAGAAAACCAAAAGCGCCAAGCCGATAATTGATGGTTACAACTATAACATTTCCAAAAGATGATAAAATTCGTCCATCGTAGGTAGAAAGATCAGCTGAACCTGAGAAAAAGGCTCCTCCGTGTATCCATAGCATCACTGGAAGCTGCATTGATGCTCTTTTTTGCTTTCCTATGGATTGAGTCATTCGAAAACCACTTTCTTCGAGAGGAACCCAGATATTCAAGTACAAACAATCTTCAGACATATAATCTTCGGGTGAAATCCAAGGAGTATACGTTCGATTTGGTTTGAATTGAACGCACTGTGGACCAAATCGAGTGGCATCTCTTATGTTATTCCATGATTGAAGAGGTTGAGGTTTACGGAATCGATTGGCTCCAATCGGAGGAGCTGCATATGGGATTCCCAGGAAAACACCAATGGAACGCTGAAGAACAGACACTTTGAAGCCACGTAAAGCTCCATAAGAGGTTGTAACGATTAGGGAAGAGTCTTCATTTGAATGTTCATCAGTGGGTGAACTCTGATCTAATGATTCTGATGATGATGAATCTGTGAAAATATTAAGCTCTACAAAATCTGGAAGACGTAAATGAAGAGGTAGAAGTAATTTAACAAAAACAAGTGATAACACAAAAAGAATAACCACAACAATGGTAATGATGAGAGCTCGTCGAGCGGACGACTTCTTGACCAATTCAACCTAAACAAATGGAATAGAAAGAGAGAAAAAATGGGAAAAATTGCATGACAAAAATTATTAGCAACGTTACATCAATATGGAATGTGAAAGACAAACAAAAGATGAATTATCGTTTCAAATTCTTGTTTCACTAGCAAAAATAGATAATTTTGGATAGGTTAGATGACCAAAGCAAAGTTAATGTAATGGGCTGTTTAATGGTTAGTACTAGTTAATAAATAAAAACAAAACAGTCACTTTAAGATCACATCATGGTCATGTTAACGAACCTCCGGGCGAGGACTCACGTTGGTCTTGTAAACTCTCCTTCGATCCATGGATATGTAATAACAAGAGAAACACAAAAATATCAATAATAACTTTCTTCAGCACTAAACTTTAACCGTTCTCCGTTTCAAGTGAATTTTCAAATGAATTTCACTTTCTCTTCTTCTCTTTCTCTCTTTTTTCTCTTTCTCCCTCCCTCTATCTCTATCTCTCTCTTTTTCTCTTTCTTTCTTTCTCTCTCTCACTCTCTCTATCACAGGTTCCAGTTTTTCAACGGACTCGGTCGATTAACTTTCTTTTATTGTCTTCAAATCAAATGAGAAGCTTTTTTTCAACATACCTGTTAGCCTCAAGAAAATGAGGTGAAAGGTAATTTCGAGTGAGTACGAAATAAAGTACAAGTAAGAAGAGGAGGTTTTACTTTGTTCCAACTTTTCGCGACCAACAAAGCTGTTTGTTTATAATGATGGTAATGATAATGGTGGTAAATATTTCAACCAAACACCAAATTGACATAAATTGATTGATGTCCAGAGAAAGATTAAATCTGCAGATTAATTAACACTTAATCCAAAAAAAGAGAGATTAAACAAAAATAATGTCTTTGAATTATCGACTCTTTGCCTTTACATTACACATGGAATCAAAAATTGCTAATTATGTAACCACAAGATGGCTCTGATTTTTTGACAAAAACTGTTAACTTAAGACAGTGATTTTCGCTCTCTTTCTTTGTCTTTACGTTCAACTTCTCATGAATTTTTCCTGAATTGATTGTTTACTGAACTTGTTGATTACTGGTTTAATATTAATATCTAAACCTACCTTCACCTCATCCTTCCCCTCTCTTCTGTTCGTCTTTTAATTAAAACCAATCTTTCTTTTTATTTCAGATTCTTATCCATATCCAATCTCAATCAGCTGATGTATCGCGCTCTCATTAAAATCGAAGGCACCATTTTTACATGTGGACAACCAATGACCAGTGACGTTTGGGTTACTTTCGTTGCTTGAAGACAATTTCTTGATGTCTCTCTCTCATTTAGGTGATTTATAATTAATTTACATTTGGTTTTCACATTTTCAGTAAATTAGTGTCATTCTTCTTTCTTGAAAGGTTACTTGATGATGGAACAAATCACGCCATTTAATATTATTCTGTTAAAATGACGATATCATTATATTTCCGATTATATTGAGAATGGAATGACCTTCTAAGAGAGAAAAGTTCGAATATCAATCAAGTTCAAAGTGAACACTTTCTAAGAAAACTTTCCCTTCAGGGTTAATCTTCTTTTTTCCCCATTAATGATTACCTTCAAATATTCAAGTTAACATAATCATCATTTTCCATCGTCACCATTAACATCATCACCATCACAGTTTCCAATCTAAATCTGCATGAATAAGCCTGTTGGTTTAGCTGATTGCTTTCTTTCGTTTCACTATTGCCACCTTAAATCTACTCAGCTTTCCTTTCTCGTTGCCATCTTAATTGATTACCGTCAGTTGTCAGTGATAATCGATAGATTTAATTTATTCATTTCATCTATCAAAATTAATCAACTAAACTTGCTTACCAAGTAAATTTACAACACAATCTTTGGCTATTTCCATTAGAATTGAAAACAAAATTGCTGTGTTTAACCAGGATTTCAGTCTGATTGTCAGTTTTTAATTGAATCTAACCAGAAAATTGAGTAATCTAAAAAAATTGAGTAAAATTTATCCAGCTAATATTTTACTCATGATTGATTTAATTGGTCACAACGTTAAATCACATTTCCAATAATTATCAGTTGAAAACGTCAACTTTTTACCATTTGAAATGGTTTAATTGTAGATATGAAAATCATCCAATATTAATAAATGTGTATAATTTATCCTTTTATTTATAGTTTCCTGGCCATTCGATTTCCGTATTATTTGGATTCAAATCGACCATTCAACGGCAGTTTATAAAGATCGATGCAATTTCCCATTCGGATCATCATTAAACAATCAGAGTGGCCAAGCAATCGGACAAAATTACTTCAACATCTCTTGATTTGAATTCAAATTTGGCAGCAAAAGTCAACATTTTGGTTCCAGGAAACTTATGTTTATTAATCGTCAACAATTATTCTTAACAATTGCGATCGTTTACCTTGAAAGATTGGCTTTTTGACCAGCTTTACGTGCCTTTCAACTTTCCTATTCAATCATCATTAACGTGTTAATCAAATCATTCTCATTACATCTTTAGGTTAGTTAATTAAACTGTTGAAGTATTTTCTTGCATCTGTAAACTTTGCTTCAATTCCAATCAATTTGTATCTAAATTAACTATTTAACCTAAACTTTCATCTTTTCTGTCTTTCTTAAAAGCTCAAATGATTTACGGTTGTTGGTGGAGATCAGAAATTACCATTTGCTATCATTATTATTTGGAGATCACATAAAACAATTTAACATGTTTATTAAGTGTCAAATGTTAGTCACACACTTGCTAGCTGTTTGTCTCAATTATAATCAATTCAATAATTGTACCTATTGATATAAGTTACAATTTAAATTGATTCACATTTAATTCATTTGACATCAATTTTATGTAAACATACGGTTTGTATACATTTTGTGTTAACATTTTCTCGAACTATTATATGTTCAAATGTTGTTCTTGCTTTCTTTTCACTCAACTTCTTTACCGTCTCTACTCAGAGTATTAAGTCAACAATTACTCAAAACAAAGAAAGTGGCAAAAACTCAATTCAATTTAATCACAATAAGATACGACAAGAACAACAAAAAATCAGCTCAAATCGATTCTAAATCAATTGTTTTTTTCCTCTCAATTAACAGATACGATGGCAATGACGAGGACAAAATTCATCAAATCTCAAGTTAAAGATCAATCATGAGGTCAATCATAGTGAGAATAAAAGTTATCCAGTTGGTGAAATCTGAAATGGATTCAAGTTTATCATTTTCGACCATAATTTCCTACTCAAGCTACTCAGGACAATAACGATTTTGGGCGCAATTTAATGGTAAAATTTGTACTTTAACAGAAAACTCTAATGATTTGACGTTGATCTCATTCAATTTCAAGTTGATTAAGGTTTAATGTACTTTTGGCTGGTCTTTTTGGAGGTGTTTTGTGTCAAAATTGATTGAATTCAACTTAATCCAAATGGTTTAAGGAACAAGTGGGAAACATCACAATTTAAATAACTGTTACCTCTTACCCTGCTGTAAATACAGTTGACCATCAGACAATTAACTTTGATTTTAGAGGAAATGAAAATGTGTAAATAATTTGCAAATGTGACGCTCTTGGGTCATTAGAGTATCACAATTGTTGATTATTTTACCAAATCATTTGCCAAATTTAAGAGGAAAGGTTAGCCAGGTTAACATGGTAATGAGATTTGATTGTGAATTTGTAACCAAATATATAAAAAAACAATTATACTATCAATACTAGATTGAAACAAAGTGCTTCATCTATTTGTATTGTTAACCATTCAAGTGATACGTTTAGTTGTAAGGAAAGTGATGTTTTATCCTTATTTACTTTTGAGATAAGTAAATTTTAAATTAATATTCATTAGTTAGAGTATAATTATGATTAACATTATCATTATAATTATATCTTGTATAATCAGTGTAATTTTGATTGAAGGTCAATCGAAAAGCTTTACTATGTTAACAAGTTGTTGTTGCTGTTTCCAAATGATGCTGTTGATGATGCTAATGGTGATGCAGTTATAAACATGATTAACCTGCATCAATATTAATTATTTTATTTAGTTATTACAACCAACTGGTACTGTAAACTGTTTAACATTCAATCAATTGACCTGTTGACACTTTTTTCACCTTTAACTTGATCCTTTACCACATTTGCACTTCACAATTAATTGATTCTCATTTGATAACTAATTTAACTTTTACTATTATTTTCACAGATAGACGATGATAACCTTAACTGGCAATCATAAATATTAACTATTGTCACAATCAATGCCTTAAAGGCCAGTAAAATGGTGTAATCTTGGATCACTGGAAAGTCAGAAGCGCGATCTGACGCATGTAAACCCTAATTGAGTGAATTTACAATTAGCCGTTTAATTCATCTTTTAATTACCTTTATTGTTGAGTTATTGAGTTATTAATTCATTGATTGCTCAATTGCTCAAAGGTTAGGTCATTTCAGTTGATAAATCATATTTTGCCTTCAAAAGGTTAACCTTTTAACATTGAAAACAAATTTGATTTTAGCTGATCTTGAATGATCTTTCAACTTATTTAGTTGATTCAGTCAAATTGTAAAGTCAACAAATGATCTTTATCAATCTTTAACTGTAATCAATATTTTTGCCTGAATCTAAATTTAATTTTGAAACAATCAAAGTGTCACTTAAATGTTGACCAATTGAAAACGACTTGAAGTCAAGTTCAGTTGTTTGGTTCAATTTTTTATTTCAACTCAAGCTCAATCAACACTCTTTTGTGTCTATTTAACTTAAATCAATTTGTTTTAATTTACAATCAACAATAGATTTACAGAAAAAATCCATTGATTGTAAATTAAAACCAAAAAAGTGGTTAACCAAATTCACCAACAGTAAAAGCTTAATGTTATTTTTTTCACAATGAGATTCTGTGAATCCAATAAAAGGTAGTTTAAGTTTAGACTAATTTAATTGTCTCATATTTTAAATGTAACACCAATTAATGCGTCTAATTGTAAGCAAATGAATTTACTTCTCATCTGTATTCACCGAGTATATTGAACTCAATTGGACCTAAAATGGACACAATTTTAAGTCAAACAGTAAAATGACTCTTTAAGCTTTCAACCAATTACTTTAATTTAAATCAATCAACTAGTTTACAGTTAGACTTAACAGTTAAATCACTATAATCATCATTATGCACATCCATTTGTTAACAATTATCTCAATTAAAAAACTTACATTCTCTTTTGATTTATGTGCTTACTTACCTTGTTATTGTTGATTGTTTCAATTTCCTGGTTATAACCTTAACCATTGAAAATTTAGGATTAACAATAGCGATTAATGATGTTAATAACTGTCAACCTTTACCTAAAATTGTAAACCTTAATCTTGAGCCAATTGTTTGACGGCAACAATTATTACAGCAACAAATGGACATAAAAAACTAGCAAAAAACAAACCATTTACCAGTTACTAAAATGGTAAACATTTTGTCTATTTATCCAATTTTGATATTTAACATTTCATTGAATTTCAACAATTAGTTAACAATTTATGAGTTAAACCTTTATGATCATCAGGCTTGCAAGAAAAGCTGATTAAAGCCTAACAATTATTGATAGTAAACAAAATAACCTTGTATCCAATATTGGGTTTTAGCTTGTGAAGATGTTTTATTAATAGCAATACTAATGACAATAATAATGTATTCAATCATCAGCTAATTGAACATTTTAATTCTAATAATCAGCCAACCTTGGTTTCACCAATCAATCCATTTTGCCTAATCAACATCATCAATCACAATTGACCATTCAAATTAGAAGCCAAATTTTGCCCCTTTTTACCAACCTTGACCTGATATTCAAGTTTAATGGTTATGAATACCATTAATGATAGTTATTGGATATTGAAGCAATCGGTTGATCAAAGATTCAAAATGGTTTTGGGTTTCTATCCATACAAATGTCAATACAATTTTTGATTTGAATCTTCATTGTTGCTGTTGAAGTGTTCAATTTTTAGCAACATATTATTAGAATCAAGAATCGGTTGTTTGGGTGAAAATGAGCGTCAATTGATTGACCCAATTGGCTAACAAAATGAAATGACCTTTACCTTTATCAAGGATGTTTGCTTGCTTGCCAAATGTACGTTTCATCAAGATTGTCTCAATTTTTTAAGCATCTTGATTGAAAGTCAATTTGTAGGCTTTTTTTTTAATCGACAATGATATTGAATTAGGGAAAATTTGATTTATTAAAAGATCGATTGGATTGGTGTTGGTATAAAGATTATATTGACGGTTAATCAAGAATGATTAAGGTCAACTGGGATAATGAGAAAGTCTTGTGATGAGTTGAACATTGGATGTAAGGCTTTTTTGGCCTTTTTGTAAAATAAAATTGAAACAAAGTTAACATAATAATAAGCGAGAGCAAAGCCGATTTAAGTTGATTGTTTAAGTAAGATTAACATCATTCGTTTCAGTTAACATTTACTTCCGCACTGGTCAAGTTATTTACTTATTCGAGAGACTTCATGACCTAACTAAAAAGATTGAAAAGATGACCATCAACATCACACGAATTAACCATCAACAAGCACTTGACCTTTCACTCTTTCCTTTCACTTTCACTCCTTTGATCATCTTTCATTTTTTAAACTTTCACTTTCTCTCTCCGTATGATGAACTTGGTCGCTACAGTAACACCAACAGCTTTCCTTCAAACAGTCATGTAGATACATCAGCAGCTTTCATTGTTGGATTTAAATACTGTATCTTAAGCACGGATTTAGAGAAAATCATTGTTAGAAGATTCAATTACCAAGCGATGAACAAATTGTTGGTGAAGAATGGTTCCGAAATTATAATACCATTGATTTACCGACCAGTGAAACACTTAAGAAATGGTTTAGAACCAGTTGGTCTAAATAGAAGTAGCCAAAGATATTTCCAAAGGTGAATAATCTGATGGTTATCTAATAAATAACATATAAAAGATATTAGATAATAACAGATGAAATGATTCAATGAAACCGTAAACAAGCAACTCCGGCTTAGTCAGTGCTAAATGAAATCGGCTGACTTCCATAGGCTGGCTGGGAAAAAGATAAACACAAAATCTGTTGCTTTTTAGTTTTTAGTTTTTTACTCAAAACTATTTTTTCGTTACCTTTTTGTTATTTGTTAATTAATACACATAAATTTTTATCAATGGTTTTATTTAATAGTGTAAGAGGTTTAAATTCAAAGGTTAGTTGACAGATTTTGTTTAATAGTCACCACGTTAAAGTTTTTTATCATATTTTACTTGTTGAAATCAACTTTAGGCTGCTGTTCTCAGCAAGTTTTTCAATGGAGCTTTGGAGAGAAAATTCAATTGTGTTAGACAATTATCCACACAAGTTGTCTTTAAAGGAACCCCAGCCTCAATTTTAGTTTCTGAGGATGAAGCAGCAATTCGAGAAATGATTACTAAAATGTGTCAAAATGTGATCAGTCCAAGAGTGAAAAAAATGGATTCAACTTCAACTATGGATAAAGAAGTGATCGACGCTTTATTTCAAAATGGGGTAAGACAATATATTGATAATTTTTACAGTTTCATAATATTAATTCGAATACTTAATTATCCACTTTAGTTAATGGGAATCGATACAGATCCAAAATATGGAGGTACAGGGGCAAGTTTTTTAGCTACTGTGTTGGCTGTTGAAGAGTTAGCTAAATTTGATCCCTCGGTTAGTATATTAATGGATGTACACAGCACTGTGTGTATGTCAACCTTCAACAAATTCGCTTCTGAGGAACATCGAGAAAAATATTTACCTAGGTTATGTAAAGATACGGTGAGTAGTTTTTTGCGAATAGCACGACTCATTTTTGTTGAGGTATTAATAAGATTGTTCATTATTTGACAGATAGCTTCGTTTTGTCTCTCAGAAGTCGAATCAGGCTCTGATGCATTCGCCCTGAAAACCCGAGCAATAGACAAAGGAGATCATTTCGTAATCAATGGAAGTAAATGTTGGATTTCAAATTCACGAGAAGCCGGTATATTCCTCGTCTTTGCTAATGTCGATCCAAGCAAGGGATACAAAGGAATAACTTGTTTCATTCTGGAAAAGGGTATGCCTGGCTTAACTGTTGCCAAACCTGAGGACAAGTTAGGTATAAGAGCATCATCAACATGCACAGTTTCATTCGAAGATGTTAAAGTTCCTAAAGAAAATGTACTCGGACAGATTGGCCATGGTTATAAATATGCAATTGGTGTCTTGAACGAAGGAAGAATTGGAATTGGAGCTCAAATGACCGGACTAGCACAAGGATGTTTTGATCATGCTGTTAAATATGCACTTGAAAGAAAACAATTCGGGCAAGCAATTTTTGATTTCCAAGGTATGCAACATCAAATTGCCAGTATAGCCACACAAATTGAAGCCGCTCGTTTACTTGTCTACTCTGCTGCTCGAATGCGTGATGCTGGTGTTGATGTTGTTCAAGCTGGTGCTATGGCTAAATATTATGCTTCTGAAGTTGCAACAGCAACAACAAGTAAATGTGTTGAATGGATGGGAGGTGTTGGTTTCACCAAGGATTATCCAGTTGAAAAATATTATCGAGATTGTAAAATAGGCTGTATTTACGAAGGAACAACAAACATTCAATTGAACACTATTGCTAAACTACTCAAGGCAACTTATTCACAATAGTTGTAAATTGGATGATCACACCAGGATTCATATTAACGGGAAGAAAATTTCATGAATTTACTTTTGATACCATTAACTGGCATAATCAGGATCTGATCTTTGTTAAACTGTTTTTCCAATGGATGTTACTACGCAAAGAAACTACGTGTAGATTGTTGATTGCAATAAAATTCTTTGTATATTTACCACGATTCATTGATAATCATGAGTGAGATAAACTACTTGAACGAAATTATCTGATTCTCTCAAGATTGATTGAGTGTTAACAATTACACATAAACTGTCATCTTTTGAAAATCATCAAAACTGAAATGAAAACATTAGACACATGTATCACAATTGTCTGGATTCACATGGTGTTTCCAGGATTGTTATTGATTAATCTATTGTAGTTGTATTTTCACCTGAAATTTAATTGTTTCTAACTTTCGATTAATCACAATTACGCAATGCAAAACAAACACCAATTTTAGTTATTGATTATCAACAAATATTTGCACCAAGATGTATGCATAATGAATCCGTTCATCCACTTCAAAATTTAGTAATTGCTAAGAAGATTGTAGCAACTTTTTTAATCGTGAGAATGAGAAAAATTGACAAAACCATCTTTAAAAATAATATCGACAAAAATTTGTAACTATTGGAAGATTTTTAATTTATTTTAGCAAATATTCCGTACAATTTTCTATCCTTGATTTTGGCTGATTTAGTTAAAGGGAAATATCACTATACGAATAATGACAACTCGTTATCAACAAGTCTTGCTCTAGTCAGCTGGCTTGCCAAAACTGGCTATTGATAGTGAAGGAACAGCAAGAAAAGTTTCAACAGAGAAGTTCTGCATCAAGCCTAACTTATTGAATTTACTCTTCTTTTTGATCATTTTACATTTTAAATTGTCATCTAGTTCTTTAATTCGATTTCTGTAAATCCAAAATGGCTTTTTTAAACACTTTCAGACAATTAAACTCGAAGGTATGTAACAAGTGGTCATCATGATATCTCGATCTTATTTTTGTTTACTTATATTCCAGACTGCTAGTCTCCGTCAACTACTTGTTGGACCTACTAAACGAACTATGGCAACAAATCAATTCAACCATCCAGTGTCTATAGCTATCACTGAAGACGAAGCATCAATTCAATCAATGATAAATAAAATGTGCCAAGACATTGTTGCTCCTAGGACACAAAGAATGGATGAAGTTGCCAAGCTGGATAAAGAAGTTATTGATGCTTTGTTCAAAAATGGAGTAAGTGTTGTATTATTGAATTAATCTAGAGATAGTGACCGTTTATTATTTTCCAGTTAATGGGAGTTGATGTTGATCAAAAATATGGAGGCACTGGTGCAAGTTTCTTAGCTACTATTTTGGCTGTGGAAGAGTTAGCTAAATTTGATCCCTCAGTTAGTATAATCATGGACGTCCAGAATACTTTGTGCATATCTACGTTCAAGAAATATGCTTCTGAGGAACAAAAACAAAAATATTTACCCAGATTATGTAAAGATACGGTAAGTTTCGATAGATCTAGTCATCTCTTTTTCATTTTAACTTATCAAATAATATTTTGTCTCTTTTAGATAGCCTCATTTGCCCTCTCAGAACCAGAATCAGGTTCTGACGCATTTGCCCTGAAAACTAGAGCCGAAGATAAAGGAGATCACTTTGTGATCAATGGTGGTAAATGTTGGATTACTAATGCTGGAGAAGCCGAAGTATTTCTGGTTTTTGCAAATGTTGATCCAAGCAAAGGTTACAAAGGCATATCTTGTTTTATCCTTGAAAGAGGAATGCCTGGTTTCACTATTGGTAAACCTGAAAACAAATTGGGTATCAGAGCTTCATCAACTTGTTCGTTATCATTCGAAGATGTCAAAGTTCCTAAAGAAAATGTCGTTGGTCAAATTGGTCATGGTTATAAATATGCAATCGGTATTTTGAATGAAGGCAGAATCGGAATTGGAGCTCAAATGATTGGCTTAGCTCAAGGGTGTTTTGATTACTCTGTCAAGTATTCATTGGAAAGAAAACAATTTGGTCAACCTATCTTTGAATTTCAAGGAATGCAACATCAAATCTCTGTTGTAGCTTCACAATTACGTGCGGCCAGACTATTGGTGTATGATGCTGCTCGGGCTCGTGAAGCTGGTGCTGATGTCGTCTTAGAAGGTGCCATTGCTAAATATTATGCTTCTGAAGTTGCTACAGCAACAACAAGCAAATGCATTGAATGGATGGGTGGTGTTGGTTTCACCAAGGATTATCCAATTGAAAAATATTATCGAGATTGTAAAATAGGATGCATTTATGAAGGTACAACTAATATTCAATTGAACACGATTGCCAAATTAATTAAACCTTTCTACGCACAATAGAATCTCAACGTGATATGTAATTCCAAGAAAGTGACCAATCTGTATCTTTTTCTAATATATGCCTACAAACTTGATATTTAATATTATTTCAATAAAGGGGATCATCTTTTTCCATCACTTTCTCTATCAATTTTTTCATAAGATTTCCCATCACCCAAATCCACCAAATTGTTAACCGCTTTTCAAAGATATGATGGTGATGAATAGTGAATATGTTAGATTTGGGTGGTGGACAATTCGGCGAAAAAGTTATTAAAAAAGTAATGGAAAAAACTGACCAGTAAAAAAGATTTGAATGTCAAAAAATGCTTATCAAATAAAACAGTTGAAGAAACTAAGAATTAACAATTAATGGTAAATTATATTGTTACAGTTTACATAATTACAAAGTCTTTATAGAAACTTGATTTGATACAACAATCATTTTGAAAATTCTTGAAACTATCACCTCTGGAATGTCGTGAGAGATGAGATTGATACTTGTGAGAGTTGACAATGAAAGTCTGTTAAGTAAAACAATTCTGCATCCACTAAAAAAAGGTCAACAGAAAGATGATAGCTTGTAAATAAATTTGATGATTGGCATGAATTTTAAGGCAGTTAAGCTGTGAATCGCCAATTGAGAACAGAGAGCAAGGCAGATTCACAAATTCAATATGGTTTAGATGAAGATAGTGTCCGTTTTCGTGGAATCCTCTCAATTATAAGCTCATTGGCATCATTAAAAACTGGGTTATCCAGAATCTCAGTAGCAAGAGGTCTCTCATCAGGATCACAGGATAAAAGTTTACAGATGAGTTGACACTGTGAAAGATGATTAAAAAGTATAAATCATGTTAAAATTTGTTGAAAAGAGTTAAATTTCAAACTTACCTCTTTTGAATGATTATTTTGGAATTTGGTGGGAAATAAACCTTCTTTTATATTTGACAAAATTTTTATCCTCTCCATTTCAGTGTCAAATGGCATTAACATTTCGAAGAAAATAACACCAAGAGAGTAAATATCGACTTTGTTTGAGTAGCTGGCTCCTGCAATCTGTCAGTTGAAAAAAACAAATAAATCATTAAATCTCAATCACATAGAAACTATGAGTTGTAAATTTATTTACCTGTTCTGGGCTCATATAAAGTTTCGTTCCAACTTGATCAGTATGACGACCTTTATGACTCTTTTGATTAGGTATCTCACTTGATGGTGTATCTCCTCCTTGAGTACCAAAGAAATCAGATGCTATTGCAGTGACTAAGCCAAAGTCACCTATTTTAACACACCCATCCATGGCAAAGAAAATGTTTGAAGGCTATGATTGAAAATAAATAAAGACAAATATAAATAAGTGCTGATTAGTCAATCATGATAAATTGTGTAAAGATTGAAATAATGCTGACAAGTAGCAAAACATCAACTGAAAATTGAATCATTGAGACAGTAGTTTAATCTGTTTTTCAAAGCAACTAACAACTTGTAAAACAGATAATAATGAACACATATGTAAGTTGATTAGACAATAAAATTTACCTTCAAATCTCTGTGCATAAGTTTTTTCGAGTGAACGTATTCAACAGCTTCTACAATCTGTACGAAGTACTCTAAAACTAGGCATTTGTCACGATTTTTATGAGTCTTTAACCATTCACGGAGAGTCTCTTTTTGGCATAGTTGCATCTGAATGTAGAGATAAGCACGTCTTGATTGTTTTGATACAAAATTCAGTTTATTTTCTTCGTCATTTGATGTTTCATCTATTGGCTTCTGATTTGCTTCAGACAGATTATTACTCTCGCCATTCTGATGTGACGTACCACTCTGCTGAAATACAACATAAGAGTCATCACCATTACTATTATCACTGATATCAAAATTATCTGTCTGTTTCTTGAACTCAGGCCATTTCACAGATGTCGATGATGGTGATACTGGAGAGTCTGATTTGAGAGAGGTTGAGTTAGGTTCACTTCCCCAAAATGAGCTTTTGTCATTTGTTAAATTACTGTCTGCTTCTTCTTGCCAACCTTCAGGTGGAACTTCTAGCCATGAATTGTAATAACGAACAATTCCATGATGTTCAAGACAAGCAAGTGCTCGAACTTCTCTCATAACTTTGTCACGTGCTGTTTGTTGAAATGGTAAATTGATTCTTTTGACTGCATAATGACAATCATCGATTCTGTTTCTAGCTTGAAATACAACACCAAAGCCGCCTTTGCCAAGACAACAAATAGGCTCAAAGTCAGTTATATATCGGGAAGTATAGTTTGCGTTATCAAGTGGCACATTCCCATTAGGTAGTGAATTAGGTCTAAGTGGAGGAATTGGAGGTGATTGTTGTAACAAGGTATTTTGTAAAGGCAATGTAGGTGTTGATGGACTGATGGAAGTCGATCTTTCTTCGGTACTTTCTGAAGATCTAGGAGATCTATTTGTGGGATAGCAAACATCTTCTGCTGAATTGGGTAGTTCTTGGAATACATTCTTGACAACATGACGACGAATGTAAGAGACGACAATGTTGAGCACGACAGCAAAGAAAACACTTATGATTAAAACTTCCTTCCACCAATGCCATAAAGATATGATAATTATTTGGTCAATTGTATCAGCAGGTGATCGGGTACCATTAAAGTAATCTTCCGATGATAAGTTCACAAAAGGCTTTTCCTCAGATGATGGCGGGTAACACTGAGTTTTAGATTCATCTGGTCTCAATAAAATGAATTGCCCTTTAGTAGGGATACTCAAAGCTCTAGAAGAGCTAGGAATAATTTGTAGACTATTTTCATTATCGTCCTGATGCGGATACCATTCTATTTGGGGTATCCATTGTTGGTATTGACTAAATGGATGCTTATAAGAAGAATAGAATGATTTGCCGATTTCTCGGTATCTTTCTTTTATTGCATTTGAATGCTGAATATAGAATTGATTTTTATGGCTTCCAATGTAAAGTATTGGCTGTTGCGAGAGGGAATCTGTAGAGGTTATGTCGTATCTGAAAAGATCTACATTGTCCAGCTTTCCATTAGAATATAACCACATGCCAACAATAGGCGATTCTAATTGCTGAGTCCATAGCAAACGATTATCTTTTCTTGTTAATAATTTGATTAAACCATCAGAGATACTAATGGATAGCTTTTCATCTTGTCGCTCATTTGATTGATCAATGCTATCAAATACATGACAGTCATCATGTTTACTTAATAGTTGAGCATTATTTTCACCAACACTAAATTTCCATTGTTCAACACCGCTTCTAGGATCAACAGCTTTCACCTTCTGTCTTAACTGACGAATTAAAACTATTGTTAAGTTACTATCATCATCTTGAGGTCCACGACGACTTTTAGTACAATCAGCAAGGCCACAGGAATAAATTAAATCACCAGAGAATAGATCAAAGGCGAAAGTCTTAACCTCTTTACCACCGTTAATTAATAAATCATCTCCTAATTTGAACGAGCTCTTCAATAAAATATCTACATTCAATGGTACTGGTTCAATGATATTGTATTGCTGATTCAGTTTGTATAGACTTCCATCCAAAGCAGGAACCAGTTTAAAATATATTGCATCACTTATAAATTGAAAATCACCAATTGTGGACTGAAGGAGACCATCATCATCAGTTGAATGAGACCATAATACTCTACCATTATCATTAATATCCAAAGCAGTTACTTTACCATCCAATGTTGATACAATGTAACAATCAGCCTGGTTCATCAACTTTCTTAAAGAAGCTTGTTTACTTGAGCTGCAATCTGCAATTCCATCAGAGCTTTTAGAGAATCCAATCAAAGCACATAAAATTAAGAAAATTAAATTAAATTTCATCATGATCTACTGTCCAACTTCTAAGCCATTTTAAATTTAAAAAATGACTAAAATTCACAAAGTAAATAAACACTCAGAATCTAGTAAAACACAAGTGAGAATGATTTGAAATGAAAACAAAACAACTGACTTGATTTTCAGTAACCGAGGGATGATGCAAACATTGCGTCTTATTGGTAGAAACAAACAAGAAATTTAAAAGAACCCGGTATTCTAATCGTCTAATAGATGGCTCTGCACCAAACTGTAAAAAAACTAAATATCCGTTTCCTTTTCTCCGCAACATTATCTCCAGCGTTGGTCTTGCAGTAAATTGTAATTAAGTTGATTAACTTCGTTTTCTTGTTATCGCATTAACTGTTCAAGTTGTTTAACTTGTAATTGTGATTGTGTTTAAATTATTAGTTAATTTTGTAAATCCTAGTGTAAACCTTATCAACAATAATTCAAAATGGTCAGTGAATTAGCCTGTTCTTATGCCGCTCTCCTCTTGGCAGATGACGATATTGCTGTTACAAGTGAGAAAATCTCAACAATCTTAAAAGCAGCCAAAATCGACGTAGAACCCTATTGGCCAACATTATTCGGAAAAGCATTAGAAAGTGTGGACCTTAAAAAGTTGGTGACCAACATTGGTTCTGGAGTTGGTTCAGCAGCACCCGCAGCAGCCGGTGGAGCCGCAGCACCAGCAGCCGGAAAAGCTGAAGAAAAGAAGGAAGAAAAGAAAGAAGAAAAAGAAGAAGAGGAAGAAGACGATGACATGGGCTTCGGACTTTTTGATTAGATATTTTGAAATAAATGGATTGATAATAAATTTAAATCTTTAACCATTCACTCATGGTAACTTTATTCATTTTTTTCTTATATCCACAAGTGTTTTATATGTTTTGATTACATTTATATTTATCCATTTTGTTAGTTTAGATGAAACAAAACCTTTAACATCCTATGATTGGTTGTTTCTAAAGGCCTTTGAGTTCTCATCTGATTTCTGTTCCTTTCAACTTGCTTGAATCGGTCTTTGCTCATCTCTATTGGTAAAATTGGCAACTAAGAGATTTGACTTGGCTAGGCCAAAAGAGTGAATGTACATCACTACTAGAAGAAAAATGGATGATATACAGGATTAAAGAGAAATTGAAAAAGAGGGAAAAAAAGGAAATAAAGAAGAATCTTCTAATGAAAAGCTGACAAATTAAAAAACTGAAGACTTAAAATGAAACAGTCTCTTGAATAGTATTAAGAGGTTAAAAATGAAAACAGTAGGAAGGAAGATCCTTTTGGTTAAAATTGAACAGTCTTAAAGTCCATTTAAAACAGGGTCTATGGCCAAAAAACGGATCATTCAACAATAATTGAATGAAGTTGAATGAATGGCGAATTAAAATTTGGATTTGTGATTAAAACAGCACAATTTTGAGATGAGATGAGAGAAAGAAAATGTTTTCAAAAAAAGATAAAGATAAAAGAGGTAAAAGGTAAAGAGCAAGAAGATGGAAAGAAGGAAAGAAGAGAAGATTTAAATTATTGTCGCATCCAGAACAATTTAAAAAATTAATTCTCAAACTGTCGACAAGAACTGTCGTTGTCAGTCTTGATGGCAACCGTTGAAGCTGTCTTGCCAGTGTCGGTGTCCAATTTGATTGCTTGTTTTATTGATTTATCTCTTCAAAGGAGTTCCAAGTAAATTCCTTGATTGTTGTTGAACGATACTCCGTTTGATTCATCAATACTTCGGACAGGGCTTGCATCATTTGAATCCGGTGTTCGAGATCCATCAGAATTGGGAAAATTGGCCTTATTTCCTTGAGCTTTGCGAGTTCGACTCATTATTGCTTCAACTCTCTGTAAACAAAAGAAAAGGAAAAGATGATTAATACTCAAATAATAATAGCAATGATGAATTCAGTGGATATTGGGAATTTGGAAACACATCATCTGGTAAACATAATTTTTTATCAACAAGAAAATGTTGCTTCGTCTTATCATTTCAATGTTACTCTCATTAAGATCAAATTGTGCCAATTTATCCAGGTAATCAGAATGGTAATCATAAACTAACCAAACACCTACCTAGATAACTTGTCAACAAACATTACCAGTCTGAAAGTGCTATCTCAATCATTTGCTTATGCACAAAATACACTCACTCATTGACTAAAGACATTTATTAAATTGTAAAGTAAAAATGTTTGATTATTCGTGATTTCAATTAATGCTAAACAAGGTAAGCAAGATTATTATTGCGGTAACCCACCGAGTCTTTATTGACAGGCATACAAAGTAAGTAGATCAGACGTGTAAATGTGATACCTTCAAAATTCAGATCATGATTCTTTGATATGAAGTGTTCAAGAAGATCATGATGAAGGATCAAGATGTGATTATCCTACCATTCACCATCAATATTCAACTTTCAGTAAATTATTATTCATACACATAAATATTCAATTGTTGGATGAATGCCCAGAATTACTGTTTTACCCGGAAACTTTCATTCATTGATGCAAAAAAAAGATGAAACTGTTTCTAGACAATTTCATACAACAACATCAACAAGATAAACAGTTGTGACTGAAAACCAAGGAAAACAAAACAGGTAAAAATAAAAACGGTAATTCAATTTAAGCAATCATTTCAATGGTGGTCAAAGAGTGAATAATCATTATTAAAGTGCTCCTTTTACCTGACAAATCATGATTTATTAAATCGCTCTCCATGTATACGAAGAGAAACAAACAAATGAAAAAATGTAAGCAACACTAATCATTATCATCACCATGAAAATAAAGATTTGAATAATAGAGGTAACAATTATGTTCAAGACAATTGGTGAAATTGATCTTCAATGAGGCAAAAAATGTACACGATTCCATGATAATCAAGGTAACAATCAACCTTGATAATTCACTTTTGATTATTACAATTTTCTGTCTATTCAATGAATAGTCACCTTTTTACAATTTAAAAAGCACTTGCATTCAACTCTGATTGTGGACAGAAAAAGGCTGAAAAGAAGATTATTTAAAGTTAATTCTCGAGATAAATTGAATGTATTTTGCTGATTTAGTTTCAATAGTGAACGTGCCAAAGAAAACGTTTTAACATGCAATAAAAAATTACGCTTAATTACGTAAATTTGTTTCTCAAACTGTAAAATTAACCTTAACTCCATTCAACTGAAACTGTTTTGTTTTGCGCTGTTTCATCAGCAAATCTTCATCCACATCCTCACCACTCATCTTCACTATTATTATCATCATAATCATCACCATCTTTATCCTCATTATTATCGTCACATTTTATCTTTACATTGAAAGCTGAAAACTACTTGTTCTGGTCAGCTATAAAAGTTATATTCAGAGGTAAAAAACACGATTCAGGAGCTCATCATTATAATGTATTCAATTTGGAATACAATCAGAATGGGAATTAAAAGATGATGATGGTTAATGAAGCAACTAAATAATATTATTTTATGTGTTTTGCTTTTCTCTCATCATGAAAATCGTATTAAAAACAAGTAAAAATGAGAAACAAAATAAAAGTTGAGAAACCATTTACATGGTGTTAATAGGGTAATGATGAAAAGGAAGACTACTATTGAAGATTTATTTATATAAATTGACTTGGTAGTAAAATATATCGACTGTTAATCAGAATTGGAATGAAATAAAAAGAGATTTTTTTTCTGAAATGGAATGATAGTGATAAAGATTGGGAATGATAAGTGAAAATGAAATTTTGCTTTGCTTTGCTCAAGAAATTATCCCTTCAGGGTTAAAAATGGCAAGAAAACAAAACAATTTCAATTTTCAAACATTTTTTGACCAAATATAACGGCTGATATTACAGTTGAATGTTAAACAACAACAATCAAGAATATCAAGTTAAATTGTAAGATCGTTATCAAATAAATTTAACACAATACAGAAAAGAATACTTTTTGTAATGTGTTAATTGTATTTAATTAAATTATTTGGGTAAACATAATCATGTAAATGGGTCAACGGAATGAGCATTTTGACTATTGAGAATTGAAAATTAGGTAAACCTGAAAATGAAAGCGAATCAAGTGAATTAAGAAAAATAGCAAATAAAATGGCAATCAGTTGATTGTTGGACGAAACATGGAAATAAGATCGAAATTAAAATTAAAAGGTTTCAATTGAAAATTTGGTTTAACAGGTTGATTCGAAAACAGCTTCTGAAGCTTATTCAAGGTGTAAATTGTAAATTGTTTACTGAATCAACAAAAGTAACATTATCGGCAATAACGATTTCAATGTTTAGATCGTTAGTTGTAAATAACGAAGGTGATTTATATCGCAGGTTACCTTAAGGGATATAATAAAAGACGATCATGGTCATGATAAAGTTGTTAGTGGATGAAAAATAAGTATCATTTGGTAAGGTTAACAAGAGGTAATCAACTAACATTAAATATAGCAGGTTACAATAGTTGAATTGAATCAACTTGTAAAAAGCTTTTCACAATCAAAATCCAGTTGAATTATGATCATTATTAAAATGGAAAAAAATGGTTGCAAAAAATTTACAACCAAATCGGATGATTTTGTGTATTGCAGGTTCGTTTATAATCAACATAAATGGAAGCAAAGCTTGGGCTAATAATTAAAGGCGAATTCATGTAACACCCAATAAATAGCAACAAAAGAGTATTCAAAGGTGAGTGCAAAAAAAAGGTAATCAGGTTAATCCATTTGAATAGTTGAGTAATATTACGATAAAATGAAAATAACGGAGAAAATCAAATTTCAATAGTTTGAAGTAAAGTTTCGCTCAATATAAAGACAACTAGAAATAACGATTTTTAGGCAAGTTGATTATGACCTAATCAGGTATTGATTAGTCTACTTTTTTACGAACATTGACCTGTTTAAGTAGACTTTCTATTATTTAAGTAGGTTTCTATTGAAAAGGTAAATCAGAAAAGGCTGGACCAGATTTATAATGATTAATTAATAGATGGGTAAGATTGAGGGTCAACAGTTGGTTAAGATTGTTAGGTCAATGGTCAGATTATCTTGAGGTGAGATGTGAAATTAAGTGATCAAATGTTAATGGTTATCAATGGCAATATGGTAAACATTGAATTAGTAAATAAACAGATTTTGAAGATCTATTTTTTACCTGCTAAAGGGGAAAAAGGTAAATAAAAATAATGCAAAATAAAGTTAACAATGGTTTTCAGCTCAAGAAATCAATCAAGATGAGATGATCATGATGAAGGTTGACGATGGAAATTGAGATCAACATTGTATTAAGTCATCCACTTTTTTCAGTATAATCATCATCTTTTTTTTCAATCGCTTTCACCTTAACGTCAGGTAAATGTCAAAATGAAAATAAACAAAAACTAAAACACTCACACATACTAAACACAGGTATAAAGATTGGCGAACCAGTTAATTGAAAGAGGTTAGAGAAAATAGTGAAAATGTAATGATGATGAGAGGAAAAAAACAAGATGGAAAAAATGATGATGATGATGATGATGATGATGATGCCTTCGATATTAAGCTGTATTCATCATACTCATGGAGGCTGGAATCGGAGGAATCAAGGTGGGTGAAAGGGGGAAAACAAGGTTTGTTATTAAAGTTGAATTAAATATGCTGACCAAAAAGTTAACTGATGATATCAAAGGTAATACCAAACAAATCAATCATAAATTTTACTCTATTTTACTTAATTTATCTTTCTAAAATAGATAACTCAATATTATTATTATATAATTATTATAATATTAAGATTTGCAAAAGCATTTCTCTATCAGTTCAACCTAACAGTTATAAAATCAAGATGATGATGATAGGAATGAAAATAGTTACGGATAAAATATAAATACAAATAGATTGGTAAAATGTATTACATTGCTATTTGTATAAATAGTATTAAAATGTATAAATATAGCAATGGTAACTTTGAAATGAAAACAAAAACAAACGCTATTGGGTCATCTCGACATTAAATTAGTACATAATTTCGTTGAATCATCTACCAGTTTAACCCATTAATAAACCAAAGGAAATGATTGTAAACTGTATTGAAACTGATCAAGCTAGATGGGAAGAATTTCAACTCAACAGGTTCAGGTTGCACTGATGGAAATAATGTATAACTGAACAAGTTGAAAAGTGACAATAAGTGGATCCTCATCAATGGCAATATTTATGATAACCGGTAACAACCAGGTAATCATAAACTAGCCATACAACCAAAAAAATTGATGACGATCATCAAAATGATAAGGTGAGGAGCAAAGAGTAAAGAAGACTTCTTTACTCTTTGTGAGGAGGGAAAGACGGAAGAATTAGGGAATCAAAAGGTGGATAAAAGATAAATTAACACTTGATTAGTTGAGGTAGTTTGTTGATCAGTACCTTTTTACGCAGAATCCTTTCCTCTTCATCTTTTCTTAACCTTTCTTCCAGTTCAAGTCTTGCTTTTTCAGCTTCCTCTTTAGCCTTGGCTTCTTGCTCTTCTCTTTCTTGTTTTAAACGTAATTCCTCATCCCGGCGTTTTCTTTCCTCTTCTTCTCTTCTTCTTTGCTCCTCCATGGCTTGACGTAATTTTTCCTCCTGCATTTTTCTGTGCTCTTCAGCTAATCTAAGTTGCTCTTCCTCTTCGGCTCTCATCTTTTCCTCTTCAGCTCGTTGTCTTTCAGCTTCAATCCTGCGAACTTCTTCCAATCGTTTTCTTTCCATTTCAGCTTCTCTTTCAGCTTGTTCACGAGCCAAACGTCTCTTCTCGGCCAAAATCTTTTTATACTCCTCTTCACTTATCTCCTTTTTATTGGAAGAGCAATTGCTGCTCATGCTGTTAACTTGATTCAAACTTGTCTCACTTTCTGTAGTAACCTCTGATTCCTCTTCAGATGATTTCATGTTGTTAATTTTACTGGTTTTTTCCTTGTTTACAGAGTTGTCTTCTATTGTTATATTCGGACAACTTTTTTCAGATAATTCACTATAATTCCTATTATTGGCATCCGGCGATTCTCTCTCTCCTAAATTACCACTTTGTTGTGGTTGTAAAGGAGCTCTATTAGCATTATTATTACGCCGCGCAGCAGCAGCAGCCTTAACGTGTGCTGGTTTTCGCGGAGGTGCTGGTTTAACTAGATTATCATTATTTTTATTATTGTTATCCATTCCATCAAATGGAGCACGAAATTTAGATCCTACACTACGTGCACGGTTTGGCCGCTGTTGAACACTTGATAAAGAAGCTGTTGATGCTGATAATCCTGGTGGTGTTGTTGCGGTGGTTGATGTTACTATCAATGAGCTGGTCATTTCCCTATTTATAATAGGCGTTCTGTAGTTAACCTGTCCATCATAATTAGATTTACGGTTATCTGGAACACTGCCAGCTATACTGAATGGTCTAGGTTTACGACTAGTCTTCGGTCTCCTTACAACTAGAGACGAAGTAGTCGATTGTTCTGATAGACCAGACATAGATGATGTGGGTCGAGTGGGGGACAAAGGTCCAATCCGAGAAGATGCTAAGATTCATTAAGATGAAAAGAAGAAAACAAGTTAATCAAATTTTAAAAGCATTACAATCTGTTAATGAAAGTTTATCAGATGTTAATCAGAAATTTAGCCATTAGTAATTGATTCACTGCGTTGGATGCAATCTCATTATAAGAAGGTTGTTACTTTCATAAGGCAAACAAACATATAAAGAGTACAGACTGAAATTGCCCTAATAAACAGCTAATAAGAAAGAAATAAACAAACTATTGACTGCAAAATTGTGAATCAATTTAAGCAAAATTTTTGAAAAGAAAATGAAAGATTTATTTACCCAGACTTCGTAATCTAAGAGATTCCTCTAGATATCGTTGCCTTGGTTTAGCCAATTGATCAAGCCGAGTCATACTGACAGCTCTCTTTGGTCCACTCAATTTCACCTCATTACAGCCAGAATCATTTAATTTACAATTTATAGAGTCTCTGCTTCGACTTGTACTAAAAGATGTGAAAGTATCACCACGTAATCCATCACGTTGATCTCTTGGTGGCACTGGTGTTAACTCTGGATGCTTCTTTCGTCGAGGTGATATAACATACATGCTTTGACTCATGAGATTTTCTCGTTGATTTTTTTTCAAGTTAACAAATAAAAACATTGAATTGGAACTCATCATTTTGAATTAATTTATAATTTCTTTTTTGGCTTTTGGCTGATAAATAGAACTGTTTTAAATTTTGTTCACTTAAATTAAAAGATATTATATTACTTTATTTTATCACTGTTATTAATTTTAACTTCAACTGGTCTTTAGGACCCATCCCATCAGTATGAATGAAAGAGTCTTTCAGATGATGCTCCTGATGATCACAAAAAAGTTCGATGTATCGATCTATAAAACGTACGATACATCGATTGAAGTAAACAAACAAGATGTCTAATTGAACAACCACCAGATGGAATCAACTGACAATAACTTTTTTCCCGTTTTTTTTCGGAACAGGTTATATGTACACAAATCTGTGTATCTTTAACTATGAAATTAACCGTACACATAATGATGTTGAATGGAAAGGATTCAAATAATAGTTTAATAATGGATTAAAAGTTAATTTTTTGATCAATTTCTATTAAATCCCACTCAAAGAATGCATACATTAAAGTTACTTAACGCCAGAGTGATGAGTTTAACGCATTGACTTCATTTACCAATGCCTGCTTGAACATTAAACTTAATTAATTTGACCACAATTTGAAAATTAATTGCTAACTCACAAATTAATTGTCAGTGGTTAGAGTGTAGTGAAATCAAAGGTAATAATCAGGGTTCGACTCAGTTTTGATAAATTTTTTGTTTCTAGAAACTTGAACAAGTGCAATTTTTTTACCGCAAAATTTGAAACAGGTATCTGTTAGACTGATTTGAGATCAGTTCAATCCATTATTAAATTATTATTTAAATCCTTTTGCAATTCATCAACATCATTAAAATGTTCAAAAATTCTTAAACTAACTTCAGATTAGGGCTTTTCTATTTAGTAAACGAAAAATTTACAATTTTTAGTTATTATTGGTGGTATCAGATACAGATATCAGATAGTATCTTTGTGTACATAAAACCTCAACCTTTTTTTCAATGTTAAAACAAATACAATTTATCATTTCAATTCTTGTTTTGATTATCAATTACTGATTTGATTTATTTTGTCAAGCTAACCCTCAATCATAAATATTTCAACTATTTGTTTGATTTTGAAAGATACAATTCCATTGTGAAGTTTTTGTTTTCAAAACCATCTATCAATAATTGTCAGTCATATCTTTTTTGGTGAACTATTTGTTTGTTTGGGTTTATCAATGATAAAATTGAAACAATCTCGAGTAGATAGGAAGCACGGACCAAAAGCAATTAAGAAAATTTTTCGAGTGGATCAAAAGTATTACGATTTTATTGATATTCTTATGAGTCTAACAAGTAACATTGTAAGTAAGTGATTATTTTTATTGGCAACTTTCAAATGTTTTCATCGATGTTGTTGATCCCAATTAATTTTATGTCATCCTTTAGACAATTGGATATGAAGCTGATTCAGCAACACCACACATGTTGCTACCTCGGTACAATCGGAAGTAACCCTTTTCACCAAAATCAGCTCCCCAACTGTTCTTGATCAACCAGTAAGGAGTACCATTATCAACACCATAACCTACAGCGGTTACACCGTGGTTAAGAGCATCAGGTGAGCATTCGGTTGATTTTAAAACACCAGATCTAGATTCAAAATGAGAAATTACCAGTTAATTAATCCTTCGATCTATTACAGATATAAATTTGTGAATGAAAATTACTTACTGGTATAACTGCAAATCTTCCTCAGCATCAATGGCAACTGAAACAACTCGTTCAGCAACGGCTGAAAGAAGGGCATTTTCATTACCTTGCGGGATATCAACGTATGATGAGAGTGAAGCACCTTTGTTGGAAGCTGAGTATTTGCATCGTCCACTGTCATCTCCTGAACCAGAAGTGTATGGATAGGATTTTTCGGTATCAATACCTTTGTTAGCTTTAATATAATTGAATGCATCGTCCATAAGACCACCATTACATCCTTGATTACCGTAATTCCAAGAGCATTCAATCAAATTTTCCTCGGAAAGCTCAACTAATTTTCCAGTTTTTTGGGCATTTGCTGATTCAAGGGAAGCTATGGCTGAAAAGGCCCAGCAAGAACCGCAAGAAGCTTGATCTTTAACTTCGGCAACAATTCCTTTGGTTCGCCAGTCAACTGAGGATGGAACTCGAACAGTTTTGTTTACATTGTGGATAAGAGGAGCAGAGCGATTACTCTTTTTGAAACCAAGATAAGCTGCTTTGAATTCCTCAAAGGTCTATTCATAGATGTAAAAAAAGATATTAACCATCTATTTATTGGATAACTTATGAATAATGAACTTACCAAATCAGCAAACTTATTGACTCCCAATCGGTAAGTATGTTCACCATTGTCAGCTCTTTCATTGTGGGCTTTGATTTTTTTCAAGTTGTTCAAGAAAACTGATTTTCTCCAAGCTTCTTCACTTTCTCCAGCATAAACTTTGTGGTGTTTGGCCTATCAGAGTCAAAATGTAAAATCAACGATCAATGATTAACGATTTATTAGCAGTTTTGCAGGTTAAACAACTTACCTTGAATGATTCCCATTCATTTTCATAGGATAGACTGGCAGCAGCGGCCAAAGCAAAAAGAGCGATGAAACAAGTTGTTCGGATCATTTTAATTGTAAATTGTTTAATACTGTTTGATGGATGAAAATTATATAACTATGATCATACAATATTTCGCAGGTTTTTATATTGGTGAATTAACTGACAATCTAACGAGATTATTCAATGCTGTGGGTATTTCGATTGATTAAATTGAATCATATCTTTAATCCAACAATAATAACCAGGAAACTATGTAAAAGGTCAAAAATTTGTTTGTGGTGCTAATCTAGATGTGAAAACATTTCGTTCTTTCGGAATTATCTCTGAAAGCTAACGTGTGATATGATGTATTGTATTGTTATGTGTTTGATTATTGAGTACACACTAAGTTTATGTATTCAACATTGATAAATCCTTGCATTGTGTGAATAACAAATGATTTAATAATCGTTGGTCATAAGATCCAATCCTGAAAATTAAATTTCAACTGATTGAATAATAATCCATCATAACTAAAATGTGATGATATAATTCATTTACAATACATTTCATGCACCAGGACCATTCCTTGTGCATGCATCTTTTATTTCATTGAACTTACCAAAGTGTTTATCAAACACATGGGTGAATCTCGAGTTGTTTAAAGGTCATCTACTTTAAATTGTTATTATATCATCTCATATGACCAGATAATATTTGATTTGAATAGACAAAGAGCTAACTATTATTACATGTGAACGGAAAATCATATTTCTATCACAACAAAGAAATGAGTCCAAGCCCACCAATGAATTGCAACTATTTGAAACTCATTAGTAATTTAATTTCATTCTTCATTAATTTCAGGTTGGTTTATTTTGAGCTTCAATCATCTCAACAATCCATACAAATTTTAATTCTTTTATTGGCTTTCATGGAGCCATCTTCATCAAAGGATCTTTTATGTTCTTGATGGTGAGTACGATGAACAGGGTGGTGGTGATGTTGATTTAACGGGTTCATTTCATGGGCCTTTTGGTCACTTTTATACAACTCTCGACTAATCATTTTAATCCTTTCTGGTCCAGGCAAAGGTTGTATTATTTTCTCAGCCACAATGGAGGTTGCCATATTACAAAGGATCCTGCGATAAGTGCCAAAACAAGTAGGACATTCCTTTTCGAGAAGCTTGGCTGCCATCTCAATTAAATTGGAGATCATCATTACTTCGAAGGTCTCACAGCAAACATGAAATCGAAAGGGTCCAGTAGGAAACAAGTTTTCACACCGATGATGGATTTTGGTTAAATGTTTCAAATGATTATCCCAGCGAATTTTATGAATCTTGGCCTTTCCAAATGGACAATAATCATCATTAAACGTACACTGTTTATCTAGAAAGGAAAATTCATTTTAAATGTAATCTTTTAATAATTTTCTAATCCATCATGTTAAGTACTGGATGTTAGTACTCACCATTCTTGTCATAAACACCAGGTAAATCAGGATCATAATACTCGAATTGGTAAGGCGAATCGCTGATGATATGATTAAAGCTATGAGATAATGACTCTTTTTTTGGATCCTGATTCCCAGCCATTTGACTAATTAATTGTTCATTCGTGGTAAAGTTATGCCCAGAGCCTATCAAAACAAATCAATGTTATTGTAAGAAGATAAAATCGCTGGCTGATCATGTATTTACATTCAATGGTTTCATTATATTTTCATAAAATTGTGAGTAACAGATAATCTTTAATTGATTATGAGTTACATAAATAACTTGATTAAAGATAGGTAAATTACATATGATTTAGGTTAAAACAAGTTGATTTATGCTCTTCTCTGAAAAAAGGTAAAATGATACATTTGCACCTTTTGCTTGCTTTTGTTTATTGAGGAACAAAGAACAGAACAAAATGAATTGAAAAGTCAAGCTTAATTAAAGATTGATGCTAAATTGATTGTTCAATTTTATAGACGCCAAAAATGATTGATTTGTTTATCTAACAATATTTCCTCATCCAAAAGCTTCATCTTACTAGACTAAAACTCAAATGTTAGTTGTGGTTCAACATATATTTTTACCTTTTTTCACCGAGCATATCAAATCGCAATATTCATCGTAATCCAATTTGAGACTTAATTTAAATTGATGTGCTGTTCAACTCTAATCATTCATCATGATGAAGTTGCGCTTGTTATCAGATTAAAATTTATTTTAGATTCTATTAATCCTTAATGGAAGATGAAAATTTCATTTTTGAGTCTTAAGGTGGGTTCTTATAAATATTAATTTTTGAAAGACATTCGAGTGTAAATATCAAAATAATTTGTTGTTATAATTTAAATTAGTCGTTTTTAGATTTAAAACTGTTCAATTTACCTGATGAATGTTGATTTATATTGGCTGGTGCATGGTGTTTCGATGGCGAGTTATTGACATTGTTATTGTTAATGTTAACAACACTTTTGAGATGCTGATGAGGAGTAACTCGGTGGTTGGCTTTATGATTTGAATGATCTTCATTTCCGTGATTATCTGGATTCGGTTGGCTTTTATTGTGGCTGTTGATTAATTTTGTTGGCTCGGTTGAACTGTGGTTGGTTTGTAAATCATTGAAATACTGAACGATTCCATCACTGTCATTTGAATCATTTCCATAATTGTCTGGAACGAGTGAATGTGTCTGTTGGAAGAGTAAATGGTTTAGGTAAGTGAAGAGGAATATCAGTTCGAACAAATTTTACCTGTGAAATGATTATTGAAATAATCGCAAAGCTAATGATTGTTTTAGGGCAACCCATTATGCACGATTGATGTTAAAATATAATTGAGCTTTTAGAGGTTTGTGACTGGCAAATGAAAAATACAGATTGTTTGCGATCAATTTATATTGATAAAATGAATGGAATCAATTTACATTATAATTTTTTCTCGGTAATTAACTTATTTTGCCTTTTTATTTTACTTCATATTATTATGTTACAGAAAAGTACATATCATTTTCATGATTAAAGTTTTAATTTATCGTAGAAAAAGAAACGAGTTTGTCAAGGATTGTGTTGCTTTTTAGAGTCCAAGTTGAGATTAGTTAATATCAGATTTAAACAGATGAATTAGAAATTAATTGTACTATCATTGAGTTGCTCTATTAAAAATTTGTTAACAACTCTTTCTTTTTATAATTTTAAGGCTACTAAACAAATATCTGTTTAGTAATGTTAAGATTAAGATGTTCTTTCATCTGTTTGGAGATGAGTAAAGCTCTTGAGCATATTAAGAAAATTGATAAAATTTTTTAAAAAACATTAGTTTTAACAATAAGTGGAGCTGCAAATCCAGTGTGAACTCCAGCAAAAAGGCCCATAACCAAGAAGAACGCTGCCATCATTCCAGCAACACCAGCGTGTTTTGGCTCAACAAATCCTGGAGCATACATCATTGCCCAACTTGATCCTTGGCCGTGAGTAAAACCGAAAAAGAAGATTCCTATTGCAAATGCAATGTCCCCAAAAACAACCGGTAATGTCCGTTGGGTAGGTAAATAATTACAGGTGAAAAAGAATGGTATAAAAATGATCCGAGCGACAACATAAATCCAAACTTTATTTGGCGGCAAATTGGTCCAAGGAAGATATTCTGGAACTAAATTTCCAATCATGGCACTAACATTGAAAATAAGGAAGTTGAATATTTGTCCGAACCATTTATCATCTTTAGTAAACACTCCATCTCTAGGAACAACGTTACCCGTAACGGTGGGGAAAACAAATAGGGTCACCCAAAATACGAAGAATATATTAAAACACATGACTGATATTTTCCAAAATATTTGCCGGTAAGGTACTTCCTCGTTTTCTTTGGGTAAAGCAGATTCTGTCACTTCACTTCTCTCCATATAATAACAATAGAAAGCCTGTAAAATAAATTATAATATCCATTAGAGGTGTTTGGATAAACAAACACTCGTGTCTGAGTGATTTGACAAATTTTCCCGCAATAAAAGCGAGATAAATGAAACTTACACTTAATTCATGGAAGAATAAAACTATGAAACATGCGATAACAATCAAGGTAGCAACTGAAAAGTAAAGAACGGCTTCAGTCAGTGGGTTTGGTGAAATGGCATGAGAAGCTATGGCCATGATCGATACCAGGGTTCCACAAACATTGCTACCAATAACAACTGCATTGGAATATTTCATCGGTAATCTACCAGCAATTCCGTAAAAACAATTTTGATAAACTCCGTTGGCAACATAGAGAACGATGAAGATGCTCAATTGTAGAAAAAACCATGTCAAAGGCCAACCTTTATTATCAATCAAGGCAAACGTTATGTTTAAGAGCAGAGAGATTATCATAATAATCATGGAAACCGTTATTCGTTTAGTTAAGCCTTTATAACCACCCCTAATTGAAGTAAATTAAAATACAAAATTGCAGCAAATTGATGAAAAGATAAATAATGAAAATTGTAGTTTTTGTCATTTCCAAATTGGAAATCTAAATCAACATCTGTTTGTTTGTTTTGAAAATACTTACTTGGCCGGAAAATAAATATTCAAAGCCGTGACAATTAAGTTTGGTGTTTGAGAAGAAGTTCCAATGATACTGTAAAAGTTCTGTCTTATCCATGTCATGTGATGAGCTTCTGAAGTCACATTTGAAGCCACATTTAATTTATAATTGATGTAAAACTAGATCAGAAATGAGAGAGTAGATACACGATTAAACAACAGGTATGTTTGAGATACCTAATTGGACAAGCAGAATATTTACATTTCCAGAATTTATAACCATATTCCATGGAATAAGTATACCAATTCCATGAAGTACGAGAGCCAAAAATATGAAATTTCCACTGTCTTTTAATCTGGAACACATGTTATTCTCCATCGTTATGTAATATTATAGTATTAAACACGTTCTTAACAAGATTTTTGGTCAAAAAAACTGCCACTTGCGATGAATTCACCAACTTTAAAGAAGTAGCTGAAAGTTTTCACACTCACTAAAAGGAAATATCAACTGATTCAACAGTTAATATCGAAATATAATAGCATAATAATAATAATAAAATATCGAAAGGGACATCCAGATCTGCAAAACTAAAGACAGATTAACAGGTGATAAAAAAGTGGAAATACTGGAAACTCTAATCCTAAAATGATGCAAAACTGGTAAAATCACTGGATGTCACTTGAATTTAATGAACTGATAGTCGGATAAAATTGCAGAGAACTATTAAACATCAAAATAAATCATCAAATTGCTTCACTCAATCTTCATCTGCAAAAGTGACTCCCTCTGTAAATTATCCTGCTCTTTTGCTCTCTTAACAGCGCCATCTTTTGCTTATACAACTATTGAACAAATTTTTTGATTATTGTTTTATTGTTTCGTTTGTAATAAAAATCAATTTTATTGTTCAAATAAATACATTTGTTTTATTAACAGGTATGATATTTAAAGGTTACCTTATGATATTCCCGTTTAGTTTGGCAATATTTTCTTTTATAGTGTTTATAAATTATTTATCTATCAATTTTGTACAGTGAATTTTTATTTCTATCGTAACTCTAATGCTTCCATTTGTTTTGTTTTTCAGTGATTCTAGATTCATATCATCTCTTATCAATTGATTTGGTTCTCAAAGCAAATTCTAGTCTTCTCATGGCTCTTTGAACTTTGAAGTTACCTCTACGGATGGCTCCTGATTCGGAGACACAATTGCTTTGATCAATGGTTTTACTGCGAATCAATTCAAATCGATTATTGCTTTTACTTTTACCATCATGAGTTTGTGATTGATTTTGTTTGGATGTGTTCAATACTGCACTGGATGATTGAGATGATGATGGAGTTATCGTATTCTTAAGTATCACAGGAGATCCAACTAATTTAGGCATTTCATTATTAAACAAACAAACTGAAATTGTTCGTGCATTAAGGCCACAAATAGCAATTATATTATCAAATGGATGATGTTCAATGCATGAGATGGGTCCCTTGAATGGCAATTCATTATATGTAAACAGCTTTTCGCCTGCAACAATGAAACAAGAAAAAAAGTGGACAATTGTTAAATTCAGATGTTGGACCATTTTTTGAATTTCAATTACCTGTATCAGCATTCCAACAATGGACTAAACTATCTTCTCCTCCTGCATAAACAAATTTACCACATGGACTAAGGCAGCCACGGATTAAATGGTGAAAATTCAAAGATCCAGTGAATCGTTGGACAATTATTTCTCTGTAAAGAAACAATATTCAGATGTAAATAGTCAATGTTGCAATCAAAGATTAGCAAATGAAGCAATTTAGCAATTAATTCATTATCATCAACCTTGATATTGAATTATTGATAAAAGAGGCGAAGATTTTTAGAGATTTCCAGTTTCAATTCCTATGAATATTATCTCATGATGGTTGTCTTTGCCAGTAACTACCATTGTTGATAACAATTGTCAATATCTAATCAATTAATTGAACCATCATCAATTAATAATAGACTATTCAAATGATTGTAAATAGATGAAAACAAAGCCTGGTACAAAATTGTATGTAAATGAGATTCACTTTTTAGGTTATTCTGGTTAACAGATGATATCTTGATTTTTTTCTGGTAAATGATACTTTGAATGAATAAAGGCTTGTAAAGTGTCTAAATTGAAGCAACAAGTGTTAATAGCCACAGCAACTCTTTTCATCTCAATCTAATTATAAATTGTTTGCAGCAGATTTTCACTCTCCAGCAAGGTTATGAAAACAAATTTGTCAATTTAAGTTTATTAACTGAAAATCAGCCACTCAACTGATGGTAAATTAACGATGAGAATCATGATCATCTTCAACTTGATATTAAACTACTTTATTAACCTATTAATACCTAATCCACTTTGTTTAAATGTTTGATCAGCCCTTCGTTTCTCCTCTCACCATAATTATCTTAATCATTATCATTTGTCTAATTTACTGTTAAATTTGTCAGTCTAATGTATCAACATGCTCAACCAATTTAACTAAACTCGATGAAAACCACTTAAGTCAATTGTTATAATTTGCTACACTGATTGTTTACACTTGATGTTGACCCACTCACAAATTCACACTGATTCACGTTAAGAGCATGTATCAGCTGCAGAGTAATCAGTTTAGATATACACTTTGTAAATGCAATTTAAACAAAATGTGAACCCATTTCATTAAAAAGGCTAATGTTCAACTTGAATGGCCACTTGATGAACCAGAATTTAATTTGATTATATGTTTTCATGTAAGTGTTTTATTATTAGTTGTCTTTTCCATTTCTAACATTTCTTTGGTTAGGAAGCAAAAATGATTGTCAACTAATGTTAAGTGCTGTTACCGCTGACGTCGCTCTCAATCAACTTGCCAGTAGAGACTACAGCTGATTAGGATTGTATTGATAGTACTTACAATTGATAATCAATCATCCGTTGAACTCCATCTCGACTAAAGATCAAGATTTTATTTGCATGAGGATGGATGACTATGTTATTTATAGGAATCTCAATTATCTCATTGATTTTGATGGATCCACTGAGATACCAGGTAAAATCGGATGTGACATCTCGTTGGGAAAGTGTTATAATTTCACCTTTACTTCCAGAGGCGAAAAGAGTGACAACTGATTTGGTGGTTGGTGAAGAGTCAACTGTTGGATCAGTGTTGGATGTTGCTATTGAAGATGAAGTTGTTGGAAAGCTTATCTTCCATGCCAAGGATAATACTTGACCATAGAAACAATCAATTTCTTGTACCAATTGGGGTTCCACTGCTGTTGATTCCAGGCTTAGTTTGATGCACCAAACTCTAATCAAACCATCATAAGATCCTGTGAAGATAATTCCAGATCGAGTTACGTGAAACCGTGCGGTATAAACAAAACATGGATGTGGAAGTAAAATGGATGATTGGTATTCCTTAACATTATTCCAAACATGAGCTGTACAATCAGATGATGCTGAAACCAGATATTTATCATTTGGTGACCAATCAATTTCATAAATGGCTCCTGAGTGAAATCCATTGACTCTTTTAACAAATTTACCCGAAGGTATTTCATAGATAAATATTGATGATCTCTTTTCATTGGAACGATAAGCTGTGAAAACTGAAGCACCACAGGCTACTTTACGACCATCCCAGGAAAATTTGATGGCATACGAGCATTTATTGTTGCCAGCTGAAAACTGATGCCATAAATTTTTAGGAATTTTACATGGAGCTCCTTCTATTCGACTCCAAATCACCGAGGGTTCACCATCAGAGGAGATATTTTTTCTTGCAGCTGATGAACCAGATCCAGTACTTAGACGTGACTCTAATGGTGCATCAAGTGATTTGGAAATGACTGTCGATTGCTGGTTGGTGGCCGAGTTAGAAGTGGTCGAAGGTGATCTTTCAATAGTTGAATTGCTTATGGCTGACGATGGCCTACGAGGAGGACCAGAACCTTGATGATGATGGTGGTGATGGTGATGATCTACTTCTGGTTTTATCTCTGGTTGAAATGGACCATATGAGCGCAATGATGGGCTAAATGTTTCCCGGCTTACAATCAATGGAACCGGACTAACAGTTACATATATCGATCCTTGAAATGGAATCAATTTCTGTTCTTTCCACCAATCAAACAACTAAACAGTGGAAATATAAATTAATTATCATTAGAACATGATTTTACTGTTTAACTGATTAATAATGATAATCAGTTTCCAATTACCAGGGTAAAGGTTTACAACATCTATCCATTGTTTACACTCGATTTGAGTCTTAATTAATTGATTACTATCTTGAGAAATGCAATTTGATTATAGTCCATCAATGATAAATTATCCAGACAAGTTATTCCATCATTTAGAAGGTAAAATTCACCGTTTTAACAGGTGATTTATCTTTCTCATCTCAATCTAATATAACATCTTTCAAATTCAATAGATCATGAATACCTTTTCTGTCTCAATTGTAATCACACTTTTTATTTTTCATTAAATCACAAGACAATCCTTTAGCTTATGGTAAACAATCAATCAAATCAATAAACAACAGCTTCCAGTGAAACTCAAATCATAACCATTTCCTCAATTCAATCCGTTAATCATTGCTTTTAATGAATCTTACAATTGTTTACAATAGCTCTTAATGATTTCCAATAATGAGTTTCTCTAAATTGCTCAAACAGTCATGATGATCATGTGATAGTAATCAAGTTAAAACAGCAACTGAAAATACTGTCTTGATTTCAAGTGAAATTAATGATACAATGTACAATGCACATTATCAATCACATTATTGAAACCCTAAAATGAAATTTGATGAACTCAATTTTCTCAAATTATTATCTATTGTAAATTGTTGATGAGAAATTATAATTACCTCTGTGGTGTGAGGATTTTTAGGATCAATCGTTACTTTCTGAGATATTGGTTTGTACAATTGTAATCTTAATTTCTTTCCAGTATTGAATGAGCCATCAGATGATTTCAATGATAAAAAGGCCCAAGCAATTCGGTACCACCATTCATTGCGTTTCATTGAATTGTATCTTTTATCAGATGGACCAGAAAAGGTTAAAAAGTCTAATATCTGAATAGGAAGACAAAATTGAAAAGCATTTGTTATTAATTTTGACCCAAAATCTGTACAAATCTGGTTAAATTTAACCAACCAACCCAAATCAAATGGCTATTAGCAGTTGAATTGTCTCATGAGTTAAGATTATAAGTAATCTCCTAACTTGTCTTATGTTAATCCATATTTTAAACAAATACCAATCTTGGATTTAATTACAAAATGAACTGTAAATTGCTTATATCAACCAGTTTTAGTCTAATAGTTATAACATTATATAATAACATGCAATCAATCAATCATAAGGGTTTATATTGAGCCTTTTGGTATAAGAATCAAGGTAAGATTAAAAGTTTGATATTAAATACAATATGAAAGTGTATCATCATTGAGACATTGTACAAAAATGTGATGTTTATGGCTTTATTACTGGTTACATTATTGGTTGACATGAAATACAAAGTTGAAATGAAATTAGTTTGATGATTGTTTTAATGATGAATAGGAAACGTGACTATTAAGGGTTTACAAGTAACAATCAAATGTGATTTCAAGTGGATTCCCTTACCAGAATCACTTGTTAATCAGTAAATCAATATCTCAATATTATTAACAACTACTTGAGTGGGTTTGTAAGTAAAGAAGAAGAAAAAAATGAACTCGAATCTGGTAAATCAGCTTTTCGTTTCTCATCTGGTAAATCACTGCTGACTGTAAGTAATAGCAGCTAAATTATCATAAAATTAACTCATCTTCTGAGCAACTAATTGCAATATTATATTAATATACAATCCCAAGGGTTGGATCCATAAAATTAACCATTTATGAGCTTTACGAGCCATGTAAATCAAACCAGATTTTTAGGCTTTCAATCAAAATGTTGGTCTAGTGAATCAAGTGAACTGAAAAATTGTTGATTTGTTAAAATTACTGTTTGATTGATTAAAGATACTAAATTAATTTACATTGAAACCAGTAAAGTGAAGCCAAGGAAAGGTTAAAAACTAGTCAATCGGTTTGAACTGCTGATTCACTTCAATCAATCAAATTAAACGTTAATTTTAATCATTTACTTTTCCGTATTTCATATCCAATTGAACATTTTGCTTATGAAAAAATCGATAAAATCAAAAGGTTCAGTTTATTGAATGAATTTGAATGAAGATTAAATTATGTGAAAGTTTAGTTGACAGAGTAAACCCAATTTGAATAGATATTAAATTGGATGTTTGAATCAATTTTGATTAGAGACTTTTCAATTGAAAATATTTTAAGAAATTTAATTAAATTATATCTTTACTACAACTTCATCAACATTTGCATGATAGTTTCACCTCCAGGAACAATTGAGCCAAATCTTTCAGGGTTGCAGCAATTTTTGTGTTTTTTCATTTACATTTCATTTGTTGAATATCTTTTGAATATTCACCGAGACTTGCATTGACTTTCGACAATTGAATAAGAACATTTCTCGAGTTTCAATTCATCCAGATAACTTCGTTATTTACTCAAGTTTCAACTACTTAGCATGCTTGCGAGAAATTGGACAAAACGTGAAAAAACGAGTTTCTAAGGTTGAATGTCATGTAAGGAAGAAGCAAATTTCGGGGGAATTGATGACAATCGATCATTGCTGATATTTGTTTCAATTTCTCAGGCTAATCAATGAATGAAATTGCTATTGATTATTGGAAATTTATCAAAACAATAGACGAGATTCCAGTCAATATTAATTGAGTTAAACAACTTTTGTCAACAATAATTTAGGCAACACTGGATAAACATTTCCTTATTTTGTTTACGCAGCATAAGTTAATTAATAAATTAAATTATATTATTGATCATCTGTACCACCAAGGACGAGTCCTGATATCATACAATAAAGGCCAAGCTTGTTGGTTATAATAAACATAGAATGGTTCATTTTTATGAATCATCTTTCGTCTTGACCTGTCATTTGAACCACTTTTCAATCGGGATTCTGGTGAAATTTTTGTCATTGGTGTAGCTTTATGATGATAAATCTGTTGGTTTAACAGAGTTGGCTGCAAGTGATCTTGTCTCCTCAATGGTAATAGTTTGAAACATTTGATTCCTAAAATGGTAGTTAATTGAGGAATTGAGTAAGCAATTGAGAAACCAAGCCAAGTGCCAAGAACACTTCCAATTGAAATGATAACGTCAAGTGGTGTCATCTTAGGAACGTATGTAATAACATAGACTGGATCAGAAATTTGTTCAACCGTGATTTCAGTGTAATCACCAAAAATGGGAAGTGGTGTGCGACTGGTTAATATGTTGATCTCTTCCACACAATCTGGTTGAAGAGTGATTCTCTCGCAATAATCAACAATTTCAGAGACAATATTGATGAATGTTTCATTATCCTTGTGATTCTCAAAGTTTTCATAACCAAAATGAGAATCTATCGGATAATCGAGAATATTTGAAACCAAAGGAGTTCCTATTCGTTGCAGGCCTAAATTGATTTGACATTTGTCTTTCATTTCACTGTTGGACAAGTAACCTTTATCCTTGTAGTCAATGCAGTTGGTTGGAAACGGAGATCTCAGGAAATTGGTTGTTATCGTATAAAAGAAGAATGTATGTTTCCTTGGAACTGAATAGGCTTCCTGTGATTGCCATTGCATCTTTTCCCCTCGAGGCAGTTGGTTACGAGGCATCAGGCTCATGTAGTAATATCCAATTGTTGTGAAAAAGGATTGATACACAAAAAGGGTAAATACCTCTTGTTTGGTTAGCTTTTTATACAAATCTGAGGTTTCCGTTGTTACTGGTAAACTTGAATTAACACCTTTTCCTGGCATGGAACAGGTGAATGCATAACAGTAAGTTTGTTCACTGAAAAAATCCCTGGATGAACATGATCTCAGGACAACCGAGTCATCGGTTACTTGGTGAAAGACAGCTTTTGAGTAGACGGTTGATTTGTTGATCATCTGATCCCAGAGTTGATTAATCTTGAGGTGTTCAAATAGAAACACCAGGAAATTTGGTTCATTGCGAACTGTTTCTATCAGTTGTTCAGTGATTACGGTTTCTGGTTTGTATCCAAGTTCACTCAATACTGATGGATATGTTGAAAATAGTCTGGTATAGTTGATCATATCAGTGATGTCAAAGCAAACAGCAACATCGGGAAGCAAAGTGGATTGGGGAACACCAACATGAGCTTGAATTAGATACTCGTAGGAAAAATAACGATTTAAAACGTTAATTATTTGAACTGAAGCTCCGATAACACAGATAAGCAAAACAATTTCCTTTTCATTTGATCCACTGATTAAGGATTTAATCAAAGTTGACACCATATTATTGGGAACCACTTTAACAATGAGCTGCAGTAAAAGCTGCAGTTTTTCAAAGTGAGACTTATTGATTCTCGATAACATTTCCCAATTCAGTCCAAATTAACGGTTTGCCGATATTACATGTTTCAGTACATGACCAGGATTCAGTGTACCAAATATAATTTAATCAGGAAAATAACACAAAATTATAATCTAATAATGTCAACAGGATTTTCAATGGCAAAACCTTTGTTGATTGTTACAGTAAATATTGAAGTTTTACTTTCTGTATAATTTAACATTAAAATTCATCTTCAATACAATGGATCTTGATTTGAAAACAGCTTACATGATCATCAATCAAAGTACAACAATATGTTATAAATAGACCTTAAAAGACCAGGAATACAAGCTTAAACCTTTGATACCTTTGGTGGTTACACGGTTAGTCTAGTGGTTTGATTGATCAATTGATTTGGTGGATTTAAGTGAATTTTAAAATTGAATTTGTCTTCCATAACAGCCTGGCAAACGGTTGATTAATGTTTACTCTACATTTTTTCATCTGCAACCAAACTCATCATTAAGGTTAACAATCATGTTTCCATCAAAGGGAACTCAAAGTATTGGCCATCCTTATCCATTACTGAATTGGGTGTACAGATTTTCATTGTTCACAGAGAAAATCATAAACCAAGCAATCAATAAACTGCAAATTCAGCTTTTATAAATACATATACATGAATATTATTTGGTATCACTGGGAAGCAAATGACAGACGATAAGCAAACCATTCATAAGATGATGATGATAATGACCAACAATGATGTAAAAATGGAATGATGATATTATCTGTTGGATACATGTGGTCTGGTCAATCATGGTCTCTTGATTTGATTACAAATAATTTGATTTACAGCATAGCAACCTATGAATCCGTTGACTTTCCCTTCAAGTGATCAAACCTTCTTAGGCCTAACTGTTTAAGATGAAATTACTTTAGACAATTTAATCACTTCTTTTGTTCCAGTGAATTTATCGTTATTAATCCTTAATGAACACACTAATTGTATAATTGAACGGATCCAATATCATAACAGTTGATTAAAAAACAAGTATTAATTCAGCTGATTAACCCATCAAAGAAACTTGCAAGACAAAGGTTAAAGCTGCAAGGAAACAGTGGATACAAAAGAAGGCTGACAACATGATCAAACTGTTAATTGTGATTAATGTGCGGAGACAGGCCAGGATGATGAATGAAATTAACTGAATAAATATTAATATAAGATGATGAGATGAAGACAGGTTAACTAGAAGTAAAAGGAAGAAGCAGACACACAAAAGAAACAAAGCAAATAAAGAAGATAACCATTCAAATTGAGCTTTCAACTTTTAACATTAGGTGAATGGGTAAACATTGTCTCTATTCATGACAATAATCAATTTGATTTTCACCTTTTATCATTATTCCTAAGGTGTAGTTCAATATGTGAAAATTACGAAAGAAAAAGAATGGGAAAAGTATCGATTTGCGACAAAAAATTCATTACCCTGAAAATAGTGATCGGACATTTCATCTGATGCTTAAAATGATTTTGTAAATGGTTCAATAATGTTGTTTAAACTGTCTAACCCATAATGATACATTAATGACATTTCAATTCAAATGATCAGCTATCAATATAACATTTTACTGTCAACAACCAATGATAATGACAAAAACTCAACACATTTCCATCGATTCAAAGACAAAGTATTAAAAAAGCCCAGCGGCAATTGAAATGGTTTATAATGAAAAGTAAATAATCGATTTTTTTCCTTCAAACCAAATCGTCGTTTTATTGTTGAAATGAATGTATGAAAGGTCCACTCTGATAGGTGGTCTGAGAGGTTGACTCTGATATGGATGATGATTTTGAAGATGAAGATGAGGTTAAAGAGGAAAATCATTGAGTTGAATTGACCAGAGTTCACAATTCCCTGAGTTGAAGGAAGACACAAAAAGTGAAAAAGTAAAAAGTAAAAATCAATGTTCAATGTTTTCAGTCTATCGTAATCAATTTAAATTAGGATTGAAATGAAATTGAATCAAAAAAAATATATCACGAAATTTAACATTAAATCAATAGCTTGCAACAAAAGTGTCTTCTGATAACTATTATAATAAAAGTATAACGTTATTAAAATAGTGATTAAGGTATACTGGGATTTATACAGGTAACAATTGAAATTGTTGAGTGTTGAATAGTTGCAAATTGTTAAAGGTCAACTTTTGTAACTGCTCATGTAATCCCTTAGATTAACACTTTGGATGTTAAAGGTAAGTCTTATGTTTTCCAAACTTGGTCTCTTTGTTAATCCTTTTTTTTCCTTCCCTTTTCACTATTTTTACCTGTTTAGGTTATTGAATCCATCAACAGGGAATACACACCTGAAGAAGATTGAAAGGAATACAAACCTGTCTATGTTAATAATCAACCAAGCAAACAGAAACGTAACTGTACTTATAGAAAGGTATTACATTTGTTTACGCTCTTAGACAACCTTATTTATTTTACTATTTTTTTAGGTACTTTCGTTGTCATGATATTAGGAATTATGTATTTCAAAATGGAGTCTGAGTTCAATTTTGATGATGGAAAAAGCATAATGAATCTTGGGTTTGGTTCAAGTCTTGAATGGAAACAAAGACCATGATGAAGTTGATGATGGAGATAATTTAAAAATGAAAAACTTCATCAAGACAAGGAGCAGTGTTGCAGATAAAATATCCATTAGGTTGAATAATATGTGGACCTTTGTTTGCCTTGAAATGTCAATGGTTATGTTGACAAAGGTAACACATATTTGCTCAAGTCTTACTTTTTGTTGATCGCTCTTTCAAGCTCTCAAGTGGACAAGTGACATATCTAATTTACAATTCAAAAAGTAATCTGATATTTATGAACTGTTTATACAGCGTGACCAGTTCCATCATTTCCTAAATCCTTCTCGAGTTATTCAAATTTTAATCTAACAGTTGATTTTTTATGTGATGATTGATGAAATCGTTAGGAGCAACAATCAAAAATTGAGTCAACCGGACTCTATTGTTGTGTAGTTAATGTTTTATGCACACAATGGAGGTAAGATAATTGTCTTTTGATTGTCATTCGAATCAATTGTGCAGACTAAAGTTACTTGAAGCAAATTGTGATTGATGATCAAGTCCAAAGGAAAGATTGCAATGAACATTTAAATTGTTATTAATATCGATAAAAACAATTAGCAAACAATAAGAGGGAATCATTACTCCAATGGTAATGAAACTCAACAATATTTTTGGGTTACAGAGTTACAAATGCTCGATCGATTGTGTTAACATCTGGATGGTTCATCTGTATCATCAGTATCAACATCTTGTAAGATTAACCATTAATTGTTATGATTAAAATATTAATGTACCTTTACATAATTATTAGCAAATGTAGTTTCTTTTTCTTGGTTACAAGAGTAAAATGATTGCAGCTCTGGAAAAATGAGTCTGAAAATTGATGAGACAGAATAATTTTAATTGTTTCTATTCTTAAATTGTAAGACAGGAAGACTAATTAACCTTATTACAAGAAGAACCAGATTATTAGTTGAAGTCGAGTCAATGAGCAAAGATGAAAAAACGATTTCGAAGCTGTTAATTATTAACAATCAACTTTAAATAATTCAGCTTAATGATTTGACGTCAAAAGTGAGAAACAAAAAAAGTGCAAAAATTTCATTCATAATTCATTTTGGATTCATCATTGATGATTATTACTGCCTGTAACAGTCAATGTTGATCATTACTATTTACAATATTACATTGTCGACTGATCAACCAATTTATATTAATTTGAAATCTGTTTTACTTTAATTTACTTAAGTTGGTTGGAAAAGGTTAACCAGATGAAACCCACTTTTGGTTGAGGATTTCATTTATCACTTATGGATGTATTGTGATAAAGTGAATAAAAGGTTTAGGTATGAACTTGAATGAGTTTGGCGACTTACTTCAAAAAAGATGACAACATTGTCAGCAAGGAAATAGGAATAGTCTTCATTGTAAAGTAATAATTCCTCCCATATTGGGTACCTTGGGTACCTGATTCTGGTTAGCATGTCACAATTTTGGGTCATCACGGGTAGAATGAAGTTATTTTTGGAATTACCAGTTTCATAATAAAAGGCAACATCACGGTCTGGATGTTTTTTAACCAAATAGCTGGAGGTTTCACTGTCAATAATGTGAATCTTGACCACTGGATGGACAACTGATCTACTTGATTTCAACTTTCTATCCGTATTGTGAATATGAATTCCCAATATGTAAGGTTCAAGTTCAACTGGAGCTGAACCTGAGCCTGCAGATCCACCTGAATTGGAGGTTCGCAGGAGTGAGGTTGGTGGTGAAGTTGCCAGTGAATTACCACAAAGTGAGGCACTTGACAGACTTTTATTCACTGGACCCAAAAGATGTGAATGATGAGTAGATGTGTGATGATGTCCGTGACGCTGACTGGGATGGTTATGACTGTGGTGAACTCCTGGATGAACATGGCTCATTAGACCACCAGGATCACCAATACTTGGACGTTCCGAGAGACGTCTCATGTTCCGTGTTTCAGGGTCACCTGTGTCTTCACTTCGCGATTTACGAAGATATTGAAGTTTAAGTAGGGCCAAGGTTCGTGTTAAATATTTAGTTTTTCGTGTATCAGTCAGAGTTTCAACCAGATTTTGTTCATTTGTTCTTGCATTGCTATTTGAATGATTACTTTCAATGGAATCATTTTGGGTTGTCTTTGAGTTAACATCAACTTTAACATGATCATTTGAGGTTGCTGTTAATTTATCCACTGATGGTGTCACCTCTACATCAGAATCAATGTATTCAATTGTTGAATCATCGAATGGGTTATCAGGCGATGAAAGTGTCACAGAAACTTGTGGAACTGGACGAAATATTGTTGTTATATTGGATGAGTTGGATGAAGATGAAGATGGGTTTGTTGAATCATTGACTGTTGACACAGATGAGGTCGAAGAGGTTGGAAAAGGATTGGGATTATCACCTAATGAAGATGTTGATGAGGATGATGATTGATGTGGACTTGTTTCAACTAAAGCCTTTGGTTGGCGGAATAAGCGAGGTTTACGAGGTTTAATTACCTCGTCATTCCAGGCTTGACTAGATGAGGTTAAAGTTGAGGTTTCTGTTGTCATTCTGGTTGATGGTGAGGTTGGTAGAGTTGAAGGTTTCTTGATTGCTGGAGGATAAGATTCAGTTAACATTAGATTGTCATCAGGTTCCATCGTCACTGAGTTATAATCTTTCCCTTGATTCCTGTTGAGATCAGTTGAACCAGAATTGGTAACATTAGAGACAACTTAAGTTAACCTTTTATAACCATTGACATTTGAAGACTTAACCCAATTGGACACATTTGTTTTTTATAATAACAATAACAGTAACTTGGTGAAAACAGTTAACTTCAATTCAGATTGTTTAAGATTACTGTTGAAGGTAAAAATGGTCAGAGAAGAGATACTTTGAAATGAAGGTAAGATAAGAAAGGTTGAATGATGAGCTCAACAATCATTACTTTTGATTGTTGTTATTGTTTCTTGTATTTTTTACTTTCACTTGCATTGGATAAATGTTTATAAAAAATAATGTTAACACCAATTACCTTGGAAACATGAATTGAAGTTATGATCAAGTTAATGTTATGATCACTGGGAGTTGAATGGTGAAACTGGAAAGGAAGATAAAGAGTGAGAATGAAAAAAACAGAATGAATCTTTACTTTATCTTCAAGGTATATTCACTTTTAGGCATGTCAATATATTTAGGGAAAGAAAGTGAATATCTTTCGCTATCATTTCTATCTTCATCTTCTTTATCATCATCATCATCTTTCTATTCATCTATTTATCTTCTTCTTATTTTTTCTCTCAGAGTTGCCATAGTTTTTTTAAGGCCAAGAAACTGGAGAAACTTTTCAATTAAACAATTTAAACAGCAACAAATTTCAACCAATTTAGGTTTATTTTTTTAATACTGCTATTGATCAGTCAATGAATAGTTTCATGAGCCAATGAAAACATTGAAACACATCTTTTCATCCTGGGAAGAGATGATTTACAGTAAAAACTACAAACTCTAGTGAAAAAAATTAGCACAAGTTGAATGCAGAAATGAAAACAGTTGAAAAAAAATTCAATGGAAATGACAGAATCAATGATGAGAATAAAGATGGCAGATTGACCGATTATTGACCTTTTATTGCTTCGAATAATCAAATAACACGAGAAGTTCACGATCTGATCAAGATTAGCTGCCTACTTTTCGATTTCGGCCTTTTATCGGCTTTTTTGAGTTAAAATAGATTTTTAATTGCTCAACAATAACATTCATTGAATGCATCCAATAAAACAAATACAAATCTCGTAGAGAAACATACAAATTTTCTAGAAAAAAGTCGATTCAATGCCGAAATCGAAAAGTGGACAGTTGAGAAGGTCGAATGTATCGATAGCCACCAATTAATTATCGATATCGAATGATCAGATCGTGAACTATCCTCGTAAGATGAAATTGAAAATATTGACTTTCTTTTCTTTTCTTTTGACTTACCTGATGAAACAATTATTTCCTGAAATCAAAATTTTCATTTGACCAATCAATTGAAATCTCATGATAATACTCATCCGAATGCCTTATTTTTATTGCAACTAAAAAGGACAATGAGCATATTGAAAAACTGATTAATAGTCTAATAGTAATTATGCATAAAGCACAATTTATGAATTAACAGGATTATTATTTAACATAATGACAATGTGTTGAAGTAATTTGATTATTGAAAGGTATTGGTTAACGATAAGACGATTTTATCATGCTTTACCATGTGGATAATATGTCTCTCCTGTTTACCTCGAAGGCTTGTTCAAGTAAATGGCGATGGAATGATTATTTTGGTTAAACTAAATCATTTTCTTGGTAATCACTTTAATTCATGTTCAACTGTTTCGTTTGATGTTAATTTTGTGCTGTCATCAATCTCTAGCATTTCTGTATTTCCAAAGGTATGTGAAGATTCCAATTCCATTATCATGATTGCTCATGATCTTGAGTTTTTATCCTTCATTTTTTTCCTTTTCTTTTCTTCTTCTTTTCCTTTTCTCATTTTGCTTCTTTTCTTTCTCTCGAGTTAACTAAATTTGTTTCAGATCGCGGAGGCTGATGATGAAGATGAAGATGAAAACCTACTTAAGGTAGACTGGCAAAGCAATCTCAACTGTAGCTACACAATGCAAATATTACCTTTGTTATCCAACAAATTGGGCTTTACACTTGTTCAGGACCTTTTAACCTCGTTACACCAAACAATATTTCAGTTGAGAGACTTGACATTTGCAATTGAATTTGTTTCAACCAATTTTTTTCCATCGATTTCAACTCATTATTTCTAGATTATTGATTGTTGAACACTCGTTGTCACACTAAATGTTGATTGTTATCAACATGTAAAACATCAATTTCTGTATCTTTCCTATTTACTTTTGGTTAATTTTGTTCCAAGTTGAGTTCACTTCATCGCCATTTTTGCGATTGTCAGGAAACAATTTATTGCTGTTAAACATGCAAAGGTGAATCAACATAAATGTATTAATATAAACATCAGTTTATTTCCAACTGCAATTTCATGAATATTTTTCTTGCCCATTCAAACAAATCAATCAAATATAACTTTAATGCAACTTGATTAGCATCTCTTTTCACCAACTGGTCACTGTAAACATGAAAGAAGCGATTTAATTATTCAACTTCTGGTAATAAAATCAAAGCATTTTACAAATGCTACCTAATTCCCTGGTTTATAATTATAACAATTGAATATTATTTACCACTTGAGTCAATTATGTGTGATAAAAAGAAGAGAGTAAACCGGAAAAAAGGTAACCAGCAGAAAAAAACAATTCCTGGTTCAATTAAACATTACAAATGGTCTGTTCAATAGATTGTTCATTAGGGCATCAAAAGAAGGAAATCTGAATCAACTAAATAAATATCGATTACAGCTTCTATTCATTGTTTAATCAATATATTGATTGGTCTCTAATAATGCCAAACTAAGGAAATATTGTCTTAAAACATCTCTTCCTTAAACTTTTACAATTTACATTGTTTTTCATTTTATCTCACAATTTCATTTTTTTATTTCAATATTTCAACGAGATGTAACCTGAAAACTTTCAACCAGATGCGACCGATGCGGTTGTGGCCAAACCACTTGTTTGCCCATTTCAATTTTGATCCTAGTTTTTCAAACGCTCAGAAAATGAACATTAAAATAATTTTGACTGAACACAATCCTTTTCAATGAAAAGTTTTCATTATTGGTAGACATTTGTGTTTCAAGTAGTTGAGTGTCATCTGGTGGTTGATTTACTCATAAATTGAGTTGGATAATAATACAACCGTTAGATGCCGCTAACAAGTAAGTAGAGAAGTTGGAATTGAAATTCAGAGTGCTGTTTATTTTACTTGAGTTGTTTATCATTTTAATAATTATTTTTTTTAGCCGCAGCCTGATTATCAAAGTTTAGGCCAATTTCAATTTTTCTGCGGAAAAACACTTGTTCGGTGAGTAATTATGATTGCTTATTTTGATAATAGCACCTTTTAACACAACATTCTTTCTTCTTGTTTTTGTCTTCATCTTTCAGAACCCGGAATTCAACTCAAATGGCTGTGGCCAGTGGACATGAAGCTGACAATGTTTATTTTGAGGATGATGAAGAAGAAGAGGAGTATGATGATGATGAAGTAGAAGACGATGACGATGACGACGATGATGAATCTTGCTCGGATCAGGTATGTTTTCCTACCAAAAAAAAGCTATGGGGAAGGAACAGCATCAGCTATTTAACAAGTCTAAGTGCAGGATGAGGGAAAGAAAAGATGATCCTCTGACCTCTTTTCTGACTTTTCACCGAGATTTGTTCGTTGGATTGATGTGATTATTCTTTTGTCAACCGATTTAACCTTGTTACATCAGAGCTTCAATCCATTGTCTGCATGCTTCTCTCAAACTCTCTCCCTCATCTATTCTCTTCACTTGCTATTATGCTTTTTATCCTCCCTTGCCTCGCATCAACATCCTTATGATCAAGTGTAATTCTGTAGCATGTTACATAGGCAACAAGATTAGGTGTACCCACAAAAATGTTCCTTTACACCCATTCCTTCAATTGGAAAACTTCACTGATTTAAACTTAATTATCTTTTCTTTTCTTCTCAATTTTCATTCATACTCTATAGAGTTCAACTACCTCAACATCAACCAGCAATAATCAAAGGGTGGATGGAGGAAGAGTTTGTGACTGTTGCTATTGTGAAGTTTTTGGACATGGCATGCCAGCAGTTGCCCCGACATCAAGGAATTACAATGAAATGAGAGAGCGACTTAGATCGCGATTAAATAAGAGAAAAGCGGAAAGAGGAAGATGTGAAAATCGTTCTAATGTTAGTGCTATCGGTAATGATAAACGCAAAGAAGTGGTTGGAAAAGAGGATAATCGAGATTTAGAGGAGCTCTTAAACTACATTGAAGGAACAACCAATCGAGACGCTAATAAACCAGGTAAAACTAAAAAGAAAAAAGAAAAGCAGAAAAAGAAGAAGGAAAAACAAAAAGACAAGAAGTCCTCCTCATCATTAAATATTATGAATTCGAGTGTTGATAGCGAAACAAGCAATCCTAATCAAGCGGATTCAAAGACAAATGTGTTAAAGTGTAATTTAAGTGAACCAACATCCGATAAAGTTAATAATCACAAAGATAATTATTCCAATGCCTCAAAAGAAGATAAGTCAACTCAAGCAATTTTCGACTTATCGACACCATCAGGTAGTCATAATCTCAGTCCACATGTTGAAAGGACAAAAGAAAGAAAACATAGCAATCAAATCGATCACAACAGCTATCGCAACACATCAGCTACCATTGCCAGTGATCATAAGGTGGCTTGTAATCACTCTATTTCATCTTCTAATATAAAAAAGACGAAAGAAGAAAAAAGACGAAATGGAGATGAGACAAAAAGTGACAAGAATCAGATTATTCATACTGAATTTGCCTCTACTGATTCACATGAAGGCCAACAAGCAACGCACCAAATTTCTCAAGAGAGGCATAATCATGTTCGTTGCTCATCATCAACGCCAACCTCACTGTAAGTTACTTCAATAATCATCATTGTTAATTGTTCACCAATTTTTTTGCCATTATTCTTTTTCTCATAAACCCGGTGACCATCCAGCCATCACCCAACATTCTCACAATAGTGTCGTTGATTCCCAAATATTACAGTTACATAAAGTGTACTTTGTCATTTATCTAACGAGATTTGTTGTAAAGCATTTTCCATACAAATGTTTACTATTTTGCGAGACTTTCAATTTTGAAATTTACTTTACACTCTAGCTCTCTCTTTACTTTTTGTATTCATATCTTTATCTTTTCTCTTCGCTAGTTTTTGTTTCCATTTAACATGTTTTCACAACTAATTTCAAGTTCATTGAATCGATGAAAATTCTTTTAAAGGCCGTTAATAACTTTTACTGGTTTTCCTGTACACGCGCTGTAATAATAAAGTAAATCTAATATAACCTGCTGTGTTAATAAATAGCTCATCAATGGAGCGTATTATTCACAGTTGTTTTGTCTGGACTTGGTGATGGCTAGTTGAGTTTTATCCAAGGTTAATGTTTCAAATAACTACTAAAATTTATCTTTTCTCATTCTTTTATTTTTTTGTAGAGTTAATCATGAAAGAAGTCCGTCTCATTGTTCCATCAATGTATCTAATTCGACAAATAATTCATCGACTTCAAGAACGACGACGAGTATTTCAAAGGTGGCCTCATCTACATCAACAACCCTTTATCCTTCTAGAACACCATCATCTCCACCTCCTCTAGCACCAAGCATAGCCACAACTGCAAAATTAGAAACAACATCAAAATCATCATTAACACTGTCATTAACAACATCAGCCTCATCATCAACAACAACAACAACAATATCCTCATCGCCATCGAGATCATCCTCCTCATCTGCAACAAAAACATCGTCATCAACCACTTCTAATGATATCTCAGATCACTGTGTCAATCCTTCGACAACAGTATCATTTAGAAGTAAAAATGGGCAGAAATTTAGTCAAAGTTCCGGTATAAATAATGCTTCAAATAAAAAACCACACCAGGACAGATTGAAAGAATCAATTCCATCTAGTGATAAGAGAAATTGTCTAAACTTAGCTACTCATAACTCGCCTCATCAATTAATTGAAGAGACACTCTCATCGACACCAAAAAATAGTAAAAGACGTGATAAACGAGAAAATAAGAGTCGTAATAAGAATATTTCAGATGATATTCTGTCTCCAGGTATATAAATTACATCAAATTCACATTGAAACTGAACGTTAAAATTTTCAAATCTAATATTTAATCTCATTTTTCTAATCTTTTATTGATTTCTTTTAGATGAAGTATTCAGGCCCAAAGACATTGATCTTGAAAATGATGAATTAGATGAAACCGAGAAAGAAATTGAGGCTTTTAAAAGGTTTGAAGTGAAAACCAACTAATATCAAACTTAATTTAACTAACTTTTCTTTCTCTTTTTATTCTCAGGTTTTGTTACAACTCTGTGCCACTTGCTCGGAAAGACAAAGTTAATGTTCATGTAAATCTAAAAGACATACTGTTTAAGAGAAGTCCAATAAGTGGCAATCTAGAAATTAAACATTCTGTAAAAAATGAACCTGGTAAATGAAATCCAGACAAATCAAGTGAAAACCAAAGTAAAATTGGACAAGATGGAGGCATTTTCGCAAAATGTCCCGAGGATAAATTAACTGACAAAATAAATTAAACAGGCGATCCAAATCATGAAGACACCAACAACAACAATTATCAAACAATAATCAAAGAAAGTTGTGCCAAGGGACTTTCAAAGCTCTACTTTTCGGCCATGTTTTATTATTGTTTCAAGTTTTCATCATTTCTTCTCTCTTTCCCTTCTCTCTAAACCCACTAATGGGTGCGCAAAAAAAGGTAAAATCAATGGCCATTGAAAAAGAGTTGATAATCTCTGAGCTTTCTAAGTTTAATTTTGTGCTGTTGTACACCAAACTCTAAATGATGAAAAGAATACGGTTGACCTTCATCTTCTGATCGATGGCAAAACATCCAGTTGTAGATGAAACAAATTGTTATTCAGAATCGCATTAAATTGGAAAACACCAAAACAAAAAATCCAAGTCTGTAGCAGCGAAAGTTGAAAACTTCTTAGAAAAGATGTAATGTAAAATGTTATGAATGCTATTACCTAGTGTGATACACAATTATAAACATAAGTATTTTTCACCAAACAGCGAAAGAAATTTTGAACACAAGAATGGATAAATGGTAAACCAATGGTCAATTTGTGCTTCGTATCCTAATCAATCGAGGAAACAAAACTAAACACTCTTAATTAAAACCACATTGGATTCAAAATTGATCATTTGGATATAGAAAAAAAACTTCATTGAGCAAAATAATTTTGGTAATACTTATTCAATAAGACTGTTGTTTTATTTCTAAACTTTCCTCTTTTTCTTCTTCTCTCTCCACTTCTCTTTTCATCTTATTAAAAGATTGAGAGATTTCAAAAGGAATCATGGTTTAAGGAAAAGTTGACTATTTAAGTTTTCGGTGTTCTGTTATTTTAGAGCAAAAATCGAACGAGAGAAAGAAAATTATTTATATAAATAAATGTGTCAAATGATTGCAAAGTTATCACCATCTACAAAGCAAATGATTGAAACTTGTATAAAAATAAAATAAAAATAACAAGTATTTCTAAGAAAATGAAATTTTCATATGATTAAATATCATTTTATGATCTTATCGATTTATTGTTCATTTCTTCCATTGAATAAGATTGGATTTGTTCACGGTAAAGCAATCAATTTTGAGACAAAATGAAAAATACAACGAAATTTAAGTTAACTACGATAACGACTACAAGTATTAATACTTATTATATTCCAACCACTTTAACGCTTCGTACTTATTAGGATCCCGTCGAGAAGCAATATAAATTTGGAACTTTACTTCAACGTCTTGTTTTGAAATAGAAAAGGCAAGATCCCTTATTATACAGTTATATGGGGCAGGATGAGCGTGTACAATGCTCATTATCTCCCTGTAATGATCATCATACACAGCCTCTTTGCTGCGTTGCCTTTCCTCTTCTGTTTGTCCATGAGCCATTGGATCCAGAATGTGCTGCGATTGGTATGCTTTTATGATCTCTGAAATTCTTCTAGAAAAAGATCGTCTACACAAATAATGGCAATAGTCTAGGTTACATCCAAATTCAGTAGCTACATCACGATGGACCAATCGATACACACAACTTATATTAGGAGCACCATTTTTATACATTAATGTTTCAAGAAGAAAACAATCGCCATCTTGAAAAACACTCATTGCATGCTCTTTGGTAACCAATCGTGTATTCCAATCAGCGCTATATAATCATGAAAAGAAATTAAATTTTAATAGAGCGCTAACATAAAGTTAAATAGCAATTTTATTTTACAATAATTGTACCATTCGGTATTTACCAGTTCGACACCCAAACGAGGTTGTTCATTGCGCACAAATAAAGACATTTGTTGTTTAATCGGTATGCCTGTGTATGCAGATAGCTATAAAAACAAATATAAGATGAATTAAAAAATATCACCTTTCTTTTCTTTTCTTCTGACTTACCTGATGGAACAATTGTTTCCTGTAATCAAAACTTTCATTTGACCAATCAATTGTAATCTCATGATAATACTCATCCGAATGCCTTATTTTTATTGTAACTAAACAAAACAAAGAACACATTTAAAAACTGAATCAAAATACAAACGAAACTTACTTTTATCAGAATTACTATTCTCTTGATTCATTTCACTTCTAAAAAATATATCTTTGGTACAAATTAAAAATAAGTGAATTTAGAAGATGAATTTCAAATTTTCAATTTAAACACAAAAATGGTAGAGCAAAAGTAGATCACTTCTCGTGTGTTGCAAAGACTAAACTAAGATCACTTTTAAAGAGACTCTTTGGCCATGAATGTTTCTCAAAACCAGTTTTTAAGAAGATTAGCTGTCATTGCGAGTTTAGTCATATGAATAGTCCAAACAGTTTTAGAGTCATTTTGACAAGTCTTCTTGAGTAGAGTAAACAAAGGTTACTAATTCACGAGTTAAAAATTAATAAAGGCCAAAATTTTCATATTAAATATGATTTTATGATCTTATCGATTTATTGCTCATTTCTTCCATTGAATAAGATTGGATTTTTGCACGGTAAAGCAATCAATTTTGAGACAAAATGAAAAATACAAAGAAATTAAGGTTAACCACGGTAACGAGAACAATTATTATTTATAATCCAGGTATCGAGAAGCACTCTTAGCTTGGTACTTTATTTCACAGTCTTGTGGGACAGAATGAGCGTCTGCATTGCTGATTATCTCCCTGAGATGATCATCATACAAAGCTAATCTGATGCGTTTCCTTTCCTCTTCTGTTTGTCCATTGACCATTGGATCCAGAATGGGTTGCGATTGGTCTGCTTTTATGATCTCTGAAATTTTGCTAGTAAAAGATCGTCTACCCAAATAATGGCAATATTGAAGGTTACATCCAGATTCATTAGCCACATCACGATGCACCAATTGATACGAGCAACTTATACCAGGAACTATATCATCTACATGCATTCTCGTTTCAAGTAGAAAACAATCGCCATCATGAAAAGCGCTCATTGCAAGCTCTTTGGTATCGTATTGCCAAGCGTAACGAGCGTTAAAAAATCTGAAGAATCGATGTGAAGAAATTAAATTTCAATTAGCGCACTTTCATAAAGTTAATTAAAAATTTTATTGAAAAATAATGTTACCCTGTTTCGTCGTGTTCAGCATTTAGCATATCGGCGTTGCGATGAGGATTTACATGAACCACGTGTACATCAGATTGTTGTTTAATCGGTATGCCTGTGTATGCAGATAGCTAAAAAACAAATATAAGATGAATTAGAAAATATTGACTTTCTTTTCTTTTCTTTTGACTTACCTGATGGAACAATTGTTTCCTGTAATCAAAACTTTCATTTGACCAATCAATTGTAATGTCATGATAATCCTCATCCGAATGCCTTACTTTTATTGTAACTAAACAAAACAAAGAACACATTTAAAATCTGAATCAAAATACAAACGAAACTTACTTTTATCAGAATTACTATTCTCTTGATTCATTTCACTTCAAAAAAATATATCTTTGATAAGTATAATAAAAGTAAAATAAGTTAATTTAGAAGCAGAATTACAAAATTTTAACTGAAGATGAAGCACAAATATGGTGGAGCAAAAGTAGATCACTTCTCGTGTGTAACAAAAGACTAAACTAAGATCACTTATAAAGAGACTCTTTTTCCATGTTTCTCAATACCAGTTTTAAGATTAGAGTTTCGAGTTCAGTCATGAATGTGCTCGTTCCAAACCAGCTGGACCAAACCGCCTCTCCTGTTCTGTTTGTCTATTAACCATTGGATCCAGAATGGGTTGCAATTGGTCTGCTTTTTTGAGCTATGAAATTTTTCTTTTAAAAGGTCTTCTAACCAAATAATGGCAATGTTTCGGATTACATTCAGTTTGCTTAGTTCCATCACGATGCACGATGAAAATCTACAAAACTCAACTAATCAAACACATCTACAAAGAAAATGAATGAAGCTTGTATAAAAATTAAATAAAAATAACACGAGTATTTCTAAAAAAATGAAATTTTCATATGATTTTATGATCTTATCGATTTATTGTTCATTTCTTCGAATAAGATTGGACTTTTTTCACGGTAAAGCAATTTTGAGTAAATAAATTTTTCATAAAAACAGCATAGACAATAGCATTGAAATCATTACTTTGTGGCAGATCATTCATTTAAGTTGGAAAATCTTGTTGAAATGTTCCTCTTTGGTATCTCCATTCCATAGAACGAACATTCACAACATTTGATGGGCCCGGTTTTCAATCCCTTGGAACTTTTCGATACCAATGTTTATGATTAAGTGATGATAAATCTTTCAATTTTGCAATATGTTTAAGGTAACGAGATAAATATAAAAGTTCTTTATCTTTATGACGATTTTTGTATGCTTCCTTGAAAGGTGCAATGTGTAGTCCATTCTGAGGATTCATTAAGAAATTTCGTCGAATGTCATCAAACATTATTGTATTCTTTGAATTATATTGTGGAAATTTTCCCCAGATCACTCCTAAAGGTTTGACCTAAGTTGAAAGAGGTAAAGATTTATTTTTTATCCAAAGCATAAGTATAAGCAGAGTGGAAAAAATCATGAAACTTACATTAAGAAGTCCATAATCAGGTGAGACAATGTTAATCATAGCACCTGAATCGAGGAAGAACATTATTTTGAAATTTGGATTAGGATGAACACCCATTTCTCTCATTTTGATTTCGATCCATTTCATTGAGGTTGCAGCTATCAAGACAAAAGAAAATCATTAAATAATGACAGAAAAGATCGATAATCTAGTAATTTGAGGACTTACACCAGATAACGATATCATAGTCTTCATAAGCTGATGTTAGAAACTCATGTAAATATGGACGCATCAATTGTGAAACATGTTCTGCAGTGGATCGATGATCTAAAATAGTGGTAAAAATGAAAAGAATAAGTTAGCAGAACGTATCGTAAGTAATCATATATTTACCATATAAAGTGTAATCAATATCTAAAACGAGTAATTTTTTTCCTTCACGAGATGGATTGAATACAGTTATTTTGTACTCTCTAACTCGTTTTTCAATTTTTGCCAAAAACTCTTGCCTTTGGCTAACAGGGATAATACATTCTTCAGGTATGTCCAGGTCGTTAATAACCTCATTATTTGGAACACATGAGGCAACATCTTGTATAGCATCTTCAGTACTTCCAATCATCATTAATTTGGTGCCAGGTTTCAAATTAAGTTCACCTAATTTAACATCGTCTTCAGCTGGTTTGCCCTTATACTTTAATCCAAATAACTTTTGCCTAGATGGTTGGACCCCAGTTTTATGGTATATCACATTCTTTAGATGTTCAACTGTATCATCAGGTTGTAAACACTCCTGTTCCAATGAAATCTCTTGTTTAGCCCATTTAATCACAATAGCCAGACTTTCAGAAGAACTTGAATCACCCATTTTCTGTAAGGATAACAATAAAAACAAGCAATACAACATATAAAATATGGCAAAACGCATAAAACATTGAAAGACAAAAAATGAGACATTAAATAGACTTGATTTACATACCTGACAGTAACTAAGTTAAATATCTTCGTTATTCAACACCTTAAATAAGTGTAATATAAAATTAGATGAATTGTCAATTGCAAAACACAGCAACATGGAAAACAATGACTGAAAAATCAGCTGTTTACTTGGCTCCTCCCAAGATAAGGCGCACATCTTTTGCAGTTTTTTGTATTCAAAACCAAATTTAACCACAACAGGAATTAATAAAACAACTTTAATCATTTATATGTTCAAAATGAGATATTTATTGTTTATCTTTATTTTGAATTTCATGCAATACAATATGTAATTCACCTTCTCAGTGAAAAACGAGCTAATAGAGTACTAGAGCTAAAGAGTTACATTACGATTTTTTTACAAAACGATGACTCTTTCATTGATCAAACTCCGATCCCGCCATTTCTCTTGCTTTCTTTCTATCCTCCTCTGTCTTTAAAAAGAGTTTCAATTTACAGTCTGGCACGGAATGAGCGTCTGCCATGCTCTTCATCTCCTGATAATGATCAAAATGCAAATTTTCCCTGACGGTATTCCTCTCTCTTCTTGCTTGTCTATCCATTGGATCCAGAATGGGTTGCGAGTATTCTGCTTTTATGATCTCTGAAATTTTCCTGGTAAAAGATCGTCTACCCAAATATTGGCAATATTCTGGGTTACATCCAGATTCATTAGCCAAATCACGATGCACCAATCGATGCTTACAACTTATACCATAACCCCATCCATTTACATTCATTATCGTTTCAATTAGGAAACAATCGCCATCTTGAAAATATTTCATTGCAGACTCTTTGGTATCAAATCTCAAAGCCAAACTCAATTCAACTAGCATCCTGAAGAATCGATGAAAATAAATTAAATCTTAAGAAAACCTAATGAAAGTTAACTACAATAATCTTACCCATTTCTGAATTCGAGGTTTACCAGACTGTGTTTGCCATTTACATTGTCCACTTTTACACACTCTTGTTGTTCATTCAGTACTCCTGTGTATGCAGATAGCTATAAAAACAAATATAAGATGAATTAGAAAATATTGACTTTCTTTTCTTTTCTTTTGACTTACCTGATGGAACAATTGTTTCCTGTAATCAAAACTTTCATTTGACCAATCAATTGTAATCTCATGATAATCCTCATCCGAATGCCTTACTTTTATTGTAACTAAACAAAACAAAGAACACATTAAAAAACTGAATCAAAATACAAACGAAACTTACTTTTATCAGAATTACTATTCTCTTGATTCATTTCACTTCTAAAAAATATATCTTTGGTACAAATTAAAAATGAGTTAATTTAAAAGATGAATTTCAAAATTTCAATTTAAGCACAAATATGGTGGAGCAAAAGTAGATCACTTCTCGTGTGTAGCAAAGACTAAACTAAGATCACTTTTAAAGATACTCTTTGGTCATGAATGTTTCTCAAAACCAGTTTTAAGAAGATTAGCCGTCATCTCGGTTTTAGTCATATGAATGGGTATTTTCCAGTCTTTATTCCTAGCATCTGGACTTAAAGCTTCTAATGGCAAAGGGTCAAAACAGCCAAAGCAAAATAGTGAAGGTTAATTAAAAATTGAACACAATGCTTGGATTGTCATAAACTGAATTGGATCAACTAGTTTCATTTAGTTCGCAATTTTCATGTTCATCACTTTCGTTCAAATCTATACCAATCAAATTGTTTCCTCAATCATGGCTAATTACGAACTGATAAAAAATGACATTTTTTGCTTTTATACTCATCGATATTTTTCGAGCATTTGACTTTCTCTATTTTGCTTTCGCTATTTTGTCCTTCTTTTGAGCCCAAACCCTTCTAATAAGTGAATACACAAAGTATCAAGAAATTCTGGAAATATTCGGGAAGAATCTCTAGTTTCTTTATTTTTTTATCAAAATTTAACGATTTGTTATAAATTAATCAGTAATGAATTTTCGTAACTCATGATAATTTAACATGTTGTTTGAACTGGTTTTGTAAAAAATTTTCATAACTGTTCATAAATGAGAGATGAAAATAAGAAATGTTATAAATAAGTGAAGATTGTTAAGGGATGGCGATTGAAGTTGATCATAATGAGTTGAATATGAGAATTACAATTATGTTACACAAAGGTTGATGAGAAATTGTGAGTTACAATTAGGTGCTCATATGATTGATTATATTAATGATGAATATATTTAGTATTTATGAGCTATTAGTTAAAAATATAAAATGATGAATTTGAGTGATTCCATGTAAAACTGGTGTAACATGTAAAAATTTGTTGTACAATCTTCCAATAGTCTTTGAATGAAAATTTTGAGCATTTTAAAAATTTCCTTCAACTAGCCAAGTCGATTCAATAGACTTTTGATTTACATAATTGAGTTGAGTATGAGTTTATCATTCACGATAAACTAATTAGCAATCAAAGTAATTGAATCAGTCAGCAAATCTAACAGGCTTGAGCAAACATCATTGCTGTCGTCAAAATTTTCAACTTGATTATCTTTGTAACCATGGCTGATGTTCAATCTCCACTTGATATGGAAATCCATCAAATCCTATTAAATAAGAAAGAAACTGAATTAAATATATTTGTAGAGCAAAGTGGTTGGTTAATTATGATTAAAAGTAAATGGTAAGATACTTACATTGTAAATAATAATCGAGATATCCTGAGATGATCATCTGGGCGAGATTAATTTGAACTTAAAAATGACTAAAGGAAATGGAAATGACTAGTGGCAACAAAGTGGCAACAATTACAAAGTACAATTTACACGTAAAAATACGTTGGATACGTGTTAAGGTAACTAAATTGCAGCGGAGGATAAATTAATGATGATAATTCCTTTGAATATTTGGAACAGCATGAAAGTCCGATTGGGTCGATAGAGCTGCGAATCCAAAGAGCCTGAAGCATAAGAAAAGAAACGGAAATTAAAAACTGATATTTGACAATCTGGTTCAAAAACAGCAAAAGCAAGAAGAGTAAAGTCAAGTTGAGCAAAGCCAAAACAGCAGAATGAAAAAATAGCAAAACTTCAACCACGTTGCAGGAGAAATGCGATTTTCTTGTATCGCCAGCACAATTGAAAAATTGGTTTTGATTTCGAATCTATGATCATTGAATTAAAAATTTCTCGAAGTAGCAACCTAACCTAGCAAACCAAACAGAAACCATCTCAGCTGAAGTCTAACAATTTTGATAAACTTTCAATAAACAGATTTCATTTCATGCTCGAAGTTTCATTAGACATTCTGTGCTTAATGATACAAGCGCGTTTCATGAAAACTTACGATTTGCTATTTTGCCTTTGGCTGAAATGGGTTTTGCTTGCTTTTGACTTTGCTGTTTCGGAACTTTATCATTTTGACCGTTGTTTGGCAAACAAAGCTTCAAATATTTGTGATAAGGTAAATTAATAAATCTAACCCAGGTGAGGTTGGAGGTAAAGATACAATATATAAGTATAACAATAAAGTTGTAAACTTGATTTACTGTTAAGTTGTTCACTGTTTCAATGGGTAACATAATTTACTATTTTTCAACAGTCTTTTTCACAATCAATTTTGTCCATGCAATTAATTTTGACGATGAAAACAAGCGAAAAAGATTACATGTGATTTTACAAAAGAAACAAGTTGCAATGTAACAACAGCCAAGCGTAAATATTACCAATTGTTGTTTGATTGTTGACTACATTTCTTTCAACATTCAATTCATACAATTCAATCACATCATGGCTATTAGAGTCACTTTTTCCCTTTCATTAAATCATTTTCATCTTATTGATTCTTTACGTTAACTTCCTTTATTTCCCTGTAGATAATACACTTTTTTACCTTGTTTTTCCTTCTTTTTTCTTACACAAAGTTTAACTCTCCTATTCACCGTGTTATTGGCCATCTTTTTCACTATCATTGTCATTATTATTATCACCATCATCATAATCATCGTTGTCATTTTCATCTCTATTACTAGTGGTTTTGGGAAAGTAAATGACGAAGGAGGAAGATGGATAACAGGAAGAAACAGAAGTGGTGAGACTTATTATGGACTATGAAATATCTTTTCCCATCATCATCATCATCAAACAACAACAATTTGCTAATATGTGAGGGGTTTGACTTGGAAGAAGTCGGTAAAGAAAACATGAGAAAAAAGAGGAATTTTCGTTATTTACTTTCCATAACATTTCAAAGGCCTATGTGAATATTGAGTAACGTCAAGAGGGAAATTGAAGATTCCCATGCTCATAGTTTTATTATTGTCGAGATAAAGAAGACCAGACAACTGAATGTCAACGGTGAAAAAATGTCAACGGTTTTATTTTGAAAATTTGCAAATCCACGCGACCCTGAATCTCATCGCCATTACCATCGTTTGTTACCAACACTACAATGTTCAAGATTCCTTGGGCACCAATTTTCCCATCGTAATATATTTTAATAGTGGAAGAAACTAATATATTTTTTTGTTCATTTCAGATCCAACAAATTCCCTGCATTCTCAAGATAATATAACACATTGACAATAAATTGTCAACAATCACTGAGGCCAATTGAATGGGCAAATATTTACAAGGAACAAAAGGATAGACCAAGTACAATATGGACAAGCAACATCAAGACAGATTTGATACTTTTTTACCTTTAACGGTTTACCTTTCGCCTTCACATTTCTCCTTTTTTTATCTAGTCTTCACCTTTTCTCTGTTGATCGTTTTTTACCATTCATCCATCTTCTATACATTTCTTGGAAAGTGCAAAGACATATTGTGTCCTCAATAGTAAAATCACATATTGTAATTGTAAGAAGTTTGCTTTCTTCATTCATCTTATTTTTTTAAAAGCACACAACGAACGGCCTTTTAACGGGCAAAATAGAGAGACCTTTAAACTCTATGTTCCCATGTGTTCGCCTTGTTGGTAAAAAAAAGGTCAAAAGTCATTGTGAGTTTTCTCTTTCTTTCTTTCTACACTTTCTTAAACTTATTTTGTTAAGAAGTTACTGTACTTTCCTTATATACTTTTTATGTACATCTTTCATCTATTTTTTTCAGGTCACACGGTAAGCATCTTGCGTGAAGAAGCGTTGTTAATCATCATCAAAATTTTAATAAATTATTTCATATTGAAAGTTGATTATATTAACCTATTGTGATCCATTTAAAAAGGGCATTTCGACTGGTTTTTGATAAAAAAATGTCAATTGACGTATTTCATTGTTATTGCCTCTCCAATTTGGTTTAATGTATCAGCTTGATAATAGCAAATCAACTCGAATAAGCTTCACGATGAGCTTAAATTGTGAATGAAATAATTGCTTCAAAATATTCAATTGCCAGAGCTAAAAGTATATCAATTATACGGAGAAATAATTAACATCTTGAGTTAAACAAAAAACGTTATCAACAATCTTGATCTCTATGAACTGCATGCAGATCTATGTGAATAATAGGAATCGTGATTTAAACGCAATTTAATTTGATTACTAGAAGCCAAGATACATAAAGGTGCAAACAAATGCCAAACCGGACGGCGATATTGTAATCTTTTACAATCTAATCTTAACATTGGATAATAATCTGACCAAGAATAGGTAACTAACCTTGGTAAACAAGGTAATATAATGAGCTAAATTAATCTATTTTCATCTTTTTTTTTTGATTAAATTTTTCTTTCTTCTTCCAAGTATTTCATTTTTACAACAAAAACCTTCCCAAGTATTTTTGCTGTTCATCATTCAGATTAAATTGTTTCCTTCAAACGATCAGGATGGTCTAAAGAGGAGGAAGACAATGTTGATGAGAAGATCAGAAAGAAGTTCTCATCATTATCTGAAATTGAAATTTGAAGAGCAATTGAAGGAACTAAATGAAATGTAAATTAAACCTTGTTAAACCACTAAAGTGTTGAGTGTAACATTTAGTATTGATCAGGTTATGTCCACTTGAAAAGATGACCAAAGCGATTGGTTAATCTTTCAATTGTTGTGTTTGGTGAAGGAGGTTGGATTAACAAATATCTTTGGTATTTTATACAAGGTTAAAAAGGTGAGTTGATGAAAAAAAAGAGAGAAAGCCTTCAAGGTAAAAAGGTAAAGGTAATAAGGGTGAGAATACACCTTTCTTTTGATTCACATTCTTGTGTTATTTTGTGTTCATTTTTACCATCTTGTTGCTGTTAACTTTCTCAACAATTTCATGTTCGTAGTGAGAAGAAAAGAAGAAAATTCCTGTGTTAATTTGAGATGAAAGGTAAAAGGTAAACTTGAATTTCCCTTGAACCAAGTGGTTGTTATAAGGCGTGCAAAGGGGAGGTTGAAGGTTAGGTGTTCGGGGTGGGGTGATAGGTTGTTGATGGAGGAATGTTACTCTCATCGTAATCATCTTTTCACCTTACACTGTGAATCTGTTTTCACATTGAATATCGTTATCATTGTTGATGGCCAGAGTAGACTCAATAAGGTTAGCACGCAATGACAATAATCTCAAGATGATGATGAAGCAGCTTAATTATGCTTATAATCAAAACTCTATTCATTTAATGTTCAACTTAATTTGAATTAATTCCTCTCAATCTTGCTTAAGGCCTTTTTGCCCACTGTTTTCCTCTTGCTTACCTTAACATTTTTACCTTTTTGGCACACCTTTTCGCTCTCTCTCTCTCTCTTCCTTTCATTCCTTCATCATCGCCATCAGCATCTCATCATTATCTTGGTCAGTATTTAGATGTACAATTATTATTATATGATTACAACTTAAATGGTTTAACGCAATTGGTGATAAAGAAATGATCACTTCGCTTTCAATGTTCAATGTTTACACTTTTCATTAAATACTTTTCTCCACCTTTTCACCAATATGATTAATTCAGGATAATCAGTTGAATGATATTCAATGAGTTTTACCGATCATTTTACAAAAGTAGACAAAATAATGAAAAGTCAACAAAATATCAATTCCAGTCGATTATTTATTCATCATTATCACCTTTCTTTTCAACACCTTTTACCAGAAAATTGTTTTCTTTTTCATTGTATCAAATGTTTAAAATTATCACATCATCAGGTTGTCATTGAATTTCAATAATTGTATCATTAGTTTCATTTAAACCCGTCCAATCAATCATTAACCACTTAACCTTTGGCTGGGAAAGTGAAATTCATTGATTATTAATGTGAAAATTGTTTTTCACAGTTTAATGGTTTACATGAAAGGATTGAAAGCATAACTAAAATATGGCCAATCAATTGAATATGTGACAAGAATTAATTCATCATTGAAATTGTTGTCAAGCAAATAAATTATTCAAAGTTAAATCAAAAAGTCAAAAAGTAATATTGAGTAAAAAACGTTCAAATGGTGAAACAAGTTTAATCTAAAGCAACGTTTCTGGTATCTTAATAATGATATGGTTTGGGTTAAATTGTTGGGTATAAAATGATTCGTAAATGGACTTTTTAAAGCTACAATTTTAGTTTTGGTTAAAAAAAGTCGAAATAATTTAAATTGCTATTTAAAGGTTGAGATGAAACGTTGAAAAAATGTTTAAAATAGACCCAAAGTTGAAGTCTTTTTTTATAATAATAAAGTCTCACATTCATCATCTTTCCAATGTAAACCTAATGAAGTCATTAAGTTGAAATAACAATCAACAGTTGAGTCAATAACAAGCCCAAAATTGAGGTAAATGGCAACAATTACGATTAGATGTTTAAATTAGATTCAACATTTAAATAAGCTCACGATCAATATTGAAAAAATATCATTCACTTAAAACTTCTCAGGCCTAAACTAAGGTGAGGCTTGGTTATTAAGTAGGCTTAATAAGTAACATAGACTAATCATATGTTAATCATGGTCATTATTCAATCATGATTAATCGTGATACCGGAACATATGTCATATCGAACCATTTAACCAACAGGAAAACAGTTTAACTCAAAACCGATGGAAAATGTTTAAACAACAGAAATAATGAAACAATTGGACAATCAATTGAAAGCTGGAGTTGATTAATAAACATGGAAGGGAAACAATTAGAAGGAAAACTAAATCACAGTTAATTGTTTTACATTACTTGTACTCTTAATACAAGGTGATAACATTAGTAAATAGATATTTTTAATGCAAGGATTGAATGCAAATTGACCAAGATAAAGTTGATGAACTTGAAAAGGTTTTCATTTGTGAAACAAGTTTGAATAACTTTCCAATTTGTTGTCATCTAAAAGCCATGATTAAAGATGAAAATTGCAAGTTGGGAAAAAAGGAAGTTAACTTTAACCATTTAACCATGTCCAGATTGTGATTAAAATTGCAAAGTGATAATGCTTAAAGTAAATGAAAAGCTATCTCCGGATGTGAGAACTTTTCTTCTTCTTCTTCATCATTATCATGAATAACATGATGAACGCATTCCTAGGCATACAAAGTTGATGGTCAAATGAGGACAGATTAATGGGACAAATTAACATTCCTATGTGAGTCCATTAGAACTGACCTTCAAAGATGACCATCATTCTTTGCGTAACCTGTTTCATCTTACCTGTCTCTTGTTTATTTGTTTCTTGAGAAATATAATAATGATGATGATATAAAAAAACGCATTCCTTTGGGTAAATGAGATTTGTTTAGTTTTACCTTCATCATTAGTTTCATCTGTAATATTAGTATTAATAACTAGACATTTGTGAACAAAAACAACTATGACTTCCTGTCAGGCTGATGATCATCCTAAGGATCAAGATGAAAATATATATGATGAAGTAGCTAGAAAGGGGAACCGCAATTAAGAGCTCATCAAGATGAGACTAACCAAGGCCTAAGGCAATCTTGACTTTAGTTTTGTTTTTTTTCTTCTTCCAATCTTTCAAAGACCTTTTTCTTTCAGACTTTTTCACCTTGGATTCATTCATGCGTTTCCTCTTTAAGATGTTACAGGTAACATTTTATAAGACTGGTAATACAGATATAAGATGAGTTGACCAGAAAAAAGATTGACTCTAAAAATATTAACTTGTCTTTGTATCATTATTATACAAGACAAATTAACCCAAGACTTTGGACATTTCAACCTTTTTCAATTATTGTTATCATTGGTACATTTTGTTGATAATTATATATTTTAACAATATCAACTAATTGCTATCTTAACTCATCTTGACAGAAACAATTTGTGAAACAAATCATTGGACCTCTTGGACGACTATTTGGTGGGGTTGGGTGACTCAAAGCTTTGTTGGACAAAATGAATTGATTGGTCAAACTTACCTTTCGTTTGTGTGATTGTTCAAAGTAATTGCGACGCAATTGGAAACAATATACTTCACCCAAAGGCCATTCTTGTTGAAGTCTCAGCAGCAATTCATTATCTCTTAATTTTCTTTCACCTGAAACAAAAAGATTCATTTAAATTAGCGATTTGCAACATCAACAGGTTATCAAAATTCAATGTTAAATCTCTAACCTTCATACTTTTGAGTGAAAGAGCTACAATTTTGTCTCAATTTGAATCGTTTTTCATCTCAATTTAAACTGAGATTCTCTAATTGTTGCGGTAAGTATTTCAATTACATTTACCTTGATGGTACCTTGAGATGCAAATAATCATCTCTTGAGATTAATCTAACAATTGACTTTAAATCTAATAGATTTTCAATGTTCCCTGTATTATAAATTTACTTGTGAGGTTAACTGTTCTTAAAAGCTTCCCGTGACTGGGAATTGTAGTTAATTGTCTAACCTACAATTAATATTTAACGGACTTTGAGATATGGTCATTCTTAATGATAAAATGGATAAGATGTACCAGTGGCGTAAACCAGTAACAATTGTATTTATCATCCTCAAGATCAACCTCATTAACATCATCATAATACTGCAATTAACATATTCACTAACATAATTTTTAACAGAAGCGTAAACAAATTGTTGACATAATTATTGTCTTAAGGCTGAAAGTAGTAAAAATAATTAGAATGAAAAATTCAGGTAAACTTACGTCTGTTCTGTGGACAAACTTCATATAAAGCAAATTTGGATGGCCTCTCATCTGAATCGTAACATTGTAATAATAATTGGATCACTTCACCAACAGTGGTCACATCTGATATTAATAAGCTTTTGTATAAAGACTGCAAAAAATGGATCAATTATTAGTTTAATTAAGATTGAAATAAATCACTGATAATAACTTGTATCAATGATATTCAATTGATCGATCTATCTATTGATAATGCATTAATACACGCAAAGATGGCGTTATAAACTTACCGAAGACATAAGGCAACTGTCGTAGACCTTAACAAGGCCTCCTCGTTTCATCATTAAAGTAAATCTAATTATAGTAACGGAAAGATGATTAGTAGACAATTAATATATTGGTATTGGACATGGAACAGGATAGGGACTACTTTAATGGTAAGTAAATGTGATTTTTGTTGGTATCTTTTTGTTTTGTTTGTCTAATAATATCCAAAATTAACTCTAATTTTGTTTTCCTATTTCCTTTTTTAAATTTATCTTTTGGTTTTACTTTTGGTTTTTGGAAGCTCATTTACTGTGTCAAAACTTTTCAAGTAACTCGATATTGGGACAATATAATAGCATTAATATGAATCTAATAATAATGTACAGCAACAAAGAGATAACATAAGTTCTTCTGATGCTTTTTCCTGTTCGAAACCAAAGAAGATGCTTCTTCTGCAGCTCTGTACAAAGGAAGACATTTGAGACTCTTTGACTACTTTTGGAGACTTTTATGTGTTTTTTCAACGGATGAAAGGAGATGATGAGATGAAGAGGAAGAAAAAGACAATTTAAAGTGACTTACTTGGTATCTTGATGAGGATAAGATGCTTGGATTTGAGCTGGACAAGACATATCATCAAGAACAACAACACTTCGAATCGGAATGCCTTGGAAACAAAGGGACAAAAGGGAAAATGATAATCATTGGACTTTTAAAATTTAAAGTTGCTCAAAATTGGAATCAAGGATCAAGTAAACCCCATTTCGTATTGATATTTGTATTGAACCTTTTCCTTTTGGTTGGATGGGGCTGTGTCGCTCAAAGCTCATACAATCTCAGTGATTAATTAACTGGTGACTGAGTCGATTACATTAACATATAACATTGTTACATTGACTGTTGAGATGTTTGTGTGAGAAAGTATTGGCATTTAAAATGTACAAAGAAATATTTTCGTTACGGTCACTGCTTATTGACCGTTAATTGTATATTTTTGCAACTTAAATTGTCAAATCCGTAAGACTATGCAACTTCAAGTATGAGATTTGATCAATCTATCATCAACATAACCAAGAAGGCTTGTCAAAGTAACTGAAAATTATGCTCTTTTATTTTATTGTAGATTCCTGATGTTTGTGGTTTAACTGTTGATAATCAGTTGATGAGGCTTACCTGTTTTACGGATAATAACTTCCATAGCAACGTAAAAGAGATTGGGATCGGTGTGTTTTAGCCTGAATTTGTGTAGCAACATTCGAACCATGTCATTACATGTTGTATCTTCAGTTATGGAAAGTGTTTTATACTCAATATCAGAGCATAACACTTTGGTGTAAATTTTAATCATGGACTGTAATCAAGGAGAACAAGAGGAAATCGTTAATTAATTAGCTATAAGTATATATCATGAATTGTTTAAACAAGTTAATTGTGTCAAAAGAGCGAGAGGAAAGTGGATTATGACTTGAGGCTGAACTGGATTCACATTTAAAATCAAATTAACAGTTTTTTTCTACTCCTGCCTTCATCTTCTTCGTTATCATCTTCAATTGAATTCAGTTGAATTCATTAAATTGCACATTTTACTATCGTTCATTTTAAACATCAAGCTTAATCGTTTCCGTTTGTAACTGAAACGGAAGCTTTGAAAGATTGTCTTTACGCACATCGAAAGTTTTTGAAAAATTTAGATTTCAAGTTTTTTGTGTTTACTGTTGATGAGAGTGTTGATTGTTTACTAGCTTACTGAGAAGGCTACCGGAAAAAGTAACTCCAATGAAGGTAACTTGGTGTTGGTTAGCCTTAGAAGGTTAATTGTGGCTCGTGGTCCGTGTCAATGGACAACACCCTAGACCGGATAATATTTGATTATCTCTACCCTTAAGGTTATCAGAATAAAGTTGAATATGAAGATGAAGGAAGGAAGAAAGAAAGTAAAGAAATAACAATTTAAAGTCTAAAATGGTAAACAATCAATACCGGTAAAGCCAAAATTTACTCTCAAAAGTCTGTAAAATACACAAAATTCAATCTGAATCAATGTTTGAAAGTCTTGTCATTGTCCTGAGTATAGATCAGACTAATTTTAATATTCACAGTGTGGACAATCGATGACAATAATACTTGTGTATACAGCATCGAAAATAAAGTTAGGCTTCATTTTAGTATCTTTTGATAAGAATGACTAGTAAATTGGTCAAAGAAAACATTCTTATCAAAATATGGGCAAAGACACCAAAATAAGATATAACTTTTTTTCGATGCTGTATAAAGAAACGTAAATGTTGAAACTTTTACTTACTTTCGAAGGTCCCGATGAAATGGAATCCGAGATGGATGATCTATCTGAATCAAAAACCATGATGGATTCACAAATGATAGTTGAAATCCGAGTTGTCAATGAAATAAACACAAGTTTCAAAGAAAAACTTAAAAGATTTGATAAAGTCTCACAAAAGCAGTAAAAGTAAGAAAAAGATGAATGAAAATGAAAAGGTTACAGAAAAATCAATTGAACAGTCGTAAGTTATTAACTGTAATGTTGATTAAAATATATCCAAGGTATTGTCTGTTGATTAAACTAAAGGAAAGGTAAACAATGTAAACAAAATAAAATAGTTTGTTAATTGTTCAAGTTGTTGATGTTGTTCACACTGTTAAATCTTTGAGTGTGTGAGTATGTGAACTGTAAGATGCACAAAATGTGCAGCAAATTTATTTCTTGAGCCTGCGTATAGCCATAAAAAACAACAACAAGATGAAAGGTTCAAGTCCTTTTAAATGGGCAGGTCACTTTTCCTTTACCGACATACACAAAAGCTAGGCCTCGTTGGCTTGGCCCCGAAGTCTCTGGCCTTACAAGCTACTAACGTAAAGAGAGTTGCCCTCAACTTTCCCTATTAGCTTCGGGGGTTAACCTCCTCCCACTTCCTTTCTCCTTACAAAGAGATGATGAGGACGATGAAGAGATGAAGATAAAGAGGATGATAAGGATAAATTGTGACCTGAAGAGGAGAGAGAGAGAAAAGCGAATCAAAGAATAATGGTTTGAGAGACAAAATTTTGACCTGAGTTGACAAGTTTGACTGGATAAAAAGATATAAAATGGTACACAGAGAAAGTGCGAGAATTTATATGTTAATAATAACAATTTAATCTGTATTATATCATGATTGATTATTATTGTTATAGCTAATAGCTTACAATCAATGAATGTTGATTTATTTACGCTGTATTTGATTAAACTGATTGTTCCAACGTCCATTCATATAAATGTTTGCTTGCTTCAAGTCTACTGTTGATCAAAGTTTAACCAATTAAACTATTTCTAATTTAAATATTTATCCTTTATTTATTTTGATACAATTTAATTTTAACAATAAATGACCGATTATATTTTAAACCCAATTTTTGACAACAAACATTTTTATTTATAAAAAAACGAGAAAAATTAAACAAATTTTTGTTTCCCTGTTAACATCAAGTCTATACTGTTGATGGTTAGTAAACTTTGGTTTGATTTTAATAAATCTTACTATTGTGGAGCATGATTGTTATTATTGCTGTTGTTATTACCATCTCTCATCTTGATGCTTGGATTGACTTGTGTTAAATATGATGGTTTAATTGGACCGTAATTGGGTTTAGGTTGATTTTGTGGATAATATGCATGAAGATATTTGATGTGTTCAAAGGCTAAATTCAAATATTTGGACTCTTGTTGCATACGATAATCCAAGGCTCGTAGATGATTCTGTAAGTAGTTAGCCATTGACTGGACATCACTTGGATTAACGGTGTGGTCATTGATGTATAGCTTTTCTTTCACTTTGTCAACCAGTGAACTGATGTCTGGACATGAATAAGATTCCTCTTTGAATCCTAACAGTTTCTTTTCCAAATTAATCAACTTTTCCAGGCATTCTTTCAATCGAAAATGAAAACTTCCAATCTTTTTATGATGACCGAGTAAAATGTCTTTCACTGTTGTAACAAATTTCCTCAGCTTTTCATGGATTCCACCGCCAATGGACGACAAGATGCCTCGAGCTTCTGCATTTGATTCTACGGCTGCAGGAGTTTCCTCTGAAATAAAATAGGATAAAATCAAATTGAAATTGTTATAAATGACAAAAAATGGTAAAATAATTCACAAAATATCTTTCTTACCTGAATTAGTTGAAGCAATTTGAAGACAGCAAATAATAGCAAGAGTACAAAGGATTAGTGGCTTAATCATGATGAAAGGTGACTGTTAAAGAAATGAGAAAAGTATGATTTGAAATTGATACAATGAAGGATGGTTGATTAACTAAAAGCGAATTAACTTGTTAACAGCTTTTAAATAATCAAACCTGTGGTAATGATGGTCGAGTTTTTTTCCTTTTCCAAAGATGTATGATTAATATTGTTGGCATCTTAATTGTGGAAATCAACTTTAACTTTAAAAGGTTGGCAAGCCATTAGTGTAAAGTCAAGAAGATCATTATTCACATTAATATTGTAATAATCCTGTGAAAAATCTGTAAATTACGTCAAAATTATCATTCTTGATCGTTTAGCCAATTGTTGGAACTTTCCTGCAATGGTTTTCCTATTGATTTTGGTAAATTAATGGGCCAATTTAATGTTTTGTTTTATCATCTTTGTTTCCAGGTGAAATTAAAATGTGATAATCAGTTGATTTGACTCAGTCTTTCCGATTGCTTGGTGTAAGATGCAAGTTTCCTTCTTCCAAACTCATAAGAAATCGAATCACAACTTGTAATTGTTCATTTGTTCATCAGCCATTGATTAAATCAAAATGAAATCTTCCGTTGCTACTGTCTTGATTCTTGTTTTCACTTGTTCAACAACTGTTTCATCCGATAAAAATTATGGTAAGTTAATCCATTTAGTCTCCTTAACAGCCATGGTTGCTGTTGTTTTGAACGCTCAAATTTTCCACCTCTTGCGTATAATAACATTAGATGGTCCTAATCAATCAATCTTTCAGTCGACCAATTTATCTGTTGTTTCCAAAAAATCTCATTCTTTTCCTATGTTTACTTCATTGTTTATCTGCCAGATCCATTATCTGCCCTTGAAATTAGAGGCTTTGATCCTGATTATAAGCTTCAAATGCCATTCCATGGATTGCTTCAGAAATTTGCAACTTGCTTGAAAAATATTTTCACTCTTCATCGAGGTAAGCTTGACGAGTTGAAAGGTAAACTGGACACTACCTTTGACCGAGTTTCGGTTGTGGATGGAAAATTGAAAGAATATGAAACCTCGTATCAAGCGTATCCATCAAAAGGTTCATGTGCTTGTCCTAGTGTGGATCAAATCTATGGAAAGCTGAAAGAGTATCCAACTAATTTTGCAGTTAACTTGAAGTTGTTCCAATTGGTTCCATTGTGGGGTAAAGTTGGACGTCTTGAACAAATGATTTATCAGAATCACTACACACTCCGTAATTATTTGAATTTTATCCAACAATTGGAGAGTCATAACCGATTCGTTAGGCCCAGGAAAGATGTTAATGTCACCGGTGAAATAGAAAGATATTTGCATTCAGTTGAGTCCGTCTCCGGGTAAATTTTTGCATTCCCATTTCTTTCTTTATGGTCCTTTACCTTGTTTGTTTATCCTCATTTAAAGATGTCCTTTTGCTTTAATAATCAACTTTTTTCTAAATATCAACATTGTATCTCATATAAATTAATTGGTCAATAAACGTGGTTTGAAAGAGATGAAAATTATAAAAACTAACCTTCTACTAAGGATGATTTTTTCGTGATTTTCTTGCGAAAAGTGACAACTAATATTTCAAACTGGATAATTGAGTAATAAGTATTCAAATTTTTCCCAAGTAAAAAGAAATTATTTCCTCTTTATTCAATTATTAAATTTATTAAATTGTTTCAAATTAAAATAAACACTTTAAAATAACCACTTGTAAACTCGAGTTGTATCTGTAGTGACATCTAGTGGATTGGAATAGTTTTGGTTGCGAAAAAACATGTTTATTTTTGTTTAATTGAGTCAACTTTTGTTTTGGATAATTTATCTTAATTTTTTGGACCAAAATTTGAAAATGCCTGCTAAACAGGTATGTATCTACTTATTAATCTTCAATCTTCAATCTGAATAGAGTTATATTTAAATTCACAACTTTGTAATTTCTGTTTTTTAGGTTATTGTAACGTCAACTCTCAACTCAACATATTGGTCTATTAATGTTCAAGATTTACTCACTGGAACCCAAGTCTCTTGTTTCAAGGAATCAATTACTTGCGGTTATAATGGGTTAGCTTGTCTATTCGACCAGTATTTCCTGTGTTCACAGAAAGATTCTTCAGTGGTGCATTTATGGAGTCTTAGGAAAAAAAGTATAGTCCGTACCAGAATGAAATGTCCTTCGACAGTAACTTCATTGGCTGCAACTCCAGACGGAATGTATATCGTTTTGGGATTAGAAGAAAAAATATACATTTACATGGTAAGATTTGCTAACATCTCATGTCACTACAACTTGACTCAAACATATTCTGCTTTTTTAGACCTCTTCCGGGCGATTATGTTCAATCTTAGAAAGGCATTATCAGCCAGTAACTTGTATTAGGATGTCCAAGTGTGGTTCTTTTTTCATCTCTGGGGGTGAAGATGGACTCGTGCTGGTTTGGATCTTATCCACAATTCTTAGTAATGGGTACAATGAACATCAAAACAGCTCAGATAACTCAGAAAGTCTTAACCCAATGCACACGTGGTCTTACCATAATGGAAAAATAACTGATATCCACTGTGGATATACAGGTATTCGTGGTAAATGTTGTTCTGTTTCAGTCGACTCTACTTGTAAAGTAAGTGAACTAGCTAGATTTAGTACTTTCCAATAATTAGTTGACGTAACCTTTGCTTTGCTTATCCACAGGTTTATGATATTCTCTCAGGAAATCTTTTAATATCTATTTCTTTTGATGAACCCCTTTGGTCGGTAGTCATGGATCCTGCTCAAAATTATTTATTTGTTGGTGGTGAAAAAGGAAACATCTACGAAACAAAGTTATTCGATACGCAGCAAATATTAAATGATTTAAATAAACCACAGCCAAAAATATTCAGTGGCCATTCGTAAGTTTTAGATTTTTCATTCTGTTCACAGAGCGCAAATTGAAAACTTTCTTTTCAGGGGCAAAGTTACTCATTTAGCTGTTTCTATTGATGGATTGGCTCTAGTGTCTGGTTCACACGATTCCAAAGTTATGGTTTGGCACATCATTAGTAAACAAAAAATGAAAACCTTTGAACATCGAGGTATAGACAAAGAGTATACATTTGAGTAGAAAAACAATTGATGATAAATTTAACATTCAATCTTTATTCACTTTTCTTTCTGAATTAAGGTGCTATTACGAATCTTTTGGTTATACCAACACCTAGAGGTATTTTGGAGGAAGAAGGACCTTTGATTCCTGTTAAACCATTCAAATTAACAAATGATCCAAACTTAGATCCATTGGAAAAAGATTTAATTCATGTGAAAAACGAGCTGATCGACCTGGACAAAGATGAGACTCCTGCAAACGATGGACAAGTAAATCCATTTATACTAATTTGTCATTTTTTCTTGCTAATGTGAAATTTATTTTTTATTTTCAGTTATTCCGATTAAGTTCAAATGCGTCCACATCAGATGATGGCGAGGAAATTGAAAAGCTGAAGAAGATAAACCAACAAATTTATGAATTTTCTGTGGATTCGATTTTCAAAAATTTAGTAAAATGAATATCTAAATTTGTTTTTTGTTTATTTAACAATTTTTCTAAAATTTCTGTAATTTCTATTCAATTTAAGAGAAACATAAAAGATAAAAATTTTCATTAACATAATATTTAATTGAATTAAGCATTAAATCTCATTCGAATAAACCGCCTGAATATGAAATAATCCGGTATCCACTAGAGGTCTCAAGCAGTTTCTCTAAATATGTAAACAACCGAAGCATGTTATTTTAAATCTCATCAAGTTCAATCAATCAACATCGACCAAATTAGTTCATTATTTTTAGTGACATCACTCACATCATGGAGGAAATCAAACCAGAGATTGATAGTTCAGTGCCAAAAAAACCCAAGCTTCATATATGGAATAAAATTTTGGTGGAGGATGAATTAGCAGAAGCACTTGAATCAAGTATGACTTGCCGTCCATTTCCAAATGCTATTCGACCTAAGAAAAAAAACAAGAAAAAAAAGAATAAAAAGAATAAAAATCAAGATGGTCAACCGAATCAAAATGGCCAGCCTAATCAAGATGGTAAACCTAGTCAAAACAGTCAAAATGGACAAAACGGGCAAAGTCACCAGAAGAAACCAAAGAAATCGAAGAGATCCAGAGGAATACCTTATGCTATCTTGACTGAAGAAGCTCGAAAGATTAGTAATAGATTAAAAGAAAAAAGAGTTGACCTAATAAGTAAGTATTGAAACGTGGTAGCTCAAATTATGCAAAAATAAACTAACAAATGAATTTCTTTGCAACAGTTCGCAGTATCAAACTTTTGGGACTTGACGAAGTCAACAAATTGTGCTCGGAAGTCATGACGATTGAAGACGCAGGTGGATTGATGACAAGGAATGGAAACCGAAGGAGAAGTCCTGGAGGTGTATTTTTTCATTTAATTAAAAGTAGCGGTCGGTATGCAGAAGATATCGTTAAAAACATTCTTAAATTAAACCAATGAACCCACCATTTTACATGCATCTAATAACATCACAATACTAATCATATTTACGGTTCATTGATTCCTAATAAATATGATTGTGTGTTAAGAATCCATCAATCCATCTATCACTTCAATGTAATATTAAAGACAACTTAAAGCTTAAAAATTACCAAAATTGATTTCAATTACAACTTTATTGAGCACAATAAATGTCAATGAGTTTGCCTTCATCCTCCAACCTTGACCATCTCTATTTTGAATAATGCTTTCAATATAACTGATTATATTGATTGAAATTACTTCTAATTCAATAATCTACTTAACCGATTTGAAAGTTTAAACTAAAAATTGCCACAACCCTAATTAACAAGTGATTGTTTAAATGATAACCCAAAAGGTAAGTTACAATCCTTTGGTTAGAGTATCTTTTGGTATCTGTCTGTTGGTTTTTCACACAAGATCAACAAAACTCAATTAATTGTTGATTCCATGATATTTGTGGTGAAATTGAACATGAAAATAATCTTAAAAAAATATAACTTAATGGTCAGTTGAATAAACAGAGAAAATAAATCACAGAATAAACTAAACACAATAAAAAAATAGTAATATTACAAGATTATCCAACGAGACCATTAGTTTTAACATGGTTCACCAGCTAAACGCCCTAAAAACAATACAGCTTATGGGAATGATGTTGATACCAATAGAGGAGGTTTTTTAATATAAAATAATAATGAAACAGATGATCCAACTGTTGTGATAATCAACATGATGCTCAACAAATCTGTATATATACAGATTGACCCTCCTTAGACATTAAATGATAATCCCAATGAAACGGTCAATTAGGTGCACACAAACATCTTTACATAGACAAACAATAAGAAATACGTTTCATTGAGTTTTATAATTTTTTACCTTAGCTGACTTTATTAATAATAATGATAATGATAATATGATACAATATAATAGTTTAGGCGTACCTTTATAATAATAATAAGTATAATAACGAAAGGTAGAGAGAGGAGTGAAAGGTTAATTTGATTCACTTGATTATATGAAAATTGTTAACCTTTAACTCTCTATGAGATGAAAGTAAAACCTTATTTAATATTATTGACAGATTTAACTCTCACTTGGATGCACCTAAGATTAAGATGATGATGGTGATGAGGAACCTTAATCTTAAATGATGATGAACATGGTTTGTTACAAGACTTGATATAAACATTGTTATACGAGCTTAAAAATAGAGTCTTTTCCTTAGGCCATTTCATATAAACATATACAGTAGATGGAAACTTACCCAATGTTTGGCTTGGTGATTCCAGTCCGATTAATTGTTTGCCCATTAGATGATCCAGTATTTTAATGGTCAATCAATCAGAAGACGTTTAATAATAAAATTGACGATTGTTAATTGAGTGATCATCATAAAAACAATGAGTTAACAAATGTTTTACCTTTTGTTTCGCATCCAGAGCCTCCTATCGTTAACTGGGCAACCTTAACTTCAACAAGAAACTTGATTATTTTGTACAAATTTTGCTTTTCATTATCATCTTATAATTGACTTGGCCAGTTTAATAAGCTAAAGATGATGAACCTCTTCAACAATTGATTCAATTGGCAACCGATGACAGGTTAAGTCTCAATTCATTTAGTAATTAAATTGATTGAGAATCCAAATTTATGTGATAATTAAAGTTTCGCTTTAATTAACCTTTGACAGAGAGTTATAAATATTGATGAGATTCAGGTTAACAAGTGAATTAACTCTTTTCAAATCAATTAAGTCCATTATGATATTAATTGCTGGCTCATTCACTTGTAAATTAATTACATTTTTATAGACAATTGAAGGCTTCTGTTGGAGTTTTGTTAAAGTCTCAACATTTTTATTTCAATTTTGATGCGCATTTCTGGATCTCTTTTAATTGTTGCTTTAATTGTTTTATTTTTACATTGAAATTTGTATTAATAATTAAATGATTGATCAGAGTGTTTAACAAATTAGCTAAGAAATGTATAAATGAAGGAAAAAAGGAAAGAAAAATGGGAAAACAATCGATCAGAATCAATCTCAGGCTTATTGACAGTTACAGTTTGTTACAATTATTTGCTGCAATGACAACCTTACAAGGTAAATGTTGAGAGTTGATTTGATTGTTTAAACTTAATTGTTTGAAGTTAACTTTGATAGTTAGCCAGTGATCATTTAAATGAAGCAATGACGGTTAATTTGGGTAAAAATGATTTCTTTTCATAAGCTTGTTAACCATTTTGATTATTTGTTTTCATCTACCTTGGATATAATTGATGGATTAATTTGAATGACAATTATATGGCAAGCAAAGGCTGGGTCAATGGTGAACAATTAGTGTAACATTAATCGAGATTCCGTTGAAGTAAAACATGGCCAAAATTGATTACAATTGAGGAAGAAGGTCAGTTTAAGGTTGGGAAATGTATTAACATTGTGTACATTGTATTATGCATGTTTAATGATGTTGATGCAAATTAATCAACAAACGAGAGATCAGTTGAAACAGAAGCAATGATAAAAATGAAGAAAGATGAAGATGAATAAGCTGATTGTGTTGAGTATTTCTGTCAAAAATCTGATTGAGTGGTTACCTGTTTAAATGACATTACTTAATCATATTTTGTACAATTATTTTCAACTAATGGCGAAAACAAACATTTTTTGCTCAATTATTTAGTATTGGCGATCAATTTAGTTGCCTTTTTCATTGGACATTGTTAGTCGCAAGTTGGAATCACTAGATAATAAGAAACCTGAATAACAATAGTTGGTTAACAGTGTTAGTGCTTTTTATCAAGCCTTTCATGACTTTTCACAATCCTTCAAGAATCCACATTTTCGTACAATATTGTCAACAGTTACTCATTTTGTTTAAAGTTTTCAGGGAAACGGTTAACGACGGAGTGAAAGGTCTATTATGGTCAAGGTTTGTACTCAGAATTGATGAAGAGATGTAAATGGTTAATTGGTTTCACACTGAATCAGTGTGTTGACGGCAAGGCTTAGACCTGCACTTGACTTGAGGATTATTGTGACAAGAGTTGGTTATTTGAATGCCGATTACAAATTGATAAGTTGAGTTGACCACACAGGTTGAGTTAAGATGGTGACAATGAAGATGATGGGTCAATTGGGTTTAACAATGGATACAAGAAGGCAGAATGGTAATTGAAGGTAAATTGTCAACTTGTTTAGGCAAGAATGGAAGAAAGAGAAAGAGGAAAATGTTTGTCCTTTGAGGTGGGTCATGGAGATGAGTGATTGTGAATATGATTTGAAGGTAATAGCGTGAAAATCAAATCAAGACATAATATGAACATGTGATAGTGAAATAGAGGCCACCAAGAAGAAAGAGACTATCCTTTGAATTGGGAAAAATAAGTCAGGCCTGATGATGAACATGAAGACCAGGTAAGGTTAACATGGTTGACATAGAAGAGGAAAAGAGAGGAAAAAGTTACGAGGTTGAGAACCTCCTTACTGATCAAAATGTAATTCCTGACAGGTTTAACCATAATTTCATTGCTATCTTGTTTCCATCATGATCAAGGGAAACCATCTTTTCCCATTATCCATACTTTATTGGTTTGACAGGCAGGCTCAAGGTTTTTACGAAGGAATGTGATCGACACTTAAGATAAATGTACTGATATAAGACACTAGTATTAAGGTGAGGGAGGTTAATTTAGATATTTAGTTACCTTTTTGGATGGTCAGGCCTAACTCGTCTAATGGGTAAACAAGCAATCAAGAATAGACCAAGTCTTGCAATTGCCAAATAATATCTTCATTGGATTCAATTGATGACATTTCCGAGCAAATTGATGATGCCTTTAATCCATGGATTCAATGATACAATCAGGTAAAATCATTTGGCAGCATTGAAAGGTTGAGTTTACGAAAAAAAAGATCACAAACCAGATTTAACAATGTGCATGTTGGACATGAGTTTATTCACATTCTTTGAATTTTTCACTCATTTTGCTGACTAATCATTTGTCAATCTTGATTTTAATCATAATCAGATTCTAGATTGCACATTAAAAGGTTGATTAATTATAGGCATCGAACAGCATCTGAACGGTAGCTGAATATGAATATGTAAAGATGTACAATATGAAGAGAAGTCAGTTTCAATATTTTCATGAAGTTGATAGCAAATCTGATAAAAGACGCTTAAATTGGTTCGAATGAATTGGTTTGAATATTTGATTTGATTAAACTGATTCTTCTGGTGTAGCTTTCAATGAGAAATCAGAAAATGTACTTTTTTGAGAAATAAATTTTTCTGTCATCAGGAGTTAACCTTTATTCAAATGTGCTGGCAAGTTGATTTATTTGTGATTTAAATTATTCTGATACAATTTGTTAAGATTTAAATTTGACTCTTGTCAGACTAACCATGATAGTCAAATTGATATCCTCGATGATTTCAAGGGAGATACAAGCAGATGAAGAATGGCTGATGTAAAAAGATACCATTAAAGGTCATTTTATTTTCCACTTTTTCGTCTCCTTTCCCAATTAGTTTCTTGAAAAGGATAATTCATCATTAAATTGTGGTCACTATTGTGACCGATTGTCTAGTTATATTTAGCAGCTTGAACCATCCATTTGAAAAATGAATGTTAATCCATTGATGTGAAAACAAATCAAGTTCTTGAAGAAAAAAAAGGTTTGATGAAAAAACAGTGAACTATACTTTGAGCAACAGATAATATTTCAGTGTTAGCCTTTATGGGTGAGGCTATCGAACAGTGAATTTAAAGGCGAAGAAGAAGAAGACTTTGGATGAGAATAATAAAATACTCCTAATTATCATGATGATGGTAAAGAAATAAAAGAAGAATAAAAGGTAAAAATGATGAAAGTTACTATTTAAAGCAAGGTGAAAACTCGTGCAACCAGATAGTTTGTAGCTGATAATCGGTATCAACAGGGTTTACATTGAAAGAAGAGGTTGGCCTGTTTGACGTTAAATCTGATAAAAGTGATGTTTATTAGGTTTAAAATGCTCCTTTATTCAACTTTGCTATTTTATTACTAATATTCATGAGAAATGAGTGTAAAAAGGTAGCTAAATAGCAAATACTCAGGTAGTCTCTGAGTCTTGTTTCAACAATTTGTTTTGTAAAGCTTCTTCATGATGCTTACCTTTTCCAAACTCTTTTACTTTCTCTTTATCCTAA